TGTGAATTGTGGAGAGGAATCAGTACCATCTCGGGACACAGCAGTCAAAAGAAAAGACAGCTAGTGGTGGGTGATGTGAAAAGAGCTGATGAACTCAACCTGTTCTTAAACAGATATGACACTGCTGTCACTCCCACTTCCACTGCTACTCCATCTTCCTCTCTGTAACAAATCTCCACTACAACTTCTACCCTTCCTCCTCCATCTTGTTCAAATGTCTCAACCACTTCAACTGCCTCCCTCCTAGAACACCAGTCCTTGTCTGTCACCGAAACAGGGGGGAGGATGGAGCTTGGAAGACTTTGTCCTGGGAAGGCAGCTGGTCCAGATGGTGTGTGTCCAAGGCTGCTTAGAGACTGTGCTGCAGAACTGTGTCAACCTCTCCACAAGATCTTCAACCTGAGTCTACAGCTGGGGCGGGTACCTGCTCTGTGGAAAACATCCTGCATTGTGCCAGTGCCAAAAACAAAATGTCCTGCAAAATGTCCTGCTGAACTCAGACCAGTGGCCCTCACTTCACACATCATGAAAACCCTGGAGCGGCTGATTCTACGCCTTCTGAGGTCAAAGACAAACTGGACTCCCTGCAGTTTGCATACAAAGAACACATTGGAGTGGATGATGCTGTCCTCAACATGCTTCACCGTGCCCCGTCTCATATGGAGGAACCTGGGGTTTATGTGAGGATCATGTTCTTCGACTTTTCAAGTGCATTCAACACCATCCAACCCACCATACTCAAAGACAAGCTCACAGAGATAGGAGCGGATCCTTCCTGTGTTTCCTGGATCACAGATTACCTGACAGGAAGGCCACAGTTTGTCAGGCTGGGGAACTGTGTTTCTGGGACATTAATGAGCAGTACAGGGGCTCCACAAGGGACAGTGCTGGCGCCATTCCTGTTCACACTGTACATGTCAGACTTCAAATACAGTACTGAGTCCTGCCACATCCAGAAATACTCAGATGACACCGCTATTGTGGCATGTATCATAAACGGACAAGAAGCTGAATACAGAGATCTAATAAGAGCCTTCAGTGACTGGAGTCACAAAAACGGCCCCCTCCTCAACACCTCAAGGACAAAGGAGATGGTCATAGACTTCCGTAGATCCAAACCCCCTCTTCAGCCAGTGAACACCTGTGGAGTGGACATCGAAGTGGTGACATCATATAAATACCTAGGTGTACATCTGGATAATAAGTTGGATTGGTCTAAGAATATAGACTACATCTACAGAAAGGGGCAGAGCCACCTTTTTTGCCTGAGAAGACTCCGATCAATAGACGTCTGTAGTAAGATGCTGCAGATGTTTTATCAGTCTGTGGTGGCAAGTGTTCTGTTCTACGCTGCAGTCTGCTGGGAGTGAAACATCAAACACAAAGATGCAAGACGGCTTAACAAACTGGTGAAAAAGGCTGGCTCAGTGGTAGGACTCAAGCTGGACTCAGTGGAGGATGTGGTGGAGAGATCTACACTGAGGAAGGCGGAGACTATTCTCAAGAACATGGATCACCCACTTCACCACACCTTGACGGACCAAAGGGCCAATGGTGGTGGATGGCTCCTCTCTCTTTGCTGCAGGACAGAAAGATTTAGAAGATCTTTTGTACCAACAGCCATCAGGCTTTATAACTCTTATGTAAATAATAGATAACTTTTATAGACATATTACGTGAGACAACAGACAATTGAATTTCCCTTCGGGGATCAATAAAGTTGTTCTTCTTCCTCTTTTTCTTGTTCTCATGGCTTTCCTCCTAATCGTATGTTTCCTCCACTGTCTCTCCTTTGTCACGCCTTAAGCCGTGTTTACATATCATCTTTTTTGATTTATCCGCTTCCATGTTAAGTTTCAGTATAGTTTTTTTTTATCTTAATGTTCTTCAAAGGGGAAAAATATTCAACCGGTTGAGACCAGGGTTTTTAGGCTGCCATTCACTTAGGCGCCACCAGAAGTCCCCCATCTTATATCTTCTTACCTCATAATTTTGACATTTTTCATGATTTTTATTTTCTTATCTCATAATTTCAACTTATCATCTCATGATGTGACTCGAAGTTTTGTCTATTTTTAATTGACTTGCTCTGTCATTGTAATGATTTCTGTCTAATAATTATGACTGAAGATTTCAGATTTTTAGTTCAATAAGCAAAAGCCTCCCTTTTTTCCATCTCACAAAAATGGGCTTTAATGTCATCTTCAATTTATTCCACAAACACAAACCACTGAGAAACTATATATCAATAGCCTCAGATGCAAAATTTTTCCTTTTTTGATAATGCCTAACTGCATGGTGGTTATTTTAGATCATTAATCCAGGTCATATTAAACATGTTTTCTATTTTTAGTATGAGTCGCTGGCAACACAAGCAGCAGTGGCTCTCGTGGTAGTTGTGAATAGAGAAGCAGTGCCTGTTGGAGTTCCCCTTGAGACCCGTCATGTGACTCAGGCCAGATTCACTGGTCATTTTGTTTGGATTGATCTATGCTCTCCATTTGAGCAACCCCGATAAGCTCAGCAGCTTCTTTGAGTTTATCCAGATTGTCTTTTTACATTTTGATGATAAAAGAAAGCATCTTGAATCTAACTTACAGGCTCTGAAAAATAAGCTAGAATAAGGTAAGTTTTGTTGCTGACAATCACATTTTCAGTTGTTGTGCTTACATGCACAAAACTGGATGTTTAGTGAACAATACATTGTATGTTTAAATGGTAATGTTCCACCTAAAGTGTTTTAAAACAATTTAACTGTTTTTAATAGAAATTTTGAGTTGAGTCACACAGTGTTTTTAATTTTGTTGCAAAGAGGGAAATATTGTCAGTGTTAACAACAACCTTTAATTGTTGGATGATGTTCATTATATCTCCAGTTTCTTGGAAATAGTTTTCTATTTTATTTTATCTCAGACATGTAATCTTTTTCATGTACAGTACAGGCCAAAAGTTTGGACACACCTTCTCATTCAATGCATTTTCTTTATTCTCATTACTATTTTGATTGTAGATTCTCAGTCAAGGCATCAAGACTATGAATGAACACATGTGGAATCATGTGTTTAAGAAAATGTGTGAAAAAACTGAAAACATGTTATATATTTTAGATTTCTCAAAGTAGCAACCCTTTGCTTTTTTGATAGCGCTGCAAACTTTTGCTGTTCTCTCAATGAGCTTTATGAGGTAGTCACCTGAAATGGTTTTTACTTCATAGGTGTGCCTTGTCAGGGTTCCTTTGTGACTGACAGAGTCAGTCACTAAGTACTTCTGTCATCAAGAGCAAAGGGTGGCTATTTTAAAGAAACTAGAATATAAAACATGTTTTCAGTTATTTCACACTTTTTTTATAAGTACAAAATTCCACGTGTTCATTTATAGTTTTGATGCCTTCAGTGATAATCTACAATGTAAATAGTCATATAAAAAAATAAAGAAAAGACATTGAGTGAGAAGGTGTGTCCACACTTTTGGCCTGTACTGTACCTTGACATGTTTCGCTAGAAACTGACACCGTCTGGAAGGTGGAAGACACGGTTATAAGACGTGTCTTTAACATAAATTTATTGTCCGTTTTGCCAGCAAAGGCTGGATGGAGCTAAAATGCGTTAACAGAGTTCTATGGGCAACACTGTTTTTTATATGAAGAGAATTAAGAACTCTTGCCAAATTTGATGCCTCTATCTTTAAAAATGTGACAATCAGCTCAAAGTAATGATGATAAAAATGACGAATGTATTCAAAATGGACATAGTAGGAACTGAGGATTAAAGACTCAACGCACTCATTTTCCTAAAATCATTTGAGTTAAACTAACTCATATGGTTTACAGTACAGATAGAACCCTTTCTTTCTATTTTCAATTATTTTTTTGATGAAAATTGAGCAGGAGAAAAGAGAGATCACAAAGAAAAAATATTTTCCTGATCCTAACTATATAACTTTTTGTTAGATGGTAAATGAGAAAAAGACAAACAGATAGGGAACTTGAGAGTAATAATTTGTTTATTGATTGTATGAAAGCTGAACTCAATATATATTTCTTAATGTTCATGTCAAACTTTTTATTTTCAGCTTATCACATTCTAACTGCCAAGAGACCTAGGTGTGTTCTTATTCTGTCTACTTCTGCATCCTTGGTAACCATATAAAGTCAGTTGTTCTCTTTTATTTATCTGGTACTTTGGTGAGGTTTCAGGAAAATTTAAATCACCATGTAATATTTAGCTATAACATAGGGACTAGTTTGTTAGTTAAAAACTCCAGGAATGCTGCTATCATGAATCTGCACATATTCCCCTCTGATTTTCTTCCTCGTGCTTTGGGCAAGTCAGACGCTAAAATACTAAAGGTAAACATGGCAAACAATATTGTTAAACAGCTTTGGGGTACAGGGAAAGTGTGCTCACACTTCAAAACAATTTCTTTTTTTTTCTTTTATGCATAAGATAACAGTCCAAATAAAAATTTTATAGACTATAAGCTGCTTATCGCTTTTGCACCAATCGATAAAATGCTCCATATGTCAAAGTATGAATGCTGTAGGTTGTAAGTTTCTCCTCCTCCTCCTGCACAGGGGCATTTCATCTTGTCTTAACCACATGATATGTTATCATTCTTAAAGAATAGGTCTTACACTTATCAGTCTCTCACTGTGGGCACTGCATCTGTTCCAGAAAAAGCCTAGAAAAACTCCTGTTGTGAAACTTGACCACTCACAGTTGATGAGTTTGATATGAATGAAGACTTATGATTGCTCAAGAAAGATGAATCCTGAAGCTGTTTTGCTAACTCTGAATGCTAAGTTTGAGAGCTGAAGAATGCAGAAAGTGAATAAGTTGAAACATGGATAGAAACACATTTTGTTTTAGGGGGAACTGGGTCAATTTCAGCCTATCTTTTTTTGTATTTTATGACTAATGAGGCTAGACTCAGGAGGAAGATGGCAATTTTGCCAATGAGAATCCACCACCATATCTGACTCTGCAGACCTACATGGAAACAGATATGAGATTTGGGTCTAAGTTAAAAAAAACAAAACAACAAAACAATCATGAAAATGATAACAAAAATTATATAAGCAAAGCACATCTTCACAGTTTATTATAGGCATAGATATGGGAATAATAAAAAAAAAAAAAAATCATTTTGCTGTTTAGGCACAATAAACAATGTTACTGTACCATATGATTACTGTGATCAGATAAGAAAAACATGAAAATTTATAGAATTAAACCTTAGACTTTTTTTTATTTATACCTTGTCTGTCAGTGACTGCAGTTATAGTGAACTCTGCAGCCTTAATAAGAAAAAAATACAAACTGTTATAACTCATATGAAACGAAAAATTTCTTAAATGGCAATTGTTACATTGAACCAAATCGAGCCATTAATGGTACCATAAACAAGGTAAAGGTAAAAAGGTCTGCATGAACTAGCCTCATTGATGATTGATGAATAGCCTATATTTGTCTCTTCACTAACTGAGTCTCTGACTTTGCTTCTCTGTTTATCAGCCCTCAAACATTGTCATATCCCATACTGTGTTGGGACAAGCATTCATTTTATATGCCATGTAGATTGTAGATTTATCTTTTGCAGCCAATAGTTTCTGTGTCTGTAACCTTCAATGCCTTTTATTCAAATGTAGCAGTTGTATTTCATCTTACAGACCCCAGCTGATTAGTTGTAAACCATTTGCTAGTCTTTGAATATCACTATATCCATAACTGGGTGCTGTCATGGAATGACAAACCATTGGTGTGGAGAAGTGGCCAATCAGAATCAAGTATTTATCACTGCTTTATAAGAAAATGAAATGTATGTCCCATAGTTTTTGAGATGGTTGATACTCCCTCCCATTGGAGTTGTAAAAAAAGGTAATTGTTGTATAGAGAGGAGATCTTCGTTAGCTCTGAAGTTGCATTTTCAGGAAATAAACAAACCTGGCCTTATGATTAATGGTTCGTTAAGGCAGTATTGCAGATACTTTATTCCTAGTCTTAAAAAATGTTCACCAGAGAAATACAAACAACTCCTTCTGTGGGAAGAGTAATTATTCACAAAATTGTGTCAAGACTGCCAAAGTTCCTTATAAACGGCATCCTTTTTTTTTTTTTACATTTTACATAAAAGACCGGAATATATGGCAAACAAATGACTGTGTCTGTTAATATCTAATATCTGTGAGTTCTAGAATTTACTTTAAGATTTGATTCTGACAAACACACGCATTAGCACGCTTACACACACACACACACACACACACACACACACACACACACACACACACACACAAAATGTACTGCCAAAGCTTATTGCTTTATGGAGTGTATCACATAGCTCTTACCTGCACTCCAGTTCTGTAAGTAACAGCCACACAATAGGGTACTAGGCGTGGTCAAATTATCTGTAGGGGTGGTTAACTGATGGTTAGTCATGTTAATATATTTTTTTGCCCATGAAAATAAACTTATATAATGGCCCAGTATTATAACAGTGTTTTAATCTACAACCAATTATTCCAAGAAGGGAATTGAAATGTAGAATTGTACTTGTGAAATTTGTCAGAAGTACAATAGAGTAAGTGAGAAAGTACATGATTAGATAAACGTCTGTGTTGTTAACAGCAACTTACTTTGTGTCATGACGGAGAAATAGGGGCTGACTGTATCAGGTGGTTGAGTCCTACAAGAGTAGTTGCCAGTGTTTTCCTTTGTTGTGGAGCTGATGCTAAGGACCAGCACCACATTGGAGAAAGTAGAGGTGATGTTTAGGATAGACACTCTATCCTGGGGGACAAAAACAACAATTGTTGTTAGGAGGACACTCTTGAAGCACGGGCTGAGTTTCTCTCTTTATTGGTTTAGTTTCATGTCCTCTGAAGTGCTCAAGACAGTATGCAAAACGTGTAACAAAAATTCTTAAACAACAAGCAAACAGGTTGATGTTGCACTCTACAGGCCACCTTCTCTAGTGATAAAGGTCACTAGAGTTTCCAGTAAAGTTATTTAAGAATTCCGTTCCCATTGTATATGTCAGAAGTAAGAGACTTACTGTGACCTCCTCATGTCTGCTTTCCCTCCACAGCTGTGCAACATGTTGGGGTCTTAAACATGTGAATTCACAGGTAAGTTTGAAGCTCTCCTCATGATTTGGCTGGTCAACAGACATGCTCACTGTTGTTTCCCTGCATCCACCTTCAAAGGAGGCTATGGAAGATGAATCCCAAAAATGTATTGGAATTCCTCTTTTAATAGATTGTAATCCACATGAAATAACAGTTATACTTATCTTATTTGGACACTGGGCAAGCTTGTTAAAACTTTTTTTTCCCCCTGTGCTTATCAACCAATACTCAATGAAGCAGCAGGTGCCTAAGATTTTTGATATATCTAGTATGTATAAATTAAAGAAAAAATCTAAAACTAAAAAGCAACTCCCCATTCGCCCGTTGCTCGGATGGTCTTTGAAGCACTGAGCAAAACCTTTTTTCTCTGTGGTTTATGTGATACAAAAGAACCTTGATGTTAGAAATGCAATAGTTGTACACCCTTTTCTAAAGATATTTGCCACAAGCCTCGGTCCACTCCTTGGAAAGCCCTACGTTGATAGCCAATTTGTTCTTAATCATTTCAAGGTTGCAGTCATCTCTTTTCTTACGACACCTTTCCCTTACAGGTAAGTTTTCAATATTATGCTTTGACTCAGATCTCTCTGAACAGCCAGCCTTTTCTTAGCAACTTAAATGACTTTGTGTCGCTTGGGGGGATTGGATGAGGTTGTATGTTCTGAACAAGACCAAGGTATTAAATTCAAAAGGAGGACACTCTGATCTTTAACTTTGTATAAAATATCTTATTGCGCACAATTTTGTTGCTGCATCTGTCTGTCTGTCTGTTTAAAAAAAACACTCCAGCAGGTGGAAATTTCATCACAATTCTGAAAAACATTTTTTTAAATTAGGGTTTTCTTTTCACAGTTTGGGCAATGAATATGAGTAGGCCACTAACAAAAAATAGAATTCAAACAGCCAAAAAAGACTACTAACCCCCGAAAGAGTCTTGTGAGAGGAAAAATTATCACTGGTAAGGACACATTCAAAACAAAGACATATAGCAAAATAAAAGAAATGGGTAATTTATAGATATCAATTAAATCAAAGAAGCTTGTACATTCCCAGAGAAGCATTTTTTTCTTATTGTAGCTAGTATATTGTTTACTTTTTAATAAACATTCACCTTGATAAAAAATAGCCAATTTTACAATAACAAATAAGCTCACCTCCTGTCAGATTCCAGCAAAGAAAACTAACTACCAGAAACAACATGTCTGGTTCTTCTCTTGTTACCTTTATGTGAATGTCAATTTGAGGATTTTTCTGGTTTCAGGGTTATTTTTTCTCACACCACAGCACCATCTGATAAAAAAAAAGCTGCTGACCTTAGTCGCAGACAGGATGCTCTGCACTGTTGAGCTGATGTAAGCTGCGATAACCATAGCACAAAAGATTTCCATGGTCCACCAGATTATGTGGTTATAAAGAAAAGTCCCCAAATGCTCTGCAGTCTTAAAGAGCTGATGGTAGAGATTTTAATAGAATAAGAATGCTGAGTATGGAAAGAAAAAAGTGAAGAAATCTTTAACTTCACGTATTCACAGTGTTGTACTTAGATATAACAATTCAAAAAGGAATTATATCTTCAAAAAGGAATTGTTATATCTTCCTTAATTGAGTCCATATAATGGACTCACTTAAAGGAATGGAAGACAAAAGAGCAGAGAAAACTCTGGACACTATGGAATCTCTCATTGTAATTATGATGAGATCCCCGATGTATGTATATAAGTATAGCCAAATTTTGACTTCTTTCTTTAATAGCTTCCATATAATGGGACCACTTGTCCTGAAATAAACCTTAACCCAAATAAACCTTGAGGAAAGAAAATAAAGATCAGAAGAGGTGTGTCTTACTTTAGTGCTATTGTTTCAGATCAATTTTAGGACCTCTGGTAACATGAAATGAAAGCTGTTGAAGAAAGACTGCCTTTTTGGGAACTTCAGCTGGTTTACTAGTCCCTTATTAAACACACGATGTTGACAGCAAGGATGCTGAGTAGATTTAACCGCACTGCTGTTGCCAAGACACTGGTAGATCTGCAGTGAATGTCTGTCGAATATCCAACTTCAAACCAACCTCACTGCGGTCAGTTTGACACTGTTAGGCAAGTGCATCTTCCTTTGAATTTGCTGGGGAGGGAAAGTGGGAAGGAAAATGGGTAACGCTTTGCTTGGCAACACTCAGAAGTTGCAGGTAGGTCGCTGTTTTACAGTTGCCTTTACGGGCTTATGGTTTGGGTGCATATGAACCCCCCACAAGTACTTCCCTGAAGACTAGCAGGACGCTTAGCTAGTTTTGTTAAGAAGTTAGAGGGGCATAGCTGTGGTGACATCTGACTGTTGTTTGTTTATTAGCTTATTAGTTCAACAACTTAGATGCAAGCTTAATGGCGTCCAACGTTTTTTTACATAAGATTCAAGTTTGTGTCATGGACTTACTGAGTTAGAAGCACATAAAAGACACTCAATCCGACCCAGAAAACTCTTTAAATTAACTTCATGCGACTCTGTGACTCCACCAGTGTTGTGCTAGTGACTGAAAAATAGTAACTAGTTACAGTTACCAGTTTCTTCATTAAAAAAGTAACTCAATTACTCCTTTGATTACTTAAACCAAAAAGTAATGCATTACTGTTATGAGTAACTTTTTAGTTACTTTAAAAAAAAAAAGAACATTCTTTAATGCTACCATTTTTGCCCTTACAGCATAATTTCAGTGCTGTATGGAAAATAATACACTGCTGATGATCAACTCTAAAGTTTCTATTAATTTGCATTCACATTGCTAAACTCTGCTCAGCATGATGGTCTATACAAACACAAACCTGACTCAAACAGAAAGTAATTTTAAACGCTAATTTATTTAAGTAAGAACAGCAAAAACTTTTACAAACAATACAATGCGACTATATTTAGTAAGTGTTCTGATATATAAATTAAATGTGTCACTGTGGCTACTCAGATAACCAATGTTTTTGTTATACAGATAACAAATGTGTGCGTATTTTTATGAGACAAGGAAACGTGCTTGCTAGCAAGGACCTGAATGAATGTTTGAGTTGAGTTCTAGCCTTTGAACCATTGGTTGTACAGTTTAACAGCTTAACAGCTTCCAAGCAGCAAAGGGAGGAAAGTGTTTACGAGCACAAAATGACTCTTAAATTTATGTGTGTGCGTATATGTGTGCGTGTGTATGTGTATTGTCTATGGTAACCTAACTCCGCTGTCACGTTGTTCCACTTCCCTGGAAACTCAGATGAACCAGTAAGGAGAGTCTATAATCCTTATGTCATAATTTAGTAAATCTCTACATAAATTATGGTTTTGCATTTCCATACATTTGTCTGAGATTTGTGCAGTTTACATCTATTTTCCAAGATTACGACCACATATGTTTACCTTGTGATTTACAACTCTGCACACATGCAGTACGGACACAGACTTTGTAACTGCAGTTTTTTGTTGTAAATGTGGAGAAGCATGATACCTCCTTGAGTGCAAGCGTTATAGCAACATTGCTGCGGTTGGTCGCGGATTCAGAGCAGTGGCGGCTGCTGGTCTTTCAAGGAGGGAAAACTCATTTTTCTGGCCTACATCATAATTGTGTTTGTTTATTAGTATGTAACAGAACAGAGTCGCCAAACACAATGGCAGTCGTTTTTAACAAAGACAAAAGTCGCTGAGGATCGGTAAAGTCTCTGGAGCAGTTAAGAACAACGGAATGAATAACTTGGAAAATGCTTTGGTAGATGTTTTATTCTTCAAGATCGCTGATTCGCTTGTTTAGCTGTCAATCAAAAAAGGATTTCGCCTCAGACAGCTCATCCAATCATGGATGCAGAAGCTCAGCGTCTGTGAGAAAGTTGGGACCGCCCTCTCGTCATAGAACTCCAGAGACGCTGAGCGTCCGATAGGCGGGACAAAGCCCAGCATTTATCCAATGAGCGTCTAGTTTCGCTGCTGGAACAACCCACTTTGAGCTTCCACATTGAAGTCAGCAGACGCTGAGCGTCCAGCTGTGTGAAGTGCTGAGGCGCTGCGAGAATGAATGAGAACGAAGTTATGCCGGTTACCTGTGATTATCAGCTTCTTATCACAGTGTGATACAAAAGATGAAGGCTTTCTAGCGCGTATTTAGTTAATGAAATGTACACACAGCAGTACGTATTTCACCACTTTTTCTTTTTTTGGGGGGGTGACATTTTAAGGGAAGCTGAGCTTCCCTTGCAGTCTTAGAGCAATCGCCACTGATTCAGAGGTGTGGAAAGTGCAGTGGAGATCATGATTTTGTGGAGTGCAAAGATACTGGGCTCTATTTTCGTGCCTCGCTGGAGACGTGCCGCAAGCGCAGCGTCAGTCAGATCCGCCGCGCTGACAAGGCGTTCCCAAGCACATTTTGGTATTTTGGTGAGCCGCGCAGCCCGGCGTAAGTATCCCCCCTCCCTAACTCAGCTCCTCCCAGCAGCATAAGTCGTAGACGGGGAGGAGAAAGGGCGTGGAGTGGGTTTAACACAGCTGAGACCTGTTTTCACCAATCACATAAGCTCCTCTCCTTGCCTTTAAATCCGCCACAGGCGAGGCGTATTACTATTTTCATGAAGTAGTCAAAGAGATCAAGAGAGGTCTTAAGACAGTAATGCCACAAGATGGCGACAGAGGGCAGCTCCTCAACAAGTGTCCTCCACACTCTCTCATATGAGCACAGATGGATTTGGTGTGTGTAATGTTAGACCCACTAGTAAGACAAACACCCTTTTCCACAAATAAAGACACTCACATAAAGTTGCTCATATTCAAACCTCACGTGACAAAGGTGGGTTGAGCGCACAGATCACAACATAAACTCCAAAAATGGCATTAAAATCGGAACCATCTGTGCGTAAATGACGCATCGCGCTCCGTGGCCTGGCTCTTTCTTTCATAGATGTTGGCATATAAAATAAATTTGGCCCACAAAACTGAATATTATAATATCCGTATGTCGGTTTAAAGTAGATAACGCATCTGAGCACTGAAACAAATCATCTGTTCAGCCGCAGCAGCAGCAAGACGGACAGAGGACACGGAGACGTGTCCAGGTCGAGCTGTGTGAGAAATTAGAGGAAGGGGAAGAAAGAAAAGGAGGGAGACGAATTACATATCTTGTTAACTTCATCATGTGTGTTTATTTACTGGATATTTAATTTAATTTGATGCGGTTTCAGCTGTGTTGATTCGGTCAGGTTGTGTGTCCAAACGCGTGCCAAACGCGCTCATCAGATCACATATAGATCAGAATATATCTATATAGATCTAAATGTATGTGCTGACTCAGATTAATAGTTGATGATGATTATTATTGTACTGAAATGTGCCTGACACTGTGGAAACCTGCCGGTGAGGCATCAGCGACGTATGCCGATACGCCGCCGGTCTACCAAAATACTACTAGACCAGCTGCGTTCCGCCATGCGCTGAAAGCTGACCAGGTTTGAATCGGCGAGCTTTCAGCGCACTTTACACGCCGGTGGCGAGCACGAAAATGTCACTGCGCCTGCTGATTCTGTCGACACCTCCCCCTGCCACGCCACCACGCCCAGCTTGGCGGATCTCGGCTCAGTCCACGAAAATACCAAACTGACCTTACGCCGGGCTCCGCCAGACGAAAATACAACTGCGCGGGGCTCGCCGCCCTCTGCCGCCGCGCACGAAAATAGAGCCCACTGTGTTGAGGTGTGGCTGGCACTCTTTGAGGGAAACATGCTGCTGGCAGCTGCCAGTGTGAACAATACAAGCATGCTGACAATGTGCAAGTGTAGAGGGAGGTCAATAAAGGAAAGTGAACTTCATGTAACAGAGGGATGGAGGCAGGAGCTTTGAAGGAAAAAGAGGAACTGGGCCTCAGTAAAGTGGAAACTTTGGCTGAAGACTGTATCCTGGTGAATAAAATTAACTTTCTAGTGTTCATAATTAAGGTTTTGAGGATTAAAACTAAGGTTTAAGTCAGGATTGTGGTGGAAACTGCTGATAGCATTCTAGGCATTGCAGATGTCGTGCCAGAATTCCTTCACACTTTGGTCTTTTGTAAAGAGAAGTTAAACAATGGAGGAATGAGCAGTCAGAATGGTGACAGGCCTATTTAGCATACTGATGTTTGCTATCTTCCAGTGGAATAAGAGGAGCTTAAAAGCAAATGGTCAAGAGTTAAAAAGGCTTATTGACAAATGTGAAGACAAAGTTGAATTCTTGTGTATTCAAGAAATATGGTTAAAAGTGGAACCAAATTTTGTTTTTCCTGGATATGCTGCTCCAAGGAAGGACAGGAGTTGGCAGGTGGGGGATCTGACCCCCAGTAGTTTGGATAGGAGATTTTGATGCACACAACCCCTTGAGGGGCAGCAAAGTAAATGCAGGAATGGGACAATTGTTGAGGATTTGTTGGAGAAACACAACCTGGTGATTATCAATAATGTGAGGCCAACTTGGTTTTAGGTAGGTAATGGTAACCTTTCTAATTTGGACCTAGCTTTTGCTTGAGCAGAGCTTGCAAGGTGTGGGCAGTGGGATGTCCTGAACAATAGCTCCCTGGGGAGTGACCACTTTGGATCAAATTTGATGTAGACATGAAGCTGGATGGAACTAATAGCGAGGTAGGCAGGTTCAACTATCAAAGGACTGATGAGACTTGTTTTTAGAGCACCTTGATACTGGAGTAGATAAAGTTGAAGATCAGGGAACACAGAGGATTGGAACAAATCATTTTCTAATGTGGTTAAAATGCAGCAGAGAAAACTGTCCCAATTAAAGGACAGAAAGAAAGAAAAAAATACAGTGCCATGGTGGAACCAGTCGTACAGTTATGCTGTGCACGCGCAATAAAATATTCAAGAAACCGAAGAAGAGTCCTATTGAGTCTTGCCATTGAATATAAGAGGCTGAGAGCTTAGGCTAGAAGGACAATGAAAAGGGCAAAGAGGGAAAGCTGGCAGAAGTTTTGTGGGACCCTGGGAAAGGAGATCATGGGCATGGGAGTAGGGGAAAGTGGACCTGACTACCAAGGGCCAGACATAAACCTGTACAAGAGTACTATCTTGTACAGATTTATGTCGGTGCCAAGCATGTGAGAATGCTTCAAAGGAAACAGAAGGAAGAGCTGTCTGGGATGATGACTCTGATGAAAGTGATAGTGATGCGTAATAGACGCACCATGTCACCATGTGCAATTTGTTTTGTTTAAAGGATTGCTACACCAAGATTTGAGATTTTTATTATTTTTATATTTGTTCTACATTTGTCTGCGTTTGCGTTTTGATCTTTATTTTCGTCTTTATATTTATACCATATTTTGAATTAATTCCGACCTTTTGTGCATTTATTTTTGTCTTGTTACATTTTTTCCATTATTCCAATTTTGGGGGGCATGGTAGCAATTTGATCGACTTTCAGCCATTTATGGCCATGATGTGCTGTTTATATTTTTTGCTTTTATTACACAGTAGGTTGTGTCATTTTTATGTATGAAACATAAGCTTTTAGCTAAATTTACTGTATATATTTCATTGTGCTGGGTGCAAATCACTTGAGTTGAGACGTTTTCTTCAAGAAATTTGCTACATTTCATAATCTGAATTCACTGATGCGTATACTAAGGCACCAATAACTGTTTCAGGTGTTAGGTAGATGTATTTATGACATTTGAGAAAGATTTTGTCTTGCCAGAATCAACATAGCAGTTTCTACAAGCAAAAACAGCAGCACCATAAAATCGTTTTTTGTGTTACTCACATATATGTACATTTCTGGCTGGTCTTTTGTCTCACCCTGTAAAGAAAAAAGCCACTTTCTAATACTAGTTCTGTAAGCTTCCCAACGTGTCCTTGTAAGGTCGAGAACGTCTTCAGTCTGGACAGATGATAGATGCATATAGCATCGTTTCGTTCCTTTTTTATACACTTTTGAAGGGGGTTTTCTTTTTTTCCTTTTCTTTTCTTCCTCTTTGCTTGTCTCGCTGCTAGATGCGCTCGTCGCCATGTTTGTGTACTTCTGATGCTATGGCAACGAGACTCGGCTCCTATTGGTCCACATGACAAAAATCGCTTCACCCTCTGCATATTCGATTGTGCGTGTTCAAGTATCACTACGCTGCAGAAAGGAAATAGTTCGACACCGATTACTAAAAATCGCCCGTCTGGCATGAGTAGATATATTTTTTTAGTACTTACTATCAATAGAGCTATTTTATGAATCACAGTTTATGTTGCCCCACTGAAGTGGAACGAACCAACATGATCTCGCTCAGCCAATACAGCCTAAGGGTGCGCTAGAGAGCTATGTTTTTATATATAAGGGTACACAGCAAAATATTTGCATTTGAGTTGGGCCTGACCCACCTGGCCATTTCAGGAGTTTTGGAGCCCGTCTAGAAGGTAAAAAGTTTTTTAAAAATACCAAAATTTCTAATAATAATAATAATTTCAATAGGGCTCTCACCCGCTGCTTGCAGCATCAGTTCGGGACCTGATAATAATAATAAATAATTCCTGCAATTTAGATAGGGCTCTTGCCCAATGCTTACAACATCGGCTCAGGCCCTGATCAATAATTCCTGCAATTTCATTAGGGCTCTTGCTGGCTGCTTGCAGCGTCGGCTCTGGCCCTAATTATTCTTGTAATATCAATTAGGCTCTCGCCCTGCTTGCAGCATCAGCTTGGGCCCCTAGAACTTATTCCTGCAATTTCAATAGGCCTCTCACCAGCTGCTTGGAGCGTCAGCCTGGGCCCTAATAATTCCTGCAATTTCAATAGGGTTCTTGCCCGCTGCCCACAGCATCGGCTTGGGTCCTTATAATCATAATAATAATTATAAATTCCTGCAATTTCAGTAGGGATTTCGCCGGGTGCTTGCAGCGTTAGCCTGGGCCTTAATAAATCCTGCAATTTTAATAGGGTTCTCGCCCACTGCTTGCATCGTCGCCTTGGCCCTTATAATAATTGTAAAAATAAATTATTTCTGCAATTTCAATAGGGCTCCCACCCACTGCTTGCAGCGTCAGCTAAGGCCCTAAAAATTTTGCAATTTCAATTAGGCTCTTGCCAGCTGCTTGCAGTGTCATCTTGGGCCCTCATGAATAATCCTGCAATCTTAATTGTGCGCTCACCTGGTGCCTGCAGCGTCAGCTCGGGCCCCAATAATTCCTGCAATTTCAAATAGGCTCTTGCACACTGCTTGCAGCGTCGACTCAAGCTCTAATTATTCCTGCAAGTTCAATAGGGCCATCACACGCTGCTTGCAGCATTAGCTTGGGCCATAGTCTAGGGAGCGGTGTCTATCTCTTGTTTCTCTTATGTTGCCCCTTCCCCCTTTTCTGTTTTTTTTTTTTGTCTGTTTCCTTTTGTCCTTCAAGTGTGGCCCGGGCGCCCCCTCCAATCAACTCAACTGTGCCATCTACAGACCTGTCAGTCATCAGTTCATCAGCCACCACTCTCCTCTGCAGCTTCAAAACCCAGTGTGAATCTTCACGCCTTGCAAGTTTGTCAGCTACCCTGTTGGTAACACTGGACTAGCATACAAGATTTTTGACCTGTTAACTGATTCTAACCTTCCTGTTTATTTCTGTTTGCCTCCAGCCCTGCCATTTCCACTGCCACTCTGCTGGTGCGCCCAGTCCTCCTGCATTCTTTTGTTTTTCTCTAATCATTTTTGGATCTATGACCCCCCTCCCCCTGGCTATACACTGTGTGCACAATTATTAGGCAAGTGAGTATTTTGATCATATCATTTTTATGCATATTTTCCAACTCCAAGCTGTATAAACTTGAATGTTTAGAAGATGACCTCGGTGCAAAAATGCAGGAATGAACTACACGAAGACAGAATCAGGCTGGCAGCCTCTCGCGGGGTTTTTATTCCGATCACAGCATCAAACACAGCTCATGACAATCGAACAGACAGAACCCAGAACAGAAAAACTACAGACCTCTTATAGTACTCCATTGACGTCACCGATCTCAGCTTTTGCCAAATGTGTGTGCGAAGCTACCTTCGTGTATGTATCACTTTCCCGTGGGAGAGCTCCCTACGTGACTTCTCCCTTGTCCCTATCTCTTGGGCCAAATTCCTGTTATTGCAACACAGTTCACCATGACCCGATAAAGTTTATGTCATTGCAACACAGTTTATCCTAACCTGATAGAGTTTATGTTATTGCAACACAGTTCACCATGACTGTGTTGCAGTCCTGTTTTCTTGCTTCATAGCAACCTCCAAAACATCCAACCACATCTGTTATTTTCCCCCACAAATGTTTATTGGATATAAGCATATCAGGTAATGTGTATTAGTGTAATGAGGGAGGCTGGGGCCTAAGGAGATCAAAACCCTATATCAAGGTGTGCATAATTATTAGGCAGCTTCTTTTCCTCAGGTAAAATGGGCCAAAAAAGAGATTTAAATGACTCTGAAAAGTCAAAAATTGTAAAAAGTCTTTCAGAGGGATGCAGCACTCTTGAAATTGCTTAGATATTTGGGTGTGATCACAGAACCAGCAAACATTTTGATGCAAATAGTCAACAGGGTCGCAAGAAATGTGTTAAGAAAAAAAGACGCAAATTAACTGCCAAAGATTTGAGAAGACTCAAACGCAAAGCTACCAGGAATCGCTTATCCTCCGGTGCTGTCATATTCCAGAACTGCAACCTACCTGGAGTGCCCAGAAGTACAAGATGATCAGTGCTCAGAGACATGGCCAAAGTAAGGAAGGCTGAAATCTGACCACCACTGAACAAGACACAAGTTGAAACGTCAAGACTGGGCCAAGAAATATCTGAAGAGAGATTTTTCAAAGGTTTTATGGACTGATGGGATGAGAGTGACTCTTGACGGACCAGATGGATGGACCCGTGGCTGGATCAGTAATGGGCACAGAGCTCCACTTCCAATCAGACACCAGCAAGGTGGAGGCGGGGTACTGGTATGGGCTGGTATTATTAAAGATGAGCTAGCTGGACCTTTTCGAGTTGAAGATGGACTTAAAATCAACTCCCAAACCTACTGCCAGTTTTTAGAAGACACTTTCTTCAAGCAGTGGTACAGGCAAAAGTCTGCATCTTTCAAGAAAACCATGATTTTTATGCAGGACAATGCTCCATTGCATGCAACAAAGTACTCCACTATGTGGCTCGCCAGTAAAGGCCTTAAAAACGAAAGAATAATGACATGGCCTTCTTCTTCACCTAACCTAAACCCTGTTGAGAACTTGTGGGCCCTTCTTAAACGGGAAATTTACAGTGAAGGAAGACAGTACACCTCTCTGAACAGTGTCTGGAACAGTGTCTGGGAGGCTTTGGTTGCTGCAACACAAAAAGTTGATCGTCAACAGATCAAGAAACTGAAAGGCTCCATGAATGGAAGGCTTATGACTGTTATTGATAAGAAGGGTAGTTACATTGGTCACTGATTTTTTTTTTTTAAATTTCAACAATTTTTATTTGTAAATTGAGTTTTGCTCCATCGGCCTCTACAGCACCGGAAGCAAGCTGCAGTTGCCAATCACATCAGTTGTGGAGGAGTTCAAGACAGCTAAAGTCCGGTTGGCCATGATGTTGCGAGACAGCAACGATCAGGCTGTGCGGCAGGCAAACATCACGGTCAAGACAGGACGGAAATGGCAGGCCAGCGGAGCCCTGAGGGAAGCGGAGGAGCGCCTACAACATGCAGACGTCGTGGGCACGGTGACCCAGGGGAGGCTGGGTCTCGGTGTCATCACCCGAGCAAGCTGGAAGGAGGCAAAGGTGAAGGAACGGAGAGGGATGGTGCAGAAGGAGATTCGGGCAGTGGAGGAAGAGGATAGACAAGCCAAGGCAGTAGCCATGAGACAGCAGGGCAGATGGACCCGGTGGGACGGTGTCCGGGGACGATCGCTCGGTTGGAAGGACATCTGGAGTATGGAGGGGCACCGGATAAAGTTCCTCCTGGGCTCTGTCTAAGACGTACTCCCAACACCAACAAACCTCCAAAGATGGAGATTGTCAGAGGATCCCTTCTGTGCGCAGTGCAAGAGACCAGCAAACCTGGAGCACATCCTGTCATTCTGCCGAGCAGGCCTGACTGAGGGGAGGTTCAGGTGGCGCCATGATCAGGTGCTGGCGCAACTCGCCGATGGTCTGGAAAAGGAGAGGAAGCGAAAAGGAACAAAGGCCCAAGACAAAGGCCCCCGCTTCATCAGTTTTCTCAGGCCTGGCGAGAAGGCAGGCAAGGAGGACAGATGTGCAGGGATCCTTGGTACGGCAAAGGACTGGGAAATGAGAGTTGACCTGGGAAGGAAACTCAAATTCCCAGAGGAGATCGCCGTCACCAGCCTCCGACCGGATATCGTGCTCTGGTCCCAGATAACAAAGCAAGTGGCCCTAATTGAGTTAACGGTACCCTGGGAGGAAAGGATCGAGGAGGCACACGAGCGTAAGCTGGGGAAATACCAGGATCTCAGTTCCGAGAGCCAGCAGAGGGGGTGGAGAGCCTGGAATCTACCAGTCGAGGTTGGCTGCAGGGGCTTCCCTGGACAGTCACTTTGTAGAACACTGGGGATGCTCGGCCTCACAGGGGCAACCCGTAAGAACCTGGTGAACAACATCTCAAAGCAGGCAGAGTCAGCATCCAGATGGCTGTGGCTAAAGAGGAATGATCAGTGGCTGAACCAGGCTGGCAGAGAGGGGTGTCAGAGCTGAGTGGGGAAGACCTGTGTGGCTGAGGGGACAGCTCCAGGACGCTGGTGCTGTCGTCAAGCCCCACCGTGGTGTCGTGGGCTAGTTGACGAAACACCAGGAAAACATGGGGTGCCCATTTGAAAACCCGGTGAAGCCTCGAGGTCTGAAGCATACAGCTCTGACACCAGTTGTGTTATGTTAGGAGGGAGCGACTTCTATGCTAGCCACCACACATAAGGAACAGGAGGTAACTCCTGCTAAGGGTGGTGGCTGCGATACCTATCGTTTTAAAGACGACGACAGTTGTTTGTTTATCATTCTCACTTTAACAAGTAAAAATAAACAAGTGAGATGGAAAATTTTTCATTTTTAATTTAGTTGCATAATAATTCTGCACACTAATAGCTGCCCCCAATAATTGTGCACACATAGATATTCTCCTAAGGAAGCCAAAATCTCACTTTTACTCCCTTAACCCTCTGGTTCATAGTGGTCACTACAGTGGACAGCTACCAAAAACTCTTTTTCTCTTAAATGCAATGGTTTCTATGGTGGAAGTGTATATCAGCCTCTAGGGTGCTCTCTACTGCCCTACTCCATTGAGTTACATTTAGTGAGCAATCATTGTAACTGCAAGTAAATTTCCTACAAATCCAAGATGGCCGAGAAACAGCCACCCCTGCTGACTACAGCTGGCATGTCATGTCAATACTTCTATAGTAGAAGAACCCCAGCTGTAAAAAAAATATGATGATATACTGTAACATCTAAGGAAGGATATTATCCATTTGGAATTGAAAATTTCATGTCCAATATGTAGAAAATTACAATTAACCATGTGTCCAACTGAGTGGACATCATGCATCACCCAGTATTTTTTTTAACAGGAGTCATGTAATTGCTCCACTATTACTTGTGGCTGTTTTGGTTATAAATAAGTGTATACAGTGTAAACAGTGACCAAGAGTGGCTGCCAGAGAAGAATAGACATGTAGGGGCTGAGGATGATGGAGATACAGACAGTCAGGGTGCAGAAAGGGTAGATGCCTATAGTCAAGTGGATGAGGACCAGGATGATGAGAGGCAGGATGCAGGGGAAGGTCAGCATGATCAGGGAGCTGTGGAAAATAGGCACATGACACCTGACCATTCTCAAGCTCGCAAAAATATCTGGAAAGTCCAAGACAATCACTTTGATAGAGATTTGCCTCCTTTTCTAGGAGAGTGGAAATTCAATGTGGAGGGAAGAGAGCCTATAGACTTCTCCAGACATCTGTTTCCAGCAGATCTCATTGATGATACAGTGAAAAACACCAACTTGTATACTCCCCAGAAAGGGAAAGAAAATGTGGCAGTGACAGGAGAAGAAATGCAGACTTTTTTAGGGATCAACATGATCATGGGGTACATTCGTTATCCCAGGGCACACATGTACTGGTCTAGTGAGGATGGCCTTCGTCTAGGGATGATTGCAAATGCCATGTCTGTAAACAGATATGAGCAAATCCTGTGCTCATATAAAGCCTGTGTGCCACTGTGCACTGGATGCTTTGCCAACTTTCATACATCCTAGGTGTGATGAGCAGAGACATGTTTGGAGATGCAGGGACTAAAATGTCAGTTTTTGTTGTTTCAGACAACATGCTCGTATAAGGGCATGGTAATGTCAGTCCTGAATCTTTATAGTACTGTGGGGACTTACAATATTTTTTCCAATGTTGGAGATAGTTTGGCATATTTAGGTGTACTGTACTTTTTACTGTAAGTTCATAATGTTTTGTGTTGAGTGCTCAGGCGCATATAGTCCACTTGAATGGACACTTCTGTAGTTTTGTGAAAAAATAACATTTTTGGAAAAAAACTTTTTAACATGTTCTTTTATGTCCTGAGAATGATAAAAACACTTATGAAAAAAATCTTAATCAGGGCTTTCATAATTCATGCATCAGAGGGTTAAATATTAAGGTTTGAGGTTTATTAACATTTTGGATTGACCGAGAGCACTGCAGTTTTTAAAAAAAATAAAATTTATCCTCAAAAATACAACTTGCCTAATAATTGTGCACACAGTGTATATTTCTGAACAGTTGAATAAACGATTCATTCATCCACTCAGTCTGGTGTGGTCTGATTGTGGATCCCACTTCTGCCTCGTGCTTATGCTAAACAAGGACACTGTCACATATTAAAAATTATCAAAGTGATTTTTCAATCTAACTTGTGAAATGTAATCCTATGTGATCTGGTTCCAATACTGCAGTTTTTACAACCTTAGGATGCACAAAACAAGGGCGTAGTTGCTCATTCTCTGTGACGCAGTTTGGCTCTAGTGCAAGCCTAGAGTGAGGAGACTCGTCCAATATGGCAGTGACACTGGATTATGTTCTAGAACAAGTGTCTACATGTATTATGTCTATGGAGTGGAAGGACTGGAAGTGGGAGGGGCCTCAATTCAGGAAGCAGAGAAGTTGAGGATGGAACTCAGCTTCTTTTATTGCCTTGCCCTGTATGCTGATAGGCTAATGAGCCTGGTAAAGTGCAATGCAACAAGCCCATCTGCATTCAGCCAGAGCAGCATAGCATACTGCTACAATCCCATGTAACCAGAGTACACATCAGTTTTATCACTTTCATTCCACTTTCATTCTCTATTCAGAGTTTTATCTGACAAATTCTAGATTCAAGCTTGGGATATATTTTTCTGTTTGTCTTTAGTGAGGAAGTATCTGAATACTCCTTCCCCTAACGTGTCCATAATTGTGACACACCCTCTAAGCTATATTCATTTGAATAATTAAGTCTTCAAGATTTGTTCCCGTCTGGTACACAAGGATCAAGATAATGTCACAGAACATACAGTATATCTAGTACACTTAGCATGTGTCCTGTCTAGTGACCTACAGTCCCCACCAAGTATTATGGTTGTTTCTGTTGCGATACACAGACATTTTTTAGAATATGAAACTTTATTTCAATCATATATCAATCATACATGGATATTCTTATCATTACATTGTATGCAAGATAAATATAAATCACATGACTGTTAATATTAGGATGCCAACAAGGCAAAATCTTTGATTTCCTAGGCCATTTCTGTCTCAGTTGTATTAAAATCAGTGACATATTTCATTGTCATACCATTTTATTTTGACTTTGACATTTAATAGTTGATCTCAAAATTTTCCATTTTATAATCACTTTGTGTTGGTGTGTTTAAATTAGTTAAATTAGACCTTTATTAATGAGCAGATCAACACTTTGAATGTCAACTCGTTTGGTTGGTGTTTGCAAGACTACATCTGTGGTGTAAAAATGTGGTGTAAAAATCCTTTTTACTTCAACAAAATTGCACCAATCTACATTTCTACTCAATTTTTTTCTATCAGATACATACATTACTTTACCTTTTTTAACTCTTTAAAAAAAAAATCCATCCAAATGATTTGCATCAGTATTTTCACTGTTTACTGTGTTGACAGCCACTTTATATGTCTGTAAAATGATGAGGCTAATACATTTATCATATAATCATATCTAATGATTGATCTTTATTTTGTAAGATATGTGGTAATATCATTTTGATTTTTCTTTTCTTTAGCAGATAGGACTGATTGGCACTCCTCTCTTTGGTTTATAAGGAGTTGTCCTGGTAACCATTTTAATGCAGTCTATGATTGGACAGACACTGAGGCATAGAGTGCAGCCCGTACAGCTGTCAGTCACCATGGGGAGATGTGTCTCTGGATCGAACTCTATGGCCTGAAATGACATGAAACAAGTCACATTATTGTGCCACATCTGTCTTAAAATAGTGAAAGAAACATAAAAGTCAACAAAAGGAGACAGGACTGTATTTATGTAACAGACAGACAAACATACCTGGTATCCAGAGTCATTGCAGGTCATGTAACATTTACCACAGTTAATACACATCTCCTCATCAATCAGAGCCTGGACCTGAACCAAAGGAGAGGGTCAATGTTATTGCAGACGTAGTCATTTTATACTTGAGTAATTGTTTAGGACCCTTCATGTGAAAATGACAAAATAACCTTTATATTCTCTTCTTGTCAAGACTGAGCTGGTTATAACCTTAAGAAAAGTTCAAAAACAGTCTTGAAACACTTTTACAGGACTAATTGGTTGCACAAAAAGTAAAGGTTAGTGCACTCATTAATGTTACTAATGCTTTGACCTTGAAATAACAGAACGGTACTATTAGAGGCTGCATTTTCCCTTTTGACCACAGATAATTACCACATTCAGTTCTTAAATCTTTTACATACAGTGGTCATTAGAAAACCATTTGGGTCGAATCAAATGTCAACAATATCATGAGAAATCAAAAATAAAATTGTCTTTTGGCTTTTTAAACATTTGAGGGTCTCTATCTCTATCTCAACACAAATAGTGGAGCTGATAAGTAACATCATCATTCAGTTAGTGATACAAGCATCCCCCATCTCATTAGAGCAGTTAAATTATGTAAAGTTGGTGATATAAACATAAACATCGGTAAGACCATTCCCCATAAGTAACTTAATAAAATGACCCTAGCTGCTTGAAATTTCAAGATGGTGACCATTTAAGAGTTCTTTTTAATATTTTGTGTTTTCCTTTAAATTCAAACATATGTTTATGTAGGAGCCCCTAAAGGGATATGGAGAAAATGACATAGAAAACGCAAATGTTTTGCGTGCGCATGCGAAAGAGGTGTGTGGTTCCCCTGTTGGAGCGGTGATACCACAGAGTGTATCCCCACCAGAGAACAACAATTGGAGTGGGAATACACCCTGTGGTTTGTTAAAATGTTAAAACATCATAACCTAGTTGTCTCTAGTTGTCCAGTCTAGTTGTCTAGTCTCAAACACTTTTGCAAAACTCAGTGCGATTGATGACAGCAACCTGCAAATGATGAGAGATTTGTTGCGGTGATGTACAAGAGCACAACTGCCAATGAGGCGAGGCTTGATCTCTTTTGCAAGGAAGCAGAGACTGTATGACTTGATCCCACCAACTCAAGCAGCACTGAAAGAGCACGCCAAATGTGCAGCTTATGAGGCTGGATATGTGTGGGGACAGGAAATGAAACAAAAGCTAGGAATGCTATTGGACTGGGGATGGGTAAGAGAAGATGATGAATGGAGAATCTTTTGGACTCCTCTTCCTCCTGTTGCAGAGAGTTGCTGGGAGTTGACAAAATGTGGGTGCACCAAGAATAAGGTGACCAGATTTCTGTAATGAAATCTGTCCAATTTGGGGACTGTCTCCGGAAATCGGAAACATCTGGTCACCTTAACTAAGGAATGTACTGGACAATGCAAGTGCGTCAAATATGGACTCACTTGCACATGTTTATGTAGTTGCCCCTGTTTGAAGCTATGTGTGGATTTTTTTTTTTTTTTGCCAAGACTACTTCCCCTTGTTTACTTTTCCCTTGTCAGAAACAAGTTACAAATAAGGTACAAAAAAACAATCAAAAAAAAAGTAAAAAAAAAAAAAAAACAATCAAAAAAAAAAAAAACGCTCCCTTGTTACTGTTAGCTTGTTGTGGTAAGGGAGCTTGCATACTTTCATGAACTCTAAGAGCAATGCCATTGGGAGGACACTCCTGGCAGGTTTTACCAAATTGGACAGGTCAAGGGCAAGGAGTTGGACGAAACCCAGTCAAGTATTTTCTTGTTAAGTTACTCATGGAGAATGGTCTTACTATTTTTCATGTTTATATCACCAACTTTACATTATTTGACTGCTCTAATGAGATGGCGGCCATCTTTAAAACAGCGATTACAGCCTCCAGTCTTCTTGTGTGTGATGCAACAAGCTTGGCAAACCTGGATTTGGGGAGTTTTTCCCATTCTTCCTTGCAAATCCTCTCAAGCTTAGTAAGGTTGGATGGGCAGCGTCGGTGCACAGCTACTTTCAGGTCTTTCCAAAGATGTTCAATCGCGTTCAAGTCTGGGCTCTGGCTGGGCCACTCAAGGACATTTAGAGACTTGTCCTGAAGCCACTCCTTTGTCTTCTTGGCCATGTGCTTAGGGTCATTGTCATGCTGGAAGATGAAGCGTCGCCTCAGTCGAAGGTCTCGAGCGCTCTGGAGCAGGTTTTCATCAAGGATTTCGATGTACTTTGCTGCATTAATTTTTCCCTCAATCCTGACGAGTCTCCCAGTTCCTGCCGCTGAAAAACATCCCCACAGCATGATGCTGCCACCACCATGCTTCACTGTAGGGATGGTATTGGCGAGGTGGTGAGCGGTGCCTGGTTCCCTTCAGACATGACGCTTGGCATTCAGGCCAAAGAGTTCGATCTTCATTTCATCAGACCAGAGAAGTTTGTTTCTCCTGGCCTGTGAATCCTTCAGATGCTTTCTGGCAAAGTCCAAGCGGGCTGTCATGTGCTTTTTACTGAGGAGTGGCTTCTGTCTGGCCACTCTACCATTAATGCCTGACTGGTGGAGTGCTGCAGAGATGGTGGTCCTTCTGTAGGGTTCTCCCATCTCCTCAGAAAAACGCTGGAGCTCTGTCAGAGTGACCATCGGGTTCTTGGTCACCTCCCTGACCAAGGCCCTTCTCCCCCCCTTGCACCTTCCCCACATCTGTGTGCCAATACAACCCTGTTTCGGAGGTCTACAGACAATTCTTTCGACTTCATGGCTTGGTTTGTGCTCTGACGTGCTCTGTCAGCTGTGGGATCTTATTTAGACAGCTGTGGCTTTCCAAATCATGTCCAATCAGCTGAATTTGCCACAGGTAGACTGCAATAAAGTTGGAGGAACATTTCAAGGCTGATCAGTGGAAATAGGATGCACCTGAGCTCAATTTTGAGTTTTATAGCAAAGGGTGTGAATACTTATGTATATGCAACATTTGAGTGTCTTATTTTTAATAAATTTGCAAAATGTTCCAAAAAAAAGTTTTTTGCTTTGTCATTATGGGGTATTTTGTGTAGAATTTTTGAGGGAAAAAAGGAATTTAATCCATTTTGGAATAAGGCTGTAACATAACAAAATGTGGAAAAAGTGAAGTGGTATGAATACTTTCCGGGTGCAATGTATACAACTAATTTGACATGTATATCACCTAATTGTTCCACGTAGGTGGTGGCCATCTTGAAAGTTCAAACGGCTGGGACACTTTTCTAGTCAAGTGACCTATGGAGAATATTCATGCAAATTTTCATGGCTATATCACCAATTTAACAAGTACATCACCTAATTGTTCCACTTAGTGGCGGCCATCATGAAAAATGGTGGGACACTTTTCCAGTCAAGTGACCCATGGAGAATGTGCATACTTACTTTCACGCTTGTATCACCAACTGAACGATTCGGGCTACAATTTGTACTTGGTCGCTGCGCTAAGAATTCATAACAACATGTAATGCCAGAGAAAAAGGCACCTGCTCTGTATTGTCAAGTTCCTGGTATGCACCAATGTAGCGCAGTGCTCTGGCGATGACATCCTACAAAATAAACATACCAGGCATCAAACACACATATACACACAATCAAACTATTTTAAAATATGATTTTTAATTTAAGGAGAAGAACATTATGTTAACTTTGAGAGTCTCTGTGTGTCTTACTTTAACAGCAGGAACAGGTTTTTTGGGAGCTTTGACCAGGCTGATGGTGGTGTCAACCTCGTCAGTGGTATTGCTGTCTCTGAGCTGTTTTTTGTATTCTGCGACAGCCTCAGTCTTCTCCACGAGGTATGGACCAAAGCTAGGGAGGCTCTGCACACACACACACGCACACAGGCTTAAAGGCATATTTTGAGTGTCACATCAGAAATAATGGAGATGGCAGTTGTTGGGATAGGACAATTTTGAGGGTAAATATGCATATACAAATAATTACTCTGACAGTAATTATTATATGGGAAAACATTTGAGGTCTTCAGAGAAAGGCAATCCTCTCAGGGCTCAAAGGACAGCATCTTCACTAACACCAAAGTTAATGAACAAAACCCATGAAGGAGGTTGTTTCACTATCTCTAAGGCATGATCGGGATCCTAGAGGATGCAAATCTTACAAAAGCGGGTTGTTTTAACATTAGTATAGCTGGGAGCAAGCAGTAAAAAGAATCTCTGCGGGTCTCTTACATAGCAAGTGCCAATGATGATGGAATTAGCACAGGATGTAAAAAATTATTGTTTGTGGAAATGCAAGATGCTGCATCTCAAGTGGCTATCCTAAATAAATGGAATTGAATTGTTTTTTCCATAAAACAAAGACAAAGCAAGGCAAGTCTGATATTTAGTTGAATATTTCACTTGTAATGATATAAATGACAAAAAAGACTAGGACTTTGTTAGTTGTGACAAATGTATAAATCTGATTGACTTTGGGCACAAATCAGACAACTCTGACTTGAGGTGGCATATCTGCTCAGTTGTTCACAGAAAGCTCTGGTGAACAATAGGGGCTCTATTTTGGTGCCTCGCCGGAGATCTGCCGCAAGCGCAGCGTCAATCAGATCCGCCGCGCTGACAAGGCGTTCCCAAGCACATTTTGGTATTTTGGTGAGCCGCGCAGCCCGGCGTAAGTATCCCCCCTCCCTAACTCAGCTCCTCCCAGCAGCATAAGTCGTAGACGGGGAGGACAGAGGGCGTGTAGTAGATTTAACACAGCCGAGACCTGTTTTCACCAATCACATAAGCTCCTCTCCTTGCCTTTAAATCCGTGTAATGTTGGACCCACTGGTAAGACAAACACCCTTTTCCACAAATAAAGACACTCACATAAAGTTGCATATATTCAAACCTCACGTGACAAAGGTGGGTTTAGCGCACAGATCACAACATAAACTCCAAAAATGGCATTAAAATCGGAACCATCTGTGCGTAAATGACGCATCGCGCTCCGTGGCCTGGCTCTTTCTTTCATAGATGTTGGCATATAAAATAAATTTGGCCCACAAAACTGAATATTATAATATCCGTATGTCGGCTTAAAGTAGATCACGCATCTGAGCACTGAAACAAATCATCTGATCAGCCGCAGCAGCAAGCAAGACGGACAGAGGACACGGAGACGTGTCCAGGTCGAGCTGTGCGAGAAATAAGAGGAAGAAAGAAAAGGAGGGAGACACATTACATATCTTGTTAACTTCATCATGTGTGTTTATTTACTAGATATTTAATTTAATTTGATGCAGTTTCAGCTGTATTGATTTGGTCAGGTTGTGTGCCCAAACACGTGCCAAACGCGTGCCAAACGCGCTCATCAGATCAGATATAGATCAGAATATATCGATATAGATCTAAATGTATGTGCTGACTCAGATTAATAGTTGTTGATGATTATTTATTGCACTGAAATCTGCCTGACACTGTGGAAACCTGCCGGTGAGGCATCAGTGACGTATGTCGATACGCCGCCGGTCTACCAAAATACTACTAGACCAGCTGCGTTCCGCCTTGCGCTGAAAGCTGACCAGGTTTGAATCGGCGAGCTTTCAGCGCACGTTACACGCCGGTGGCGAGCACGAAAATGTCACTGCGCCAGCTGATTCTGTCAACACCTCCCCCTGCCACGCCACCACGCCCAGCTTGGCGGATCTCGGCTCGCCTCCGTGCGACTCAGTCCACGAAAATACCAAACTCGCCTTACACCGGGCTCCGCCAGACGAAAATACAACTGCACGGGGCTCGCCGCCCTCCGCCGCCTCACCGGCGCGAACGAAAATAGAGCCCTAGAGCTCTTCTAATGCACAGATTCAACAAAAAGCTACAAAGAAATGTGTCAATAAGCCACAGTTAAGTTATTAAGAACACCAATGACACATGTAAGAGTAGTGTATGCACGCGCTCAGTTAACATGTGATTCCTCTCTGGGGTTGTGTAACCAGTGCTTCTACTATGACTGAATTGCAACTGTTAAACACACAATAAAATGCTTTATAACCAGTTTAGCCATGTTTAGTCCTTCAGTCTGATGATATAACCATGAAAACAACCAGTGATGGCACAACTGACAAAATTCTTTAAAGGCTGACTGGTGGCAGTCATGCACATGTGTGCACAGGACATCACTATGCATTTCTCTGCTAAATGCACTCAGATTTGGGGGGACAGAGTTGTGACTATCAGATCTTTGATTAATTAAATCAAACATTCTGTCCCCTCATCTTGAGAAAAAAAACTTTGAACAAAGTTTCAGTGCACACCTATGACTAATGATGCTTTACTAAGCTGAATACTTTCATGTTCATATTCTTTTAAATAAGACACAATGATCGCCAGTTATTCTGACTGCATAAACATAAATTGTCAGAATTTTCATGAGTGGGATTGGTCAGAAGTGGTAGCAGGTGGGAGTGTAATAAGAAACTGGTTCAATTAGTGCTCTACTTTCAAAACTTCTAATTTCTGTTGGCAAGTTAGATGATACATGTATGCTTTAATCCAAGCACTGTCTCAAAATTAAATTATCTAGATTGCATGTATTTAACTTTCTGAGAAGGATAACTATCTCAGTTTAAATGAAGAAAAACCCTTTCTATATTCTGTAATTGCTTACTGGTGTAGATTTGCAGAGATTTTTGGCTGCTAATAGGATTTGAATTTGTTTCATCAGAAAAGTTGTTTATTTATTTTCTAATTTCTGGCAATGAAATAGCTATAAGATGTAAACTATAAAAGACTTTTAAACACGAAACCTTTTATTAGGGTGCACCACTTGAATTAGCGAATTTCTTCAAACAGCCCACCCTTTGCTGCACCTCTTCCCCAAGACAGTATGGCTATTTAAATAACTCTATTTAAATACTTGTGGTGGTACCTTTCCAACCAGTTCTTCAATTCTGGGGACAGGTTTCCCCTTCTGATGTCTCTCCGTTGGAGGAGACTGACCATCCCAGTCCTTCAGCTCCAGACTTTTCAGGTACAATAAAGCCTTCAGACCTGAACAAAAACGTTCATCATCATGATACATCTCAAAGCACTTCAATCTAGAGACACACTTCAGTTTATGGTAAATTCAGTAGAGTTAAGCTAAGGTGACCAGATTTCTATAATGAAATCCGGGGACAACATTTTTGTTCTCATTCATGAAACGCTTAAATCAGGGACATTTCAGGGGACAGCTTTAGCCGGGGACAGGTCATCCATTATGGGGACTGTCCCCGGAAATCAGGGATGTCTGGTCACCTCAAGTTAAGCCCATACAAAGAGTTGTGTAGGTAACCCTTTACACCTGCACGAAAAGCAGGTGTTTTAAAACAAACTTGGTTAAAAAAAGATGACTTTTTGTCACAGATATCCCCCAGCACTATTATTGTGATAGCATAATTCCAGAAGCTGCACTCAACCAAGTAACAGCAAGTCTGTGCTGTCTGAATTTTCTGCAATTTTTTACCCAATTCTTTTCTTATTTTTGTCATGTTTTTTGGCTGCTGATGGAGATTCCTGCTGGGAAAAGAGTTTACTCAAGGGAGGAGTGTCTTTTATTAAGATTGGGCAAATATGGATGACAACATCCAATTCCAGAAGACATCAGGAGGCATTATTGTGGCTGCTGTGCTGGTGTAAAGGTGAAGGCAGTGTTTCCCTTGTAGTGTATTTGGTGCCCCGCCCTGCCAACGAGATCCCAACCCAGAAATTGAAGTCGTAGATTAAGATATAAATTTATTTTTTATCAAAACGGCCTATAAAATCTCTCTCTATCTCACAACTATAGACTGTATATGCTCACAACATACACATGTGCTGAAATGCTTAGAGGCATGGCATGTTAGCACCACTGATTCTTGTATTCTTGTTTGCGAGCGCTTGCCGCTCATACCCTGCCAGTTTTGCGCAGGATGGTTTTGACAACCTGGGGTTCTGGCTTCATTCCATTGTGTTTGCTGCCAACAAAACAGTAAAAAAAAACTGTTCACGGAGCACCAAATTGTCCAGCTGTTCAGCACCCCAGTTGAAAATATCTGTATTCTTTAAAAAGACGGTACATAGTTATGCTGATGCCGGACATTCTCTTGTGGAAGCTAGCTTAAGCATCTCTCCTAACCACAAAAACAGTGCTAGCTCATTTACCGCCACACTGTATGACATACACATACGTCATACGGGGTGATGTATGTCTCCGTCATACTCTCCCCCTCCCCTAACCCCCCGCCAAAGCAAAAAAGCTAGGGGAAACACTGGAAGGTAAGGTTAAAGGGTAGAAAATAGAGACATAAGCCCTTTCTTTCATAGAGTCTCTGCTCATACAGTCTCTTTTAGTGAAGTGAACCTCCTCCAACTTTTAATTCTGAGAGACTTTTACTGTACTACCTCTGAATTGATGAAGACTGAGGAAGAATACTGTAAGTGCAGCTTCCTGTGTTTTACTGAAACCTGGTGGACTCAAAACAACCCCTACCCCAGTGTGGATCGACCTGGCTTCACTCTCATAAGGTCAGACAGAGATGTTCAAGCTAGTGGCAAGAAGAAAGGAGGAGGTCTGGCTTTATTTGTCAACCAGAGACGGTGTAACCCTTCACACATGACTGTCAAGGAGTTTTGTTGTCCAGATATTGAGCTGTTGGCAATTGCTCTTTAGCCATATTATGTTCCAAGAGACTTCACTCATATTATCACAATACTTAGATGTATACATGTATTCTCCATGACACTGTTGCTAGGATATGGACTCAGCACCCTGAGGTACTTGTAATAGTACTAGGAGACTTCAATTGTGTCACCCTCTCCTCTCACCTGACTGGATTTACACAGTTTGTGAACTGTCCTACCAGAGAAAATTTTATTGAGAGTCCAGACAAATAAATGTCCCTTTTGGGGTAGATAAAGTTATTGTTTTGTATTGCATTGTTGTATTGTTCTGTATTGTATTGTATATCAAAAACACATTCAAGAAGATTATGAGATAAATGGTACAAAAGCTCGGTTACATACCCACACAGTAATCCTCGATCACTGTGAAGTCTTGATTCTGTACAGCACTGCACACCTTTGATGATCAGATGTAAAACAACCAAAAAACATTAATAACAGCCATGAGGAATTTTACATGTTTCAGAACATTGTGCTTGTGCATGTGGATGTTAGTTTGTGTTTCTTTAATTACTGACAAGGTCATTGTTCCAGTAAAAAATGGCAAGACTTATGCTGATTTTTGATGAATGGGATATCAATTTACAATTGATTGAAAATCATATATACATATGTATATATATAAATGTATATATATATATATATACACACATATATATATATATATATGATTTACATACCTGCATCTTATCAAATCAGAGTTTTCTGCTACATTCATTAATCCAGTGAAGGTTTTAGTGCCAAAGGCTCTTATGTGCAAATCGACAAACAAGTTTTCTCATTTTATAGAGCAGGCTCAAGACCCACCTTTTCAGCCCAGCTTTTGCTTAATATTATTTGTTTTCTCTCCATTTATTCTAGTTAGCCTAGGTTTCTTATTTTATATTTTATTTGTATTTATTGTCACTAAGATGGTCTGTGTTTTATTCATATTTTATTTTTCGCTTGTTCTTATCCTTTCATCATTTTTAGGACCCCCTCTGAGGGAGCCCTCAGTACCAGGTCAAGGGGTTCCTGGTGGAGGTTGGTACCTGCCAAATCTCTCCTCTGGCCCTGTGTTGTTGTCCTGTGGCTGTGGGCGGCTCTCTGCTCCTGGTGCTGACGGCTCCTCTAGTGGTGCTTTCAAAACTGGTTCATCTGTGCAGGTGTGTTGGTGTGTGTGTGTGTGTGTGTGTGTGTGTGTGTGTGTGTGTGTGTGCATGGCTTTGGATGAGATTGTATTGTTGGCTGGGGTAAGGTATCTGTGTGTGTGTGTGTGTGTGTGTGTGTGGGAATAGTTTTTGTTTTAAATCAACAGTAAAGCACTTTGCGTTACATTCTTTGTTGGAAAAGCGCTTTATAAATAAAGTTCGATTGATTGATGGATTGATTTTTGATACAGTGCTGCCTGAGAGCCTGCTGATCAGGCTGTTCAGTGGCTTTTCAGCTTTTGGCCTTGTCCATGTTGCACAGATTTTTTCCAGAATCTCTTGATATTTAAACAATAATACTTAAGAAATGGTGAAATCAGTGAATTATTTGCTGTTTAAAACAGGGGAACAAAATTCAAAATTGAATGTTTTGCTCATATAGTCTTTGTTAGTTAAGTAAATTGCCTCCAGTTTTTACCTCTGTGAGACTCAGCCTGTCTAAATGCCCTTTTCTACCCAGTCACATCACTAACCTGTTGAAAAACAGCCTTGTCAGACAGAAGACGGTCGTTTAGGTGTTTTTATTTTTTTAATGTATTGCAAAACTTTTCTGTGTTTTGTTGCTCCCATCTTTTTTTTTCTAAACATGTTGCAGGAATCAAACTAAAAACTAGAATATATTTATGAGGGGAAAAAAAGCTAGTTTCAACTTTTGAAATGTCGTCTATTTAGCACTTAAATGTGGTCTTAGTTAATTGCAAACCACCAACATCTGTTCCATCATTTCACACGGTGTCACTTTTTTTTGGACTAAAGGTCTATTTTGAAGAATAAACAAACAAACAAACAACAACAAAAAAAACAACAGACAAACCAAGAAAAAAAAAAACAGAGACTAGTACGACATCTACAGAGCCCTTAAGAGGACATGAAGGAAAAGATTTTATCGAGATTTTTCGAGATTTTTTGCGAGATCTCGCAAAACTATTGTGAGATCTTGCAAAACATTTGCAAGCCCTTGCATTGTTGTCAAAGGGTTATTGGTCAAAAGGTTAAAGGTCAGTGTATTTCTGCGGTGTCCAGTCAACCCAAATGATGAAACGCACACGGAAGGGGAAGAGGTTTGTTGCTAGTGATGGTGAGATGAAGCCTCTTGAAGCATTGAAGTTTTATACCCAATTACTCGACTCCTGGGCTGAAGCTTTATTATTGTGCTTCATTTGCTCTACTGTGCCATCAAGTGGACAATAGATGTAAAACAGGCAAAGCTATTAAAGACAACCTAAGGCTTTAGTGTGCAAAGCTTTGAATTGAATAAATGAATGAATGTAATGCTGTGTGTTTGTGCCAGAGCTCGCAATAGTTTTGCGAGATCACGCAAAAAATCTCGATAAAATTCAAAAAATAAATTTTTCCTACATGTCCCCTTAGGGGCTCCGTAGACATCAGAGGTAGTACAGTAAAAATAGTAAGTTAGTGTTGATCATTTATGATATGAAACCATATCTTTGATAACTGGAACATAATGATGATTTAAGACGTGTATGTGATAACAGAGTATAAGAAATGCAGCAAAAAGGTGTCAGAGCCTCATAATCACCTGTAAGACTGAGGCCCCGGCATGAAGAAACTGTAGTCCAGTATCAGCTGAGTCGATTCCTCCTGTGGCTAAAATAGGGTAACCAGGAATGGCTCTGCCAATGGCTGACACTGCTCTGAGAGCAATCGGTCTGATGGCATTACCTACAAACATTTTGACAGTCATTTTCTAGACTTTTGGGAGGAGCACTTTCCTACAAAAATTCAATCATCTATCAAAGAATGATACAGTATCTTATCAAGTTCATGTATGACGTTTGAGTTGTTTTTGCCCCTGACTACTTGGCCAACATGGCAGAACTTAAAGAGACTAGTTGGCAACAATTCCATGATGAGCTACAGCCTGCATTGTCCACTCTGACTCAGCAGCTACTCCCAGGCTACATAGCCGAAATTAATGGCATCGATGCCAGCGAGCTTGAAAACATAATGGCTGATGAGATTGATTGGGTTGCACAGACCTCCCCAGAGCTTTAGCACACTTGGCTATTGTGATGTCTGTCCAACTCAAAAGACAGAATGAAGTCATAGACGATGTAGAGTCATTTATTAAATGTTATAAAATGAACTACTCTGTCTCTTGGAACAAGCTGTGCACCTGCTATTCTGAATTTATGCTATGAGCTAAAGCCCGGAGTCACTGCCAAGCATGCAAGAGACATCCTGACTAGGAAAACGTTTAGGCTGTGCTTGTGGAAAAGTTGAACCAGTTTTAAGCATGTTGATAGGTAGTGTGCAGGTGGCCTTCTCATGGAAACCAGAGAAGGGTACTTTTACGGTCATAGTGATGCTAAATAATGGTCTGTATGGAATGCACCCTGATGCCAGATTGAAGGGCCTTGTATTGTTTATGTCTAGTGAAGTCTCAAGACACCATTAGAAAACAAACACCTGTTGGCTGAGCTCAGCAGGGAGAGGCTTTGCCTTATCAGCCTTGCCCAGACACCATTAGAAATGAGGGTTTAAGAACTTACATAAAGAAAAAGGGTTGGTACCAAAATTGGAAGTGAACGCCCATTGGAAATGGTATATAAGAAGGGGATTTTTCTCTGTTACCACAGTCTGAATTCTGCAGAGTTTATTCTCACTGACTTTGTTTATTCACATGCTAAATAAAGTGTCTTAGATGCAACTTGGACAGCCTCATCTCCTGATTTGACTCCGATTGCTGATTTCACCATCAAAGGTTCTACACTTAGACTTAGACAAGGCCCAACAAAGCTAGTAGTGCCTAGAGTAGAGCTTAGCAGCTGTCAAGATACCCAGTGGGACAGCTCCAGCAGCCATCACCTAGAAGATTGAGACACATCAACAGTGCCAAATCACACATACAGGCACAAATGAACGAAATTGGTGATCTCAAAGTGGAGCTGGAGGACACCGAAAGAACTCTAAAGCAGACTCAAGACTGCTTGGCTGAGATGCAAACAGAGCCTCCATACCCACCAGATCAAGAAGACTCTTCTTTAAGAGACCAAATCTCAAACTTGCATGACACCCTTGAGAGAAGGGAAGCTGAGCTTATGGATACTAATTCAAGAATTCTTGCAAAGAAATGGAGCTGAATGATGTGCTTGAACTGAGAGGTTGCTGCAAGTCTGGTCTCTTTGTATTATCTGTAATTTTTGCTAGATTTTTTTTCATATTTTTGTTGTCATTTTGTTGGCTGCTGATGGACTTCTCTTGGGCGAAGAGTTTACTCAAGAGAGAGCTCCTTTCATTGAGGAAAAGCAAATCTAGACAACAACATACAATTCCAGAGGACATCAGGAGGTGTTATTGTGGTTGCTGTGCTGGTGCAAAAGTGAAGACAAAGCTGAATGCTAGGAGGTGGCGATATAAACCCTTTCTTTCATCAATCATCATGGGAAATGTCAACTCTCTGCCCAACAAAAGCAATGAGCTGGAGCTATTGGTGAAGACTGAGGAAGAATTCTGTGAGTGCAGCTTCCTGTGTTTTACTACAACTCAGACTCCAGTGTGGAGCTACCTGGCTTCACTCTCTTAAGGTCAGACAGAGATGCGAAAGTGAGTGGCAAGAAGAAAGGAGGGGGTCTGGCTTTATTTGTCAACCAGAGATGGTGTAACCCTTCACACATGACTGTCAATGATAGGTTGTGTTGTCCAGATATTGAACTGTTGGCAGTTGCTTTTTGGCTATATTATGTTCCAAGAACATGTTGGAATATGTTATGGAACATGTTATGGTCAGTCATATCATAGCAGTAGTTGTTTACATCCTACCCAAATCAACTGAATAAATTCCATGTGATCTTTTGCATAATATTGTTGCCAGGCTACAGACTCAACACCCGGAGGCACTAATAATAATATTAGGAGACTTCAACCATGTCATCCTTTCCTCTCACCTGACTGGATTTTCACAGTTTGTGAACTGTCCTACCAGAGAAAACAAAACCCTGGATCTGCTGTATGCCAACGTCAAAGAAGCCTACAGAGCCACTGCCATACCACCACTGGGCAAGTCAGATCATAACTTGTACTGAGGCAGCCTGTGACCAAAGTCAAAATCAGAGGATAGACACCTCAAGCCAGTGAAGCTCTAAGGGACTGTTTTAAATCAACAGACTGGAATGTGCTGCTGGAAACAGATGTGGATAGTATGAACATTGACAAACAAGTTGACTGCTTTACTGAATATATCAACTTCTGTAGAGACACAGTTATACCCACAAAGACTGTTCGCTGTTTCTACAACAACAAACCATGGATCACAAGAGACATAAAAGCAATACTTAACCAGAAAAAGACAGCTTTTAAAGATGGTGACAAAGAATGACTCAAACAAGTGCAACAAAAGTTGAAGAGGAGACTGAAGATGGCAAAGCTGGAGAACAAAAAGAAGATAGAGAAGAATCTACAACACAGCAACATCCATGAAGTGTGGAGAGGAATCAGTATCATCTCTGGAAACAGCAATAAAAAGAAAAAACAGCCAGTGGTGGGTGATCTGGAAAGAGCTGATAAACTCAACCTGTTCTTCAACAGATTTGACACTGCTGTCACACCCACTTCCACTGCTACTCCACCTTCCTCTCGGCAACAAATCTCCACTTAAACTTCTCCCCTTACTCCTCTATCTCATTCAAATGTCTCAACCATTTCAACTGCTTCCCTCCTAGAACACTAGTCCTTGTCTGTCACCGAAACAGGGGTGAGGATGAAGCTTGGAAGACTTTGTCCTGGGAAGGCAGCTGGTCCAGAGGCTGCTTAGAGACTGTGCTGCAGAACTGTGTCAACCTCTCCACAGGATCTTCAACCTGAGTCTACAGCTGGGGCGGGAACCTACTCTGTGGAAAACATCTTGCATTGTGCCAGTACCAAAAACAAAATGTCCTGCTGAACTCAATGACTACAGACCAGTGGTCCTCACTTCACACATTATGAAAACCCTGGAGCAACTGATTCTATGCCTTCTGAGGTCTGAGGTCAAAGACAAACTGGACTCCCTGCAGTTTGCATACAAAGAACACATTGGAATGTAGGATGCTGTCCTCTACATGCTTCACCGTGCCCTGTCTCATCTGGAGGAACCTGGGGTTTATGTGAGGATCATTTTCTTTGACTTTTCAAGTAAATTCAACACCATCCAACCTACCGTACTTAAAGACAAGCTCACAGAGATGGGAGTGGATCTTTCCTGTGTTTCCTGGATCACAGATTACCTGACAGGAAGGCCACAGTTTGTCAAGCTGGGGAACTGTGTTTCTGGGACATTAATGAGCAGTACAGGGGCTCCACAAGGGACAGTGCTGGCACCATTCCTGTTTACACTGTATACGTCAGACTTTAAATACAGCACTGAGTCCTGCCACATCCAGAAATAATCAGATGACACTGCTATTGTGGCATGTATCAGAAATGGACAAGAAACTGAATACAGAGAACTGATAAGAGCCTTCAGTGTCTGAAGTCACAAACACTGCCTCCTCCTCAACACCACAAAGAAAAAGGAAATGGTCATAGACTTCCGTAGATCCAAACCCCCTCTTCAGCCAGTAAACACCTGTTGAGTGGACATCGAAGTGGTGACATCATATAAATACCTAGGTGTACATCTGGATAATAAGTTGGACTGGTCTGAGACTACAGACTTCATCTACAGAGAGGGGCTGAGAACTGCCTCTTTTGCCTGAGAAGACTCCGATGGATAGACATCTGTAGTGAGATGCTGCAGATGTTTTATCAGTCTGTGGTGGCAAGTGTTCTGTTCTACACTGGAGTCTGTTGGGAAGGAAGCATCAAACAAAAGATGCAAGACGTCTTAACAAACTGGTGAAAAAGGCTGGCTCTGTGGTTGGACTCAAGCTGGACTTGGTGGAGGATGTGGTGGAGAGATCTACGCTGAGGAAGGTGGAGACTATTCTCAAGCACATGAATCTCCCACTTCACAACACCTTGATGGACCAAAGGGCTGGTGGTGGTGGAAGGCTCCTCTCTCTTAACTGCAGGACAGAGCGATTCAGAAGATCTTTTGTACCAACAGCCATCAGACTTTATAACTCTTGTGTAAATTGTAGATAACTTTAAGAGACATGTCAAGTGAGACAACAGACAACTGAATTTCCCTTCAGGGATTAATAAAGTTCTTCTTCTTCTGCTTCTTCTTCTTCCTCAGTCAAGAATACAGATCAGCTTAGATCAGTCCTCAGCTGAGGCGAGGGACTGGAAGGCCAAGTTCGAGAGCAAAAAAATGTGGCCCTTGAAGCCTAAGGGAGACATTCTTTGAATTTAAAGCAACTGCTCTTAGAGACTCAAAGACAAGTTAGTATGGGCCAACATCATCAAGATCAGAGTGGCCAAAGATCACTAGGTGATCAACAGGTGCTCCAATACCCCACTTTTCAACTGGGTCGTATCTCCAAAGGACATCCGGGTCAATCAAGGATTAATTACACCGGACAGGCCCCTGGGGATAATTAGTCGCTCCTCTCCCAACCAACACCTGCTGGGTATCATTTACAATGGCATGACCGCTACTCCCTTGACCCTACGAGGTTATCTCTGAGCTACCAACCTCAGTCCACACCCGCTGCTCATCAAGCTGCATATCCCTCAGACAGAGATCTTGACAACATGGATTGTAATATCACATGCTGTGAACCCAGTCGCAAGGTCCAGAAGATCGACACACCTACTTGAAAGACATCAGCTTCTACTTGAGGAAGTTTCCAGGTGCTCTTGTTGATGACAAAATCTACTTGATCAAAGCTACCTCCAATCGAGAGGTTAGCAGCTTCATTGGACAACAACCCTGTTGGGTCAAGAACAACTATGTCCTGCTGTGTCAGGCATTAATTGATGAGTTCTCTGACTCACTAACACCGACTGGTTTAGCCGCTGCACTGTTAGTCAAACAGGAGAGACAGGAATCTCCCCAGTCATACTACGGTCAGCTGCGCCAGGCTTACTTTGGTAGTCGAAATGAACCTGAAATGGAAGAGGACCTGAACTTCAAAACCTTGTGCATTCAAAACCTCCATCCCACCACGAGTCATCACCTTGGCGTTGCAGCTTGTCCCTGAACCTTAGACAGCAGACAGCTCTGTGAACTGGCTGTGAAAGGCTTCGCCAAACAACGACACACCCTATCTAAGAAACCCAGACTCCTGATACCGATCACATCAAATCAGGACAGTCAATCCCTGAAGCCTGTCAGGTGTCCAATGAACACAACATTCTCATACCTGCAATGACTAAAGGCGTGCCCATTTGCTTGGACCCACAACGTGGACAACAGCTGTCACGCACTCAAGCCTTCTTCCTACCATTGTTGCTCTTTCTTGAACTCAGGCTGTCTACTCAGGCAACCCCTTTCTTAGAGCTTCACTCTAGATTCACACACTTGCTTGTACAAAACACGACATTGGAAAATATTCTGATCCCAAAATCCATCCTGCTGATCAGCACTTCATTCTACAACTTCAAATTGAGGATTCCTGTAATAGGAAAAATGCCTCGTTCACTAATCTCAGACCACTCACCAGAGCAGGTCTTTCATACCCTACCTTCCAGGGCTATATCGCTCTTGCCAACTGTACCACTGGACCATGACACCATCTGTCAGGTTGACCTCTCTGAGGACTCACAGACGGTTCTGCACACAGTGAAAGTCCTAAATGTCAGTTTGGAGCCAGAAACGGCCCCTGTACTTCCAGGGGTAGAAACCTCTACCTCCCCAACCATGCCAACACCAGAGCAAGATCCAGACTTTGACACCAAAGTGGAACAACTCTTGGCCAAGACTGACGCCCTAAATTGAAAGGAGGAGCATGAAAAACTTTGCAACCTTTGGCACTAACATTGAGCCTCTTTTGCAAAAGACTCGCTTGACTGTGGCTTAACCTCTATCCACACTGTCCGCATCCCAACACCAGCTCACAAATGCCGGTGCCAAGACATCCCTGTCAAAATGTGAGTGTGCAACTGCTCCCAGCAGTTCATTGAGGACTATGCAGACTTGGCAAAACCCCTCACCAACTTGCTGAAAAAGGAGGTGCCATTCACTTGGGGGCTGTCCCAACAGCAAGCCATGCAAGCTTTGAAAGACAGACTTTGTGCAGCTTCTTGTCTTGCCTACCAAGACTGCAACAGACCATTCTATCTACAGGTCGGCTTCTGTAGTCACTGCCTCATTGCAGGACTGTACCAGATCCATGACTCAGATAAGCCGGTCGTAGCATATGCTAGCAAAACCTTGTTGCACCAAAAGCACCAAAAAGTGCTTCTTGCCACTGTGTGGGCAGTAAAGCCCTTTTTGAATTATCTTGGAGGCCAAAAGGTAATTGTGGAAACCAACCACCAACCAGTAACCTTCCTTAACAGCCAAAGGGTCAGAGACAGTGTTGTAACCAATGCTCATGTAGCATCTTGGCTTATGGCCCTTCAGAGCTTTGACATTGAGGTGCACTATGCACAAAATCCCAAAACACCTCTCGGTATGGAACTCGCAGCATGCCAAAGCTGCTTGACAGATGGCTTGGACACAGGGTCCCCGAACTGTGACCAGGAACCACCAACAATCTTGCCACCGATACTTTGACGACAACATCTGCAAAGACATGATTACAACATATGTTGATGGTTGTTCATATCATCATGACACGATTGTCCGAGCGTAGGCGTCGTCTGGTTCGGCAACACACTGTGTGAACCGCTCAGTTTCAAACTGGGGACCCAAACATCCCAGTACGCTGAAATGGCAAGCATTCTGATTGTTTTGCAACTTGCTGTAGAACACAAAATCCACGCCTTGACGATCTGTACAGACTCTAACTATGCATGTCTGTTTCTCGTGCCATCTGCTCCTGTGGAACCGTAATGGTCTCTTGACCTTGAACAGAAAGCCGGTCAAAAACAAAGAACTGTTCCTGGCATGTGACTACTTAACTAAACATGATCTTCAGGTCTACTGGTAGAAAGTCAGGGGGCACTCTTGTGTCCCTGGCCCAGACAAGATGTTCAATGACCAGGCTGACTTTTCGGCCAAACAGGGAGCCGTAACTGGCTCACACTGGCAATTTGGGCCCTCTGTTTTTCCCCAGCTGTCTGAGCCTGTGGTTTGTGCCATCACCAGAGCCCAATCTTTCAGAGCCTAACTCCACTTCTAACTCCACTATGGCTCCTGATCTGCTTAATTCCATCCCTGACCTGCGCCATCTCTTTCCTGCGTGTTCTTCGCTTCAATTTGTCAAGCACTTCCTTGTTTTTGTCTCCGATGCACTCACTTCACCTGCCTTGGTGGTGCCTCGCAGCCGCAGGGGGGTGATGTTAACATACACCCATAACTCACCATGCGCAGGACACAGGGGAAACAAAGCCATGTTCAACGTACTCCAGCAGGTGGCCTATTGGCCACAAATGCAAAAAGATCTAGCTGATTACATCAAAGGATGCTTGGTTTGCTGCCAATTCCAACTGGCAAATCCACTTCACAGAGCACCTCTACAATGCAGAGGTATCTCATGTCCCTGGTCAGACCTCCAGATCGATTGGATGGGCCCTTTCACCGAGTCAGCAAGAGGGAAGAAATACTTCCTCACAGTTGTCTGCACATTTACCAAGTGGGTAGGCTATGGCCCAGACCACAGCCTGCCTCTTGATGAACCATGTCTTCTCGTGGTTTGGACTCCCAAGTTGTGTCAACTCTGACTGAGTGACACACTTCACATCAGAGGTCATGCAACAACTGTGGTAACTGTTAGGTATCAAAGCCAACTTCCACATCAGCCACAACCCCCAGTCGTCTGGACAGGTCAAACAAGCAAATCGAACAGTGGTAACTATATTGAAAAAGTACGTGTTGGCCAACCACAAGGACTGGGATGTTAAGCTTCCCTTGTTCCTAATGGCCACCAGGGCGACTCAACATGAGTCAAATGGGTTCTCACCCTTCTAGCTGATGACAGGCAGACAGATGACGCTGCCTCTGCACCTTTTCTATCAGCCGGGTGAGGCCAGCAGTGCGACAGCCTACACGACCCATCAATACATGACTGGCTTCCACCAGCTCCTGAAGGCAACCTTTGCCTTTACCCAAGAGCATCTCAGTAAAAGTGCAGAAGGGCACAAGTCTTACCATGACCAAAAAGCCTCCCAACAAGAACTCCAGGTGGGCGACAAGGTGTGGCAACTGTGGTCTTACACCCATGACGTCCAGCACTTGATGCCCTACCACAGCCAAACCCCTTGCACAGGTGTCTGTGATGCAAGCAGAAATGGTGGGTCACCATTGGCTAGTCAACAACCCCACTAAGACTAAGACGTGTTGGTAACTTATGACCAACACGACACTGCCACAAGCATTCCCTTACTTGATCAGACCATGTGGATTGAGGTGCTGCCAAATGCCATTCTCCATGTGGATGACATTGCCCTCCATTACCTTAACCCTGACCAACCTGAAACAGAGGTTGAAGTACCAGCGTTTTTCAGCAAGCATGCACTCCAGTTAGATCTTAAAACCATCTCCGAGATCCAATATGAAGGGACTCAGACCACTGATTTAACTCCTGATGATAATATACTTGTAGACATGAGATCTCAAGAGAGGCCCCTATTTAACCCATAGTCTATGTCTGGTCCACCCCAGACACCCTGTTAGCCACCACTATAATATTAGGGTACCTCCTCACCTTCAGGTTAGCATTCATATACGCCAAATGTGGAAGGTCCTTGCAGTACAAGATAGATCAATGTAGTGCTAGGCTACGATTCCGTAGACAACCAGAGGAAAGACCAGGTAAACGACTTGATTGAACTGTTTCCCGTAACCTTGCATGCTTATATTTAGTAGGCTTAACAGGTAGAGTAGATCTAGCCAGTAGCAAGTTCTAAACAAGACGCAACTACCCTCCCTGGATTAACTGCTGTTTCCAGATTTTTTTGCCTTTTCACCTTTAATTCACCCTCAAAGGAATGCAGAGTCCCCTGGTCAGTAGAGAGAGATAGGGAGTAACTTTTCACACCAAAATAATGGCCTTTCACAACCCCCTGGAAAGAACCAAGAGGTGCTCTCCCAAAAGGCAAATGGTGAATATTTTACACTTCAAATAGACAAAGTTACTGATCAACAACAGGACTCCCAGACCAAATAAACATTCACCTTCTCACCTTCTCACCTTGGCTGGGATAGCCCATAGTTGACACCTCAGCCTTAAGAATGATCCCGGGGGTCATGAGAACTCAACCCAAGAGGGCATTTGGAGCACCTATCCCTGAAACAGATCCCAGCCATAAATTCTCTGAGTGGCTTGTTTTTCCTGTGACTCTCTTTAGGTGCAGAATGAAGAGAATAACTGCAAATGGTTTAATTTCAGGTTTAATGGACACTTAACCAGGATTTTCTATCTGTACACCACATCAGCAGTGAAACAATCTTTGTCTCATTTGTTTAGCATGTCTATAAGCCAAACTGTCAACTTCAAAAATTTATTCCAGGTTTTCCATGGACCAAGAGCTCCTCCTAGTGGTGTTTTCTGAATATGGTTTTGGTCAGAATCCAAATATGTATTCCTTGAATTTATGTTGCATGTTATATACTTTTTAGCTTAGTGGATGGTATTCCCAAAATAGGTTAGCAATATTAGAAATAGTAACTGAAAACTCTTTTATACTTGAGTTAAGAATGTTTTGAACATTTAAATGCTATGTTTTGTCTACCTCACCAGAATATATATTTTAATCATTTACTTATTGATTGACAAGGTTATATTCAAATTAAGTGTTATCAAGTATGTGTTTCTCATGCTTGATGGTGTTTCTGTTAGAAAAGATAATTTGAGTCCTATCTCCCTCTAACTTTAACAGAGTTTGTTAATCCTCAGGTTATAGATTACCAGGAAAACGGCTGATCAAAGTTTGCTTTACATTAAATGTCATGGTTCAATGCATCTGCTCATGAGAAACAGTGAAGTGAAACTAGATTGTATGTCATTTGATAAATGGCATCAATCATAGTGGGTGAGTAAATTAGATCTAACTCACTTATTAATACCCCATTAAATTTAATTCACTTGCCAGCCAATGGGCCTGCATTGTGAACAAAGGGTGCACGAGTGCCCCCCTCTTTCAGTTCATGCCCCATACGAATGGCTTAAAAGTGCTAAGCTTACGCCACTTGCTCTCCTGTGTTTTTTTTTTCCCTTTGTTGGCGTTTTTGTCTTCGCCTTCATCGTCTTGTAATTTTTCCCTGCACTTTTTTAATTTGCCTTAAGTTTTCAGCCTTTTAGAAAATTGGATGAAGCCATGCCCAAGTTTCTTTACAGCATTAGTAATTAGCTGCACGCATAGAATATCAAAGTCTAAGTTTGTTATTTTGTTTGGTTCGCTAAAGTGACACCCGAAGATAATATCGAAAGAGGAACGCTGAAGGATCCACAGGGTGTCAGTGTCACGCGCTTGTGTGTGACATAAGATCCATTGTCGGTAAAGGTCTGCTCCAAGTACCAGAGCCAGTAGTCTGGACCTTCAGCTGATCCACTCCAAGACTGCCCACTGAGAACCGTCATCAAATAAGTAGGCAAACCCCTCGACATTCTTTGAAGAACAGGGTGATGTTGTCATGCGTTCAGAGCTTACATTCTTAGTTATGGATCAGTTTCTCCAAATTCCTCTTTCAAAATTTATCCTAGTAACACCGTTAGGTTAAATTTCTCCTTATTCACTCACTATCATTAACCTCCAGTCTTAGCTGAATTCAAACCATTCCTCCATTCATCCATTAAGTGTGCTTTTATTTTCTCATTATTTGATCATCATTTATTGAATTTATGTCATCACCTAGCATTTGTCAATAAAGTATCCATTTTAATTTTAAGTTGTCATCTTTTAGTGGTCCTTTCAGAAGCGAAGTCCCTGAAATGAGAATTCCGCTCTCAGATATAAGATTGATTTGAATCTGTTTAAGACTGATTCAATGTTTCATTACTAAATTAAACTTTGTCTTCTTTCTTTTTTCCCTGGGCAAAGAATGGGTGGTGCCTTTTTCAATGAGTGCATAAATGTCATAATTTAACTCTATAATTATAGGACATTTATTATAAATTCAAATTACTACACATCTAAAGCTATAGACCACTCAGAACATGCAGCAACACACTGACTTCAAAACTCAAAACTCAAATTGCAATTGCATAAATTAATATTATTTTAGTATTTGATATTGATTAATATTAATTTATAATATTGATATCAATTTTGCCTTTATTTTAGTAAGATTAGTACACAGTCATAGACATCAATGTAATGGTGCTAATAACTGGCATAATAATTTCTTTCAGTTTTTGGTTTCGGCCAAGAATTTTCATTTTGGTGCATCCCTAGTTAAAACCAGATGTGTGGGAGCACTTCTATTTTAAAAGGAAGAAGGAAAACGTCAATGTACATAAAAGCTTTGCTATTTGCAAGCTGTGACACACAAGTAAAATATACTGGAAATGCAAACAACCTACGAACGCACATAAAATGTCACCACCTGGACAAGGTAACGCACAATCCAATATTGTGATATATATCATACCGTGAGTTGAATATCGTGTGTCGTAACCAAAAATTTTAGTATCACTTCAACCCTAATAGATACCCCCCTTAAGTATTACTGTATACTAACTAAACTGGTAATGATCAGTTTCAAGGAGTTGAGTTTAGGTTGAGTTTAATCATAGACTGTATATAAAATGGACATTCTCTGCCTCCCCGCTGGTTGAAACCTCTGGGAAAACAACATCCCCTAGTGACAGGCTGCAGGATAGGTCATAGACAGCCTCCTCCAGCAGACTTAACAAAGCTGTGGACAAAATTTTGAAATTAATAACACAGAATAAAATTTTTTCCCCTGGTTTGGATGTTGATATGTAGTTATTGTAAGACTGGTTTGTGCTCAAGTCCTCTTTTTTCTGGCAGCTCCATTTTTAAAAGTTATAAGGGATTTATGTTTTAAATGATTTACATTTGAAACAGCCCATGGGTGTATGAAGACTGAGTAGATCATCTGGGGGGTATGCTGTTTGAGCAAAGCAAATGATTCTGTGCAAATGCCAGTTCCAGGAAATGTAGAAAATCGCGGACATACTCAGAGCAATTTGGCTTCAAATTCATCCAATGACAGGAGGTGGAGACAAGTTGTCCATACTGTATACAGTCTATGATTTATATCCTTACCAGACACTCCTCCATATGTGGTGCGTTTGCCTTTTCCAATACTTGGCCAGGGGGAGCCATCAGCCTTCAGTCCCATCATACCTGAGACTGTGTTTGTGGCCGTAACTCCATCTGCTCCACCTATAAATCAACAGTTACAGCAATGCACATGTTCCATGTCTGCCTCATTAACACAATTTCATTTGAATTTTACAATGATATAGAGAAACAGAAGAAGAAAACAGAGAAGAAAGGAAAGGAAGAAGAAAGTGTGTTTACCTTCATGGGCAGCCTTGGCAATGTCAACAATATTGGTAACATTTGGTGTCAGTTTGGCGAAGAAAGGAATAGAAATGGCTGCACGTACCCAGCGACAGATATTACGCACCAACACTGGGTCCTAAAGATTAAGACACAAGAAAACAGCTTCATGTCAAACACAAAAAATAATCACATTTTGGAGGTTACACTAGACTGTGGCTGCTGTAATATAAGCAAGACAGCGTGTACATGTATGTATGCAGAATGCCTATTCAAAGTATATGATGCACTGTCTACACATGTGTGTGTTTACCTGTCCACAGGCCAGTCCCATGCCTCTCTCCCCCATCCCATGAGGACAAGATAGGTTCAGCTCCAAAGCATCTGCTCCTGATTTCTAAATACATACATTACTTTGATTTGTCGCATTCTCTTAACTGTGAGAATTTTGTTATTGGCATATAATCCTTCTCACCTCTGCCATCTTGGCGAGTTCAGTCCAGTCCTCCTTGTTGTAACTGCACATTATGCTGGAGATCACCACCTTACAGAAGGACAAGGTTAGTTAGACAAAGGTTAGTTTTCATATTTGTTTGAGATACACATGAGTCAAAAAGACACTTATTCATTATTATATCTATCAAACTAACTAAATTCAGACTTGAACAATTAAAATGTGTATACCATTTTGGTATTAGAGCTCCACTGCGCTCCCCTACCAAAGGTAATTTGAAAACGCAAAGGTCCTGTTTTTTCAGGAAGTGCCTTTCACATGTGCACGTCAAAGCCATAGACACAGATAACCAATTTAATTTAAGGGAGGGGGGATGACTTGGCAGCACCGGCATAACTATAGGCAGAGCAGTGCGATACACCAGAGCCCAACCCTTAAAGTAGACCCAAGATGAATGTCTGTATTTGGTACAATAACATTTGGACTGACAGATCTGCTGTAGTTGCAGTTTTTCTCAGTAGCTTTGGTGCATTTCTCAAATTTGCACAACAGTCAGTACATTTCTTAAAACAATAAGTACAAACTGCAAAACTGCTAGTTGCCTGTAGCAGATAATAATAATAACCTGCATTATTGTGTCACTTGCTCAAAATGGATAGTTTGGTACTCAAAAGCAGGTATTCATGTCAATAAAAGCATCTGTGTCATCAAAATGAAAAGTCCTGACTCCATTGTTAATGAACAAGATAATCAAATGGCTTTGTCATGTTTTCATTATGACAGTTTACTCTCCAAGAAAAATGCTCAAGAGGGCACTATACACTATTTGCACAGCCATTTGAAAACTACAGTACAGTTACATGTTACTGTATTTAGTAAGGTAACTCATGGGCATGGGACAACTTTTGCTGCCAAGATACTGACAGTCTTGGTGAGAAGAGCTCTGAAACTGATTAAACTGTTTTCATTCACAGCTGCAGTGGTGTAATGCACAAATCAATGGCCCTATAGACAGACCTGCAGTTTGTTTTGCAACTTGAACTCATTTGACTACATTCCAACTTTTTAAATTATGCTATCAGTGTCAGGATCATCAGAATCAGGATAATTTATTTATTAGGGGGTGGGGGGGTCATAATACTAGAACAGAAGTAGGAATGAAAGAAGAATAAATAAGAAATTGCAACATTTTGTCAAAAGTGCAGAATATTAGAAATAAAGCTATTTACAAAATGCAGTGTTTGAGAAATTAACTATGTACAAGCACAATGAGAAGGAAGTGTATACAAAACCAGTTTGCACCATTGCACTGTAGGATATTGCACAGAGTGTTGTACAGTTTAACAGAGTATTGCACAGCATAGCTTAATAAACAATGTATTTTATCAGTACTACACTCTCAAATTATTGTAAAAGTCTTGACCGGCTTACAAACAGATTTCACAATTGAATGCACTTGTGTGTAGTGGAGAAGCTTACATTTACTATGAAGAAACAAACAGCTGCCAGGAAAAGAAACTTACATTATTGGGGAAGTCCATCTTCAGCTCTGCAACAGACTGACACCAGTAGGCTGCTGTCTTCTCACTGATGAGCTCAATGTTAAGGAAGGAGCCTTGACCTGGACCGTACACGTTACCTGAGGTGGTACCACGCACAATACGAGGAGACACATTGGTCACCAGATCCTGCAGGGACAGAGTGAAATCTTTGTTCATTTGGATGAATTGACACTGATGGCTGTAGATAACAGGAGTGCTGCAAATGTCTACCTGCTTGCAGTACTTGTTAAGTGGAATGGCTAGATAGAAATAAGATCCAGCTGTGGTGAGCATGGAATTTTTCTTTGTTTTGTTTGACTGGATGAATTTGGGCGGGATTGTCTTGCTGTCTATCGCCTGCTTTCAGAGGCGTGCACCTGTGCTCCAAGGCTGATCACAAGCAGTCTGTGCTCCACAATCAAGCCGGCTTTAAGACTGCTTCAGACCCATGCCTCAGCGCCAAAGTATTTTCGCCTTTACGCAGCGGTACTTGGCTCCAGGACATGTTTTGAGATATCTAAATCTACATTTGAAGATTTTTTAAATTTTTTCTAGTTATAAACCCTGGCTCTCTTCTGTTTTTTTTTTCCAGTGCCTCCCTCCAGTCTCCTTGCCAGCCTGCCACCCAGCACTCTCCCTCTCACCTGGACCTCTCATCCCGGACCCCATCTCCTTCAAGTGGAAATACACAAATTTCAATAAAACCTGTTAAACCCTTCCCCTGTCTGGTTTTGCATTCTGGCTCCATCACTACACTCATTCATCACAGAATACTCTGGCCAATCATGGATCCAGCAAACCCAGACGCCATCCAAACAGCCCTTTCCACACAAGGATTTTGTATTGGACAGCATAAACAAATGCTTCAGGAAATAATGGACGTTCTCCAATCACTCAGAACTCAGGTTTCCAAACTCCGGGTATCGGAAGACCCCCCCCCCCCCCCCCCCCTTACTGCAGCCTTTTCTCAGCCCTCCGTTCCTAGTAAAGAGTAAAGCTTTTTGTTCCTCCACCTGAACCCTACACGGTGGAGGCAGGTAGTTGTAGTGGTTTTTTAATTCGCTGCTCTTTAGTTTTTGATCAGCAGCCAAGTAGCTATCTTTTCGAGAGGGCCAAGATAACCTATGTTATGAATTATTTGTTCAGGGGTAAAGCAGCTAAATGGGCAACTGATGTCAGCAGGAGCATTTCCTAGCCTCCTAGCCCTGAAAACCCTGATAGACTCCAGGTGGGTGATAATTTCATACAAGACAAACTTGTAAAATAAGTCAAATTACCCCTTCTTTGTTCTTACCGTACATGAATTTTTCTTAGGTTCAACTAAATGTCAGCAGGATGTTTAGAAACTTGGACGGTCAGATCTCATCCTGTCTCCTGTGCATTGTTTAAGCATTAAGTTTACGCTGGATTTTCCATAACATAATGGTGAGCCTTAGCCAGAATTCATATCGGGGGACAAGGGACTGTGACTCTGCGAACTTCTTAGAAAAAGGTAGGAGATCTCCTAAAATTTATTTGAGTGTTCTTTTCCCTGTGAGGTAGTGCAGACTACTGTTCTCTGTCCTCTTCGAATCAAAAAAACCTAGAATAGAATTAAGAGGAGACAGTGGGAATGAAGACAGTCTGAGAAAACTGCATGCATGCAGTCAGCGGATCAAAATGTGCTAAATTTGGGAGAGGAAGCCAATTAAAATTGTATATATATATCAGCTGAATATAGGGTAAACTGCAGTGGGTTGTGTAAGACCGTTATATGTGGAGCTAGTTAGACTGAGTGCGGAGAAGCACAAGGCTAGTAGTTGTGTGGAACTAGATAGACTGGGTGCACAGGCCAGTAGTTGTGTGGAATTAGCTAGACTGGGTGCTAAGCGGCACAGGCCAGTAGTTGTGTGGAGCTAGTTAGACTGGGTGCAAAGCGGCATAGGCCAGTAGTTTATGGGGAGACCGCTAGACTGGGTGCGAAGGAGCATAGGCCAGTAGTTGTGTGGAGACCGGTCTGCAGAGAGCCTGGCCCAGGTTCTGATGTGTTTTCTGTTTTTTTTTAGGCTGAAGGCCTGGTGATAAGGAGGTCTGGATAATTGTTGAGAAAACTGTGAGTTTTAGGTCATTCTTTTATGAGCTCTGAAAGGTGGTAGCCGATGGACGAGCAGATTCATCTAGTAATACATACGTGGATTTTCTTTCTCGAAAATTCCACTAGAAAGGAGGATTTGTCATGCGGAGTTCCGCTGAGGCTAAAGAAAAAGCCAAAAGGAGAACGAAAGTGACATATTTCCTCAGAAAAGTCTGATCCAGACTCTAGAGGGCCAAATAATTAGAATGAGTCACTAATACATATCTGATTTTATTTCTTTTGCCGAAAGGCAAAGACCTCACAAAATCAGTGTTATACTTGGACTTACATTACAGATACAGATTGGCTTGATGAGCAGGAGATAGAAAAAGAGGTCAATAAGGATAGGCTGAAAAGCCCATTCAGGGATCCCAATTGCATAAGCATGTACCATATCTTCTGACCAATTGTACAGAAATCACACAAATTGGAAAAACCAAAACAAGAATCAACAATAAAAACTGAGGACTGACCCTCAACACAGGAATTGTAGGAATGTTAAAAAAGTACAAAACACTTAAGACTTAAGACAAACACACTGTGTGTGGGTTGAGCGGATGTTTGTGTGTCTGTTTTATTCTGTGTCAACCAAGTTCCCTGGCAGTGTTCACAGCCAGACTCTGCATCTGTGTGTGTGTTATGTTAGTCAAAGATTGCTGTGTTTTCCTCACTTTTGTTTAGTTCATAGTTGTTTATGTGATTACTGTGCTCATTGCAGACATGCTATCAGTTGAGACCAGTGGCGATTGCTCTAAGACTGCAAGGGAAGCTCAGCTTCCCTTAAAATGTCACCCCCCCAAAAAAAGAAAATGTGGTGAAATACGTACTGCTGTGTGTACATTTCATTAACTAAATACGCGCAAGAAAGCCTTCATCTTTTGTTCAGAATCAGCTTCTTATCACAGTGTGATAAGAAGCCTATCTGCACAACTTCGTTCTCATTCATCCTCGCAGCGCCTCAGCGCTTTAAACAGCCGGACGCTGGGCTTCTGCTGACTTCAATGTGGAAGCTCAAAGTGGGTTGTTCCAGCAGCGAAACTAGACGCTCATTGGATAAATGCTGGGCTTTGTCCCGCCCATCGGACGCTCGGCGTCTCTGGAGTTCTATGGCGAGAGGGCGGTCCCGACTTTCTCCCGGACTCCGAGCTTCTGCACCCATGATTGGATGAGCTGTCTGAGGCGAAATCCTTTTTTGATTGACAGCTAAACAAGCGAATCAGCGATCTTGAAGAATAAAACATCTACCAAAGCATTTTCCAAGTTATTCATTCCGTTGTTCTTAACTGCTCCAGAGACTTTACCGATCCTCAGCGACTTTTGTCTTTGTTAAAAACTACTGCCGTTGTGTTTGGCGACTCTGTTCTGTTACATACAAATAAACAAACACAATTATGATGTTGGCCAGAAAAATGAGCTTCCCTTCCTTGAAAGACCAGCAGCCGCCACTGGTTGAGACATAGAAGGTTAAATACTCCTAGGAAAGAGGTTCTGTTCCTAGTATCATGATGAACACTCCTGATATGAAGGTTTTAGCTTATGCTTGCACATGTCTGATGCTCCCTAAAAATTTTTCTGTGTTAAAGCTGCTAAAATAATGTTTGTGAAAATATAAAAGATACAAAAAGGGCAAAAAGAAATGAGGTAACACAAGTGCAAAACTTCTAAAACTTCAAATCTAAGGGTTGCTTCATCTGCTGAATCTGTCAAAATACTGTGGTTTTTTAAATATTGTTGAAACTGTTAATAACAATACTGACTATTGCTGTGAGACTTAATTTAATGCAAAAGCTTTTGTACTGTGTAATTTCTGAGAATTTCACAAAACTGCTGGGGATCAGGTTTTGGTGTGTGTGTTCATTTGAAGAAGTGTTGAAGTGTTGCATTTTGAAGGCTGATGCAAGTTAAGATTGTGGTGTGGCAAGTGCACTGTTTGAGTAGTGAGTGTGTAAAAGACTGACATTGAGAATATTATGGCTTTGACTGTGATTGAAGTAAGGCAAGGCTTGGAAAAACGGTGCTAAATATAGAGAAAGATCCTGACTTTGTGTCGGGTCTGTATTGTTCTTTTTTTTCCCTTTATCTTTGGCAATGGGTGACTGTGTGTTCTGGATTAGAGATCAGACAAAGGGTAACTGAAAGTTGTTTAAGTTGTGAAAAGGGACAGAGAAGTAAAGTGATGTTTTCCATAGTGTGAATACTTTAACACGAAATAAAGAATTAAAATCAATCAATAATGATAATAATAATAATAGTTTTCTTTCCAAAAATAAAAACATAGCAAGAAAAAATAGGTTTACAGGAACACTGCTGATCAAAGTAATTCAATAGAAATAATAAATTCTACAAAAACCATGACCAGAAAGGGAAATTAGTTTAACTCCAATTGCATTGGTAGGGTGTAGAGCTCCTGAACACTTAAATGATATCCAAAAACTTACAAAGAAATGGGGACATTGAGTCAAGAGGTTAGAATTTTTATAACCTAGAGGAGGCACATCTGATGTGAATGTGTGTGAGGATTTGGAGCAGCGAAGTGAAGACCATTAACACAAAGATAAAAGTAAAAAACACAAAAACAAGAGATTTGGAACTAAAAGTACTGGACATGTTCAAAAGTGAAGGCCAACACTATTTTATGAATAAATTAAAGATTGGGTTTTCAGAGCTAGAAAGCAATAAGGAGAAGGTGGAAAAAAGAAAGTCACAAACATGGAAAATAGGTAAAACAGAAAAGAGATTCTGCAGCCAAATCCAGTATCAGAAAACATAGGAAATTATCCTTCTCTGTTAGGGAAAGTTGATATAATATGTGATTTTGAGTTTGCTGAGGGAGACAAAGCCCACAACAAACCTTTGCCCGATTCCCCAAGTAATGATCGTAAGTAATTGTTATATGAATGATAATGCTGATAATGCTGAACAGTCATATTGGTTTAATCTGGGTAACAATAACATAGACTTGCCACGTGAACTCTGTCACCCAATAGTACAAAGTATGATCTTAGATATAGGCCTAGATTATGTTCACTTGAAAATGCACTGATGGTATGTTTTCAGTCTTAATAAAGGGTACACAGGCTAGCTATGTGTACTACCACAAACTGAACAGGGTGCAGGGAGATGGATACAAGCTTTTGAGGATGAACTGTAGGGAAAATGTTGACTACACCAGACATGAAAGCATTCTTGGCTGGGAACTAAGACAATGGAGGAGTTTCTGCACAAGGCAAAACAAGGTTGGATGACGAATCCCATGATAGATGGGAGTGAGTTCAATGCATATTGTGATGTGATGTGGAGGGTGTTGCCAGATGAAGAGTGGAGACTGAAAGAGCAAGGAAAAGAACATTCAGCGGAAGTTGATACAGCTACAGCTGTAAGAACTGCGAAGCAGAAACAAAGTACAGACTCAGGCTGCAATGGTAGCCACCTCTAAGGGGGACACTGCAAAAGAGACCCAGCGATGCAGACCGTGCAGATGCCAACTGTTTGATCACCTGTTGTGAATGTTTATCCTCAGACAGAACCCTACTCCATAGAGATGATATATCCCGGCAGAGGGAGAGAGTGGAATTCTGATGGATGTGTGACATCTAAAGGCCTGCTGGGGGTGTGATCAGACTGGACATTTTTGACAACTGCCCAGACCAGGGATGCCTCTGGCTGGAGATGTGGTGGGGGGCCCCAGCCCAGACAATGTGAAAGTGGTGGCTTACTACAGTGTGATTTTTGTGGATGATGGAAAGAGTTAATTGTTAGTTTTAACATTCCGATTCTGTTAGTTTAATACTGATAAATTCAAATACAGCTGTGCTGAATTGGCATACACTCCTCACAGATGTGTCACCTAATGTACAAGTATTGGGAAGCTGTCAAAGGCCAATAAGGCCACAGAAAATGTTTTTAAGTCAAATAACTATTTTGCTACAGTAGTATTAACAAACCAACTCAGGATCTGACTTGCACAGTGATTCACACTGTGCAAGGGGGTAGATAATGAGAGAAATAAAACATGACAATAGTTGATAAACTCTTGAGTCATTGTGATGTGTGTTTTCAGATCAATTGAAGAGACCAAAAAAAACATTAGTGGGACACTTTCCCAGCTCCAGAGAGACGCTTTTAGACATCTATTCATAGACAATGTGGACATCATTAAAACTGCCAAGGGAATTGTTACATGTTTGTAAAGATGACAGATTCAGTTGATGGATGGAAGCAACACCATCAAAAGATCTTGGAGTCAAAACTTTTTTGAAATGTTATTGCATGATTTGGTACATCATTTTGGGGAAGAAAGTTAGTCTCTCAAGAAAAAATTAGATCAACAAAATTTGCACTGACACTAATCTATAGGAAAATGCTTTACTACTTGTGCTTATGAGCTTTCATGATCAAAAGCACTGTGATAAATCTTTCACTGCATGAATTGCTAACTTACAAAGCTATGCTTTACTGCGGCTAAACATTTATGGATTCCTCTGGACTGTTAGCCGCATCGTCTTTGATTGTCCACCTCAGGCCCTGAGCTCCTTCTTCTCTTGGATTCCTCTGGACTGTTACCGTAGACATGGACATCAGCCTCACTGACATTAATAACATAAAACTAGAGTTGACTACTATTAGGCCTGCTGACTGTATTCACATTTAATTAATTTAACATTGTCCATAATTACTCATGTCCTAACCCTGTAAACTGAATTCATTTTGTTTCACCATTACATGAGCTGTTGTTGTTGTTGCTGTTGTTTCTGATGTCCCCTGTCTCTCTCACCCTCATTCTCTACTCCTTCTACCTCCCTCCCACTCTCCTTACTCATTCTCTCCCTCCTTCTCCTTATCTTGTTCTCTCTCTCTCTCCCCCTGCCCTTTTCTCTATCTCTCCCTCTCTCCCTCCATCTCTCTACATTCCTCCCCAGCCCAGCAGCGGCATGGTGGCTGTCTAACATGAGGCTGGTCCTGCCCAAGGTTTCTTTTTCTTGCCAAGTTTTTTTTCTTGCCACTGCTACTCATGTTAGATGAGATGGGCCAAAACCCATCTTAGGTTGGTTCTTGATCATCAAACAATGAGCGTGGTCTAGACCTGCTCTTGTTCTTTGAAAAGCGTCTTGAGATGACGGCTGTTGTGAATTGGCGCTATATAAATAAAATTTGATTGACTGATTGATTGAATTTGTGTGATGTATGAAGGAGGGACTGAGGGACCTGAACAGTTCCTGGACTTTGAAGGAGATGAAGATAAGCCATGGACTTTGAGCAACACAAACAACATATCCAGTGAGCTGAGATATTGAACTGAACATGGTTCATTCGCAGAGTTTAAAGGACTACACTAATCACACATTGATCAAGGGGTTAATCACATACTAATCAAGAGGTTTGTCATAGGTTGCTACAATGAAATTAATGGTATTACCAGAAGATGAGAATTTTACTACGCAAAGGTTTTTATGTCAGCGTATCCAGAACATAGATGGTTGCAAGGGCGCAGGGCCGTATGATTCTTTCCCTGTTGAAACAACCGCGCAGGGTTTTCAGATTTATGCGCTGATATAATTTGAAATGATCCTAGCTGTGGTATGATGGTGAAGAAATTGAACATCAATATGAGCTCTTATTCAACCCAATGAACATTGATTATTACACTTCTTGAGAGCTGATACCACAATTTTATAACTTTTCCATAATTGGGGGAATTGTATCACAATTTGATAAGGTTGCATAATTCATATAACTGGTAAATGCATTTTGATTTTTGTTTCATGTCATATCCAATGTGTCACATGTCATGTGGTATTATTAAGTCTTAGATGCAGCAAATCACACACATAGCATTTAGAATTTAGTGTACATGTTTTATTTTAATCACGTAAGGATGGTTAGTGTTTAATATGGTGATCAGGTTTTTATGATAGTAAGAATTTTCAAATGGGGGGACTGTGTAATAGAATCTCTTCATACATTTAGGTTAAGAAATATAGAGTCATTATCTTTTAGTAAGAAGCTGAAAATAATCTAGGTTGGCCTTCTCATGCAGCCTCATGACCCTGAGGTTGTAAGCAAGGCTGTCTTTTCAGGGACCAGAACTATCTGTCTGTTGCGACATTTAGTCTCTGCGAGGGTCAAGACGAGCCTAAACAAAGTGTTGAGGGTCAGAACAGTACGACATGTCATCATGGGTAGCCGTCTGGAAAGTTGATATGACATACCCATGATGACAGAATACACACACACACTCACAGCACTGAGGGTTACATTTAAAACCCTTCACCAGAGCACTTGACGAACTTAGGCCCCTATCTCCTACCACAATCTTTGACCTACAGAAACCATCAGGGCTCCAAAAATTCAGCTCATTGAGCACATTATGGGGTGTATTTAGGATTTTGTTAATCTATTGTATCAATATTTTCAGCAGAGTCGTGGGGTTCTCACAAGTTTCTTATCATGAATGTAGCCATTACAGAGAATGAGCTTCAGGGCATAGTTTGGGATTTTTTTTCTCAGCATCAAGCCTTCTTTCTCCTGCTATAGTTATGCATCTACAGACCCCATGGCAACCAATTTGTGCACCTGGAGACACACAGCTGACTGGAAAGCTTCTTCCAATGGAACATATGAGACACATGAAGCCAGGCTCAGTACACATAGCACTGGGGGTGACGTTTAAAACCCTTTACTAGAGCGCTTGAAAAACTTCAGCGCCTATCTCCTCACATGAACTTTGACCTACAAAAACCATTCAGTGCTTTAAAATTTAAGCTCATTGAGGACATTATGGGGTGTATTCAGGATTTTTATTCATTTAAATTTTTCACATTTTAAAGTCACTCAGTGATGATTTATCATTTAATTTTTCAAACTAATTTAAACTCATTCAAACTGATTCAAACCTTTCTAATACTTAAAAACTTTCTGATACTTGAGGATTTTTAATTATTTAAATTTTCCCTGTTTAAATTAGTTTTAATATTTATGCATTATTCCATCCTTCAAACAAAATCCCACCTCTAGTACTACAACTACTGCTAATGTCAATTAAACTAGTACTTTCCCCTCTACTTCAACTGCTATTGCTCCTATTTCTACTTTCTCTACTGCTGCTATTGCTACTTTTTCTACTTTCTCTACTACTTTGACTTATACTTCTTTTATTCTCAAACTACTTCTACTGCTTACATGACTACTAGTATCACTACTTGACTTCTAATCATACTACTAGTACAACTTAAACTTATGCCACTTCTCACCTTCCTGCCTTTTAAGGCAATTTCCTTCTTCATTCAAACTAGACATTTTTCTAGCCTCTTTCAGCATGAATAAAATTTCCCTTTATAGAGCATATTCATACTATTTGTCCTTCAACCAATTAAACAATTATCCAACTTATATTTCTTCTCACCCCTTCAACAGCTTTAAAATTTAAACCTTCCTCCATGTTTTATTAGCAGCATTGCTTTTTCAGCTTTCAGCACTCAGCATTTCCACGCATTTTCTGAAAGGAAATGCAATTTTTCTAGTTATTATTATTCTTCCGTACCTTTTTTGGCACTTTCAACGGTTTCAACCGTTCAAACTTAAACTATTCCTCTCCTTCAGGAAAAGTGCGGATGTATTTTTCACTTTTCTACCCCTTATACTTTTTGATATTTTTTACTTCTTGTGCAAAATTTTTACCATTAAAAATGGATGGGGAAATCTTCAAATTCTACCTTTTACACCTTCACATTCTCAGCCTTATAACTTCAGCATACTTTCACCGACAGACCTCATTTTTGCTTTAAAAAGTTCACAATCTTCTCCTTTAAATATGTTGTATCGACTTTTTTGTGCTATCTCCTACAGTTTTTCCACAATTTAGCTTTATGCACCTAATGGTTTTCAGCAAATTTTCAGGCTTTATAATGGGTGTGTATTGGAAGAGCTAGAGTGATGATTTAAAAGCTAGAGTGCAGACCTCCTCTCTGATCAATAGACCTCGCTCGAACATATCGCTCCCACGCCCACAAATTTCACTCCACAGCCATAAAAAATACATCAAAATGGGGGTATATGTGTCCTGCTTCTCACAAAAGAGGTTTCAAATCATTAAATCGTACCCCTTGGCTAGCAGGTGACCAACTGTCCAAATAGGCGGAAATCTCTCCCATTAACCCTAATGTAATTTTTCTCCCAGAAAATCCTGATCATCACTCAGGCTCAGACCTTTTTAACTCGCTGTTGTGGCCACATTTTTTGGAGTACAGACATGAAAAACACATCATTGTGTTCATGAAGGGAGGAGGATTCGTACGATGTTCTTATTTTCATTCTGGAATTTAATGAAATCACGCTATGTGAAGAAGTTCAGAGGCCCTAAATTCACTGCAGTTCAGCAGTTTCTCATTCAAACTGTAGGTCAGTTAATGCCTTTGATATCTGACACCTGTTAAGATGCATTAATTAAAACACACACACACACAAACACACACACACACACACACACACACACACACTCACACACACCCTGTACTTGCTGCTTTGTGAGGTCCATGAGAAAAGACCCACAAAGCGAGGACTACCAGTTCTGATTAACAAGACACACAGTCTGACAATGTGTGTGCGCATGTGACAGCGTTAAGCCTCCTCTCTCCTGCTGCAGTGTCGCATCTTCCTTCGCCATGGCAACAAATTAGTGCACCTGGAGGCACACACCTGTGTGGAAGGCTGCTTCTGGCGGCCATATGAGACACATGAAGCCAGGCCCAGTACACAGAGCACTGGGGGTTACATTTAAAACCTTTCACCAGGGCACAGGGCCTCTATCTCCTTCCACAAACTTTGACCTACAGAAACCATTCAAGGCTCTAAAAATTCAGCTCATTGAGGACATTATGGGGTGTACTCAGGATTTTTATTCATTTAACTTTTCCCCACTTTAAAATTATTCTCATTATTCATGCATTATTAAATTCTTCAGACAAATCCAAACTCATTCAAACTGATTCAAACCTTTCTGATACTTCAAACCTGTTTAACACTTTAGGACTTCTAATTATTTAATTTTTTTCCCATTTCAAAATTATTCTCATTATTTATGTATGTTTTAATTCTTCAAACAAAATCCCAGTTCTACCACTACAATTACTACTTATATCACTTTAACTTGTATCTTCACTTCTACCTCCACTGCTCTTGCTTCTCTTACAATTTTTTTTTACTTCTACTCTTACGTCTACCACGAGCTTTACTACTCTGACTTCTACTTCTTCTATTCTAAAACTACTTCTACTGCTTACATGACTACTAATATCACTACTACAACTACCTATTATCATACTACTTCTAGTACTACAACTCAAACTTATGTCACTTCTCACTTTTCTGTGTTTTAAGGTAATTTTCTTTCTTATCCATTTTTTTTTTTTTGCAATTTCAGACAGTTTTCTAGCCTTATTCAGCATGAATGCAATTTTAATTTATGAAGCACATTCATACTCTTTGTACTCCAGCAATTTTCACTTTCATCCAACTTCTTCTCTTTCTCCAGCCCTTTAACCAATTTTACATTTAAACCTTCCTCTATTTTTTTAGCAGTTTTGCATTGCTTTCTCAGCTTTCAGCACTCAGCATTTCCACGCATTTTCTGCAAGGAAATGCAATTTTTCTAGTTATTATTTTATCATTATTATTATTATTATTCCGTACCTTTTTTTGGCCCCTTTAAACTCCTTCCCACTTTGTGCTATTTTAACCATTCATACTTTATACTAATGAACTCCTTCAGGACATTATTGCTATCACTTTTCACCTTTCTAACCTTTATACTTTTTGCAATATTTCACTTTTTCCGTACAATTTGTTCCATTAGAAATGAATGGAGAAATCTCTCCACTCCGCTTACAGCTATAACACCTTCTCACCCTTATAACTTCTGCATACTTTCACCTACAGACCTCATTTTTGCTTTAAAATGTTCAGCAACTTGTCTGCTACAAATGTTGTATTCACCCCTTTTTGCTATTTCTACCGTTTTTGCACAATTTAGCTTGGAGCAACAGGAAGTTTTCTGGCTTTTTCAGCCTTTCCAATGAGTGTGTATTGGAAACGGTAGAGCGGGTGACATCATCCCCAGAGCAGGGACTGCGTTTTGGATTCACTAAACCAAGCGTGATTATTTCACTCCACAACCATAAAAAATACATCAAAATGGAGGTACACTAGTTCTGCTTCTCACAAAATCGGTCTGAAGTCATCAAATTGTACCGCTTGCCAAGAGGTGAGTACATTCCTTCGGAGCGCAGATTCTGCCCATTAACTCCCATGTTAAATTTTGGCCAAGAAACCCTGACAATCACTACAGCGAAGCTGTTTTTTAACTCGCTGTTGTGGCCACAATTTTTACACTTTGGACATAAAAAAATACATCATTGTGTTCATGGGAGTCTCAGGACTCCTAAGATCATCTTATTTTTGGGATATGACTTACAGGCTCAGCCGTGCGCGCGCACACACACTGTTTCCATGTGTGCATTACTGTCCCTCTGTCAGTAGAAAATACACCCCCAATATTTACTTTGTTGTTTTAGTTCTTGTCTTTAACTCTTTTAACATACGAACTACTTCTTATTCTTCTACTTCTGCTTTTCTTTACTTTCTACATTGATACAATTCATTTAACTTCAGCTGTTTCATACTTTCTACATTCGTATGTAGGGCAGTAACTGAAGCATGGCAATAGATGGTAATGTTCTGCATTCTCAAGTTACTATGGTTGGATGCTGCAGACTGCAAAAATCTGTTTTACTCTTTGTACATTTAACTGGAACATTGTTACACATAATTTTAAGGCATTTGTTTTTCAAATTCAATTATCCTTATCAGTTCTGTTAATTCACATCAATGATATACATTTTTCACTTAGGCTATAAGACAATTTGTACATTAATCCAACTAATTTACCTTCAGCTATACTACAGTTCTTCCATTCATACAATTTCTTCTTCTTCTACTCCACCTTTTCAACAGTTTTTCCATTCATACCTTTCTCAACTTTTTATTGTCAGTATAGCATTGCTTTTTCGGCTTTCAGCACTCAGCATTTCCACGCATTTTCTGCAAGGAAATGCAATTTTTCTAGTTTACTCCTTCTTCTTTGCACTAATACAAAAAAAAAAGTGGACTTATTGTTACTTCTATATAATTTTGCTATGAAATTTCATGGTCTAAATTCACATCTCATAGTAAGAATTCATGTAAGAATTCTTGTCTACAATGTTATTAGACATATATATAAAGGTAAATTTGTGAGAGATTTTGTGTTGCTAAAGTGGATGTTGATAAATAAAACAAGGGCATTTAGCACCATTGAATTTTTTTTTTTTAATTTATATTTATATAGATATATGGCTTGTGACAAAAAACTGCAAGATATATTGTGGAGAACTTTTAACCCAAAGTCTATAAGGGTAAAGTCTAGATAAAATGCATTTAAAAATCAGTGCCCAGACATTGGAATGGCCACTTTTTTGCCACTTTTTCATGCTTCATGTTATGGCCTATTTTCAAAATAAACAAACTTAAATCTCGACAGAGATGTGGCATGTGCATGTAAACTTTACCTTATCTAGTCCGAATGTCTTGGTCAGAGCGAAGCCCCAGCCCTGTTCAAAAGCTCTCCTGATCATGGCTGTGCTGGTGGTGGGAGGAGCAGATGCCAGGCCAAACGGGTTCGGAAACTTTATCCCACAAACCTCTATGCTGATGTCCACTTGATCTATGGGACTGTAGAACAACGGCAGCTTAGGAACTGGGTCCACTTTCTGTCCATACTGGGACTGCAGGAAGGAGACATTCGATAATTTGACTTACAGCAACTGTGAATAATCTTTTTTAAAAGTTTAAAATTTGGCCTCAATCTGTCTCTTTCTTGTAAGGGCAAGGCTGATTGCTCATAACTCCAGTGATCCTAAAGGTCCTTACACACCGGCGAATTTGCGGAGCGAAGCGAAAAAGCGAGACGAAAATTGCGAATATTCACCGGTCCGAAAAATCGCTTTCGCCTATACACACCGGCCGCGAAGCGAATATGCGTATATTTTTTGCAAAGCGAATTAATAAAGTCGCTTTGCGGCACGGAGGAGAGGTGATGCGGGGTGGAAGACAAGAGAGTGTCATCTTGTGAGGAAACTACTTCATTAGTAATTAGAAAGAGTTTTGGATGCACCCCAGCTGCCTTTCTCTGCGTATTCATAATCTCAAACTTCTCCCTCTCCTCCAGCCGTATGGGTCTGTGACGTCATCAACAACATGACTTTTGATTGGCCAGAGGTCTAGCAGGTCCAGATATTCGCCTGCGAATATCCGAAAAATTCGACACAGGAGCGAAAAAATAATAGCGGCCTTTCGCCCCGCGGAAAAATCGCTGCCGGTGTGGAAGCTTGCATTGACTTTATGCTGTTTTAAAAAAAGGCGAATAATTCGCCTGGCGAATTCTCGCCCGGTGTGTAAGGACCTTCAGAGTTGACAAAAAGAAGACCATAGATGATACATCAATGACTCTGTCCCTATATCTGCATTTCTGCACTTGTGCCTCTCAAATTATCCACGCAAAGGGAAGCAAGACCTTAGAGTGTTTAAGTTCTCTATCAGTGCTCTTCAGAGTTGCCACCTTGAGCCTTTAATCACCCGTAATATGCTGGTGGTGATTTTGATTAACTTTTAGCAGCAGACCTATGAATAATAGCCAGCTCTAAATTTGGTCTCCCAAACCAAAACAGAAGTTACTAAGAGAAGTGATGTATTCAAGCTGGTCCCAATCCAGCCTTTAAGGGTTTTGGACTCTTGGACACTTGCACTCCTTCGTGCACTTTCAAGAAATGCACACTTAGAGGAAAAGTGCAGATACTGGACCAGTCTCTACTCTAAACTCTGCACAACTTAATAGATGGCTTGCTTGCATTAATAGGGAGTCCTGAACTGTGCTAACTAATGTTTCAAAACTTTAAACTAGCTTTTAAATAAATCAGTGTTTATTAATAAAAGAAACAATGAGCCTTATTCTGGTAAATCTTTGAGGAACAGATATATTTACCTGCATATATCTGTGAATATGCCAGGAGGCTTGCTTGCCATCATTTACTGATTCCACTGAAGTGTTTGCCAAGCCAGCAATGTCTCCCCCGGCAAACACCCAAGGCTCACTGGTCTGCATGGTGTCTGTGTTCACCTCTGGTGTTCCCCAGCGGTTCATCTTCACAGGAGCCATGGCCTCAGTCACTACAGATTAACAAAATAGTAATTTATAACATGTATGAAAACATATCTTTGACCCAGTAATGTTTCATTTTCACCCAGTGAATTCTTCAGCAAAAATTCAGGCTAAATTTAATTTTAATTACATACATTATATGAAATTCCTTCTGCTTGAACTGATTAAATTAAAACATTGGCATAAAGGAAAACAAAATGAAGTTCATAGACATTCGCCTTGGAAATGCTTATACGTAAAGTATATACAGGTGCATTTTAGAATATGGTAAAAAAAATTAATTAACCTTTTTCTTTCTTTTTTAACTTTTGTATCATCCATAGTCATCATGGGCTCTATTTTCGTGTACGCCAGGGAGGCGATGGAGGGTGGCGGACCCCGCACAGTTATATTTTCGTCTGGTGGAGCCCGGCGTACAGCCAGTTTGGTATTTTCGTGAACTGAGGCGCACAGAGGTGAACCGAGATCCGCCAAGCTGGGCGTGGTGGCATGGCAGGGGGAGGTGTCGACAGAATCAGCAGACGCAGTGACATTTGCGTGTAAAGTGCGCTGAAAGCTCACCGATTCAAACCTGGTCAGCTTTCAGCGCAGGCGGAGTGCAGCTGGTCTAGTGGTATTTTGGTAGACCGGCGGCGTATCGGCATATGTCACCGATGCCTCACAGGCAGGTTTCTACCGTGTCAGGCACATTTCATTGCAATAAATAATCATCAACAACTAATAATCTGAGTCAGCACATACATTTAGATCTATATAGATATATTCTGATCTATATCTGATCTGATGAGCACGTTTGGCACGCGTTTGGACACACAACCTGACCGAATCAACACAGCTGAAACCGCATTAAATTAAATTAAATATCTAGTAAATAAACACACATGATGAAGTTAACAAGATATTTAATTTGTCTCCCTCCTTTTCTTTCTTCCTCTTCTTATTTCTCGCGCAGCTCGACCTGGACATGTCTCCGTGTCCTCTCTCCGTCCTGCTGCAGCTGCGGCTGAACAGATGATTTGTTTCAGTGCTCAGATAAGTTATCTACTTTAAGCTGACATACGGATATTATAATATTCAGTTTTGTGAGTCAAATTTATTTTATATGCCAACATCTATGACAGATAGAGCCAGGCCACGGAGCGCGATGCGTCATTTACGCACAGATGGTTCCGATTTTAATGCCATTTTTGGAGTTTATGTTGTGATCTGTGCGCACAACCCACCTTTGTCACGTGAGGTTTGAATATATTCAACTTTATGTGAGTGTCTTAACTAGAGAACTTAACTGGAAAAGGGTGTTTTTCTTACCACTGGGTCCAACATTACACACACCAAATCCATCTGTGCTCATATGAGAGAGTGTGGAGGACGCCCAATGCAACGCTTATAGTGACACTTGTTGAGGAGCTGCCTTCTGTCGCCATCATGTGGCATTACTGTCTTCATACATATCTTGATCTCTCTGACTACTTCACGAAAATAGTAATACGCCTCGTCGGTGGCGGATTTAAAGGCAAGGAGAGGAGCTTATGTAATTGGTGAAAACTGGTCTCGGCTGTGTTAAACCCACTCCACGCCCTCTCTCCTCCCTCGCAACGACTTACCGGGAGGAGCTGAGTTAGGGAGGGGGGATACTTACGCCGGGCTGCACCGCTCACCAAAATACCAAATTGTGCTTGGGAATGCCTTGTCGGTGCGACGGACCTGACTTATGCCGCGCCTGCGGCACGTCTCTGTCGAGGCACGAAAATAGAGCCCCATAAGTTAGTTATTCCAAGAATTTTTTGTTTTAATTTTGATGATTTGGCAAACAGCTCATGATTATCAGAAATCAGCAAATTCCTGCACCAATGTGGCACAGAGGTGATCAGTCTGTGGCTCTGTTGAGGTTGCTTTGTAGCTCCTTCAGCTGGTCTGTATTTTAGAGTTGGCTGTTTCTCACCTTCTTATTGACAAAAATCCAACAGAAGCTCTCTGGGGTTTAGGGCAGTTAGCCGGACAATCAAGCTTAGAATATATCAGGGTCGGTAAATTATTTGTTGTTAGTTGTGGCACTGTGGGCAAGTGGTAAGTCCTGCAGGAACAGGGAATATGTATCTACTTAAAGCCAATAGAAGCATTAACGACTCTAAATCTCCTGGTAGACTTTTGGCTGCTTTGACTCTAAAGCACAGTAGACCAGCAGGAACAGATCACATGGCACCCCAAATCATCACAGACTGTGGAAACTTCATGCTGGACTTAAAGCACCTGGGATTCTGGGTCTGTCTGATATTCCTCCAGACCCTGATTTCCAAATAAGATGCTAGATTGACTTTCATCTGAAAACAGGACTTTGAACCGCAAAGTCATAGTCCATTTTTTTTCCTCTCAGCTCAGATGATGCTCCCACAATGTTGTCTCTGGTTCAGGAATGTCTTCACAGCAGGAATACAACTTTTGTAGGTCATTTCCTGGACACGTCTGTTAGTAGAGGCTATTGATGCTCTGATTTCAGACTCAGTCCTTGTGAAGCTCCCTTAAGTTCTTGAATCTGCTTTGTTTGATAATCCTTTCAAGGCTGTTACTTGGTCACATTCTCTTCCCACCTTTTTTTCCTTCCAGTCAACTTTCCATTAACCTGCTTTAATACAGAACTCAGCCAGGCTTTTCATCAATGACTCTCTGAAGCTTACCCTCCTTGAGGATGTCAATGTCAAGTCAGCAGTCTTCCCTAGGATTGCTGGTGTGTGTAGTATAAATTCTGTTTAAATATGAATTACTAAAAGTCAAAATGCAATATGCCAATTTTGTTTTTTCTTTTTTTTTCTGCAGGCCACAAGTACCACTTTTTAAAAAATGCCTCTAATGTTATACTTCACGTGCAATGTGTTTGGAATTTTTTTAATTTCCTACATAACTAATGAAAAATGTATTTCATAATATACCTTTTTTTGACCTCCACCTGCATGTAAAAATGAATACCTCCTAAAATACAAAAATTAAGGACAGCAAAAAATATCATAAACACAAAAAATAAATACTCTTTCAGTTTCAATTATAAATTACCTTTCCGCTCATCAAGTATGGATCCAAAGGCACTGATGATATAATCGGCCTTCAGTCTGACCACTTGGTCCTCATCTTCCAGCCAGTGACCATCCTCTGTCTGTTCAGTGCGGCAGAACTGAAGCCCAGCAACCCGACCACTTTTCATGATGACCTCTCGAGGAGACAGGAAGGGCAGGAACTCACACTTCTCCTCCTTCGCTAACTCCATCTGACAGAATGAAATCAATGTGTTCAGCATTCTCCATGTACACATCCAACTAATAAACACAAATTACCAATCACTCCAGTCCTGATTAGTACCTCCTCGGGAACAGCCCTGATGTTAGTAAATCCTTTTCTGAAGCACACAAACACTCTTTTGGCTCCACAGCGAAGAGCTGAGGTTGCACAGTCAAACGCAGTGTCACCTGCTCCAAGAACAATCACCACACCTCTAATCTCTGGCAGCTGAGAGCGACAATGGCACATACCTGGAAAAAGGAGAGACAAAAATGGAAGGTCATCGAATAGTAGTCATCGAAGATTATGTTTCTTATATTACACAGTCTCAGCAGATAACTGTCTACAATGAGTCTGGTTCTACTCGAGGTTTCTGCCTGTTAAAAAGAAGTTTCCCCTCTCTAAATGCTCCGAAGTGCTACACTCATGTGGTGGGAGATGGGATGGGAGTGGGTCTAATCTTATAGGATGGAGCTCAATCTGATCTCATCTTTACATTGGGTCTTTGTAAACAGAATATGGCCCGGACCAGCTTTTTTGTTAAGCGTTTTGCTATCTAAATAAGGATAGATGTTGTCCGCATTTTAGTTACTAATAATAATGTGTTCAGCATTCTCTGTCACAGATACAGAGGGGTCTTTTGTAGCTTTTATTACCCTTGGTGAGGGCTGTCACAATGTGAACAATAACCATCTTCTAAAAAAAAATATTTGATATTGTGCCAAAAATTAGTGCCCAGTAGTACCATTAAGTCATTGTAGTGGTCCTTTAGACTGGTTGTCACCTGCCATAAAACAAGGACTACCAAAAAAGAAGTGTGTATATATCCGTTTTGTGCCTGCACAAACATATATTTATTATGACAGTAGGTGGCAGTATGACCCTATGTAAACCATTTGTGGAAATTCTGGCACTTGAATCTGACCCAACAAGTAATGAATGCTCCTCTGAATTAGCACAGCCTGCTAGTTTTCTGTCATTCTTACAATACAAGATAATGGCAACGAAGATGGCTCTGCTTGGAATTTCACCACCTCCAGCATTTTTACAAAGCCCAGGTGAGCCTACGGTGCCTTTCGAAACATAGATTTACATGTTTGATTGCTACGTGCTTGTCCTATTGCTTGACAAAGTGGAGGGTAAGAGGAAGCATGCACTGCTGATGCACACAGTTGGCGCAGAGGTTCTGCAGATCTTCTCCACACTGCCATTGATTAAAGATTCCTATGAAGAAGCACTAAAGGCTTTGAAACAATTTTTGTACCGAAAGTGAGTGTCGTCGCAGAGAGGAACAAGCTAATTGTTACATGTGAGTTTGGAACATTATCTAACAATAAGGTTAAAAACCAAATTATGAAGAAAACATCTAATGTAGGGATTAGAGAGCGCTTGCTGCTTGAAGATAATCCTAAACTTGAAATGACTTTGACAATTTCAGCTCAGATTGATCATAGTGCTTGAATGATTAGATTCAGTGATGTGGATGCAAATGAATTGAAATGGTTGTTTTAATCAACAGTTTGTCTTGTTCAGCGTCAGTACAGAACTGAAATGACAGCTAAAGGGGAACTGAATCGATCCACCTTTATGTAATGGGAGCATTGGAAGAGCGTTTTACAGTAACTAAATAGTTACTTTATCTGTAACACATTACTTTTTGGTTTAAGTAACTGAGTTGCTAACTGAGTTACTTTTTTACAAGGTAACTAGTAACTGTAACTAGTTTATATTTTTCAGTAACTGGCTATGCAAGGTTGGTGAATCAGTATTGCCTGCTAGTTGTCTTTCGTTCTTACAACACAACAAGAAGCAGCAGCTGCCAGTGAGCTAGCTGCCGCAACTATGACATTTATACAATCTAACATTTCTCTCAACTGTCTTCATCGATAAATGTATACTTTCACAATGCAGAAAATACAGCAGCTTAAAATATATCAGACAAAAGTGTGACAAACAATGGTTTTATAAAAAGTGATTTTTTTTCTAACTGTGGAGACTTTTTTATTTCTGTGTTTGTGTGAGTGGTGTGTTTTCACTGCAGTACCTTTCTTACTGGCTGAGGCTACCATGGGCAGAAAGTCTTTGGAGGTGAAGAAACCTTGATCCATAGTTAAACCTTGGAAGATCTTGGCCCTGTTTGCCTGAGGGAGACCTGAAGACATACACAAGCATAAATATAGACAAAACTTAAATAGCCAAACAGCGGTACAAACTTTGAAAATGAGACACACAAGAACAGAAGGAAGCTATACGTGAACTAGAGATCAAAGTACAAGTATGGAGAGAGGTGTTTTCAAAAACTTTACTAGATAATAGCAATGTACTAATTTAGAAATACTGAAAAATTGCAAAGCTGAAATATCAATCTGTCTCTAAAGGTTCACTCACCAATCCCAATGAAGACAGCCTTAAATCCCTCCTCTTTCAGAGAGTTTAAGGTCATTCCATTCATACCCAGACCCTTCTCACATATAATCTGAGGTTTCAAAAAAGAAAGAAAATAAGAAAGAAAGACAGAAAAAGCATACAAATGCACAGCTCATAAGATCCAATGCCTTTAGCCCAAGAGAAGACTTCTTGACTGAACTTATTTTTTTTAAATCAGTAAATTTTAGAATATTGCAGTATGAACACAGTGAACTTAAAAACCAACCTTGACTCCTAAATCCTTCATCAAGTCAATTTCAAACTGGACAACCTCAAAAGGCAGTCTGAACTGAGGGATTTCTGCTGTGCTGCAGGGAGAAAAACACATTTTAATATTGAGATATATGAATTTATGATGGATGGGCGGATGGTACTGTATTTTTCTGAAGAATTTATAGCAGGTAAAATAAGTATTGAACACTCCACAATTTTCTCCATGTCAGTGCAAATAATCAGCCGGTTCAGTTCCAACTGATGGCCTATAAAAAGGTGTCTTGTTGCCAAAGTGTCACACAAGAAACATTTTATGATGGTTGAAAGCCATGAACTCTCTCAAGACCTTCCTAACCTTACTGTTGTAACACATACTGATGGCATTGTTTACAGAATGATTTCTAAACTTCTGAATGTTCCAGTGAGCACTGTTGGGGCCATAATCCAGAAGAAGAAACAACAGCATTTCACCATGAACTGGCCACGACTAGGTGCTCCTGGAGGGTTATTTGACAGAGGAGTTAAAAGAATTATCAGGGGAGTTGTCAAAGAGCCAAAGACCACTTTAGTGCGGCAGATACTTGCATATTTTAAAAGAAACCTTCAAACAGTGATGCAAGCATGAAATTTGGCACAAAAATTCTCTGAGGGCAACTCTTAAAAAATGACAATAGACACTCAAAAATACAAGATGGCAGCCATGTCCAAGATGGCTGCTACTTTATTAGATAACTGGTATATCAAAGTGAACTTAGTTTACTTGCCCAGATACTGTGAACAGCCACTCGAAATTTCAAGACTGCAGCCATTCTTTGAGATTGCCATCTGGATCCTCTAGATGGCGGCCATTTCTGTCCAGTGTTACTGGACCTATGAGGACCAAAAGCATACCATTCTTTCACGCCTTTACAGGTTGTTGTTATACTCTATCAGTATTCCTCAACAAAGGCAAAAAGACTGCCTGGCAAACATAGGACATTTGCCCTGAAGCCTGTCCCAATTTCAGCAAATTAAGTCAATACCCTCCTTTACTGAGTGATGGCAACCTTTACATCCTGAAGAAGTCTGCAGGCTGCATTTGGGCTCAGGCAAACTAGCGTCAGCCAAAAGCAGAGAGTCCTGCTGACTAGTGATAGAAAAAGAATGGTGAACAATGGTGGGTCTTCGGGACAGCAAGTACACCAGCTGTACAAAGATGTCAACAACTGGCCAAGTGTTGCTGTAAATAAGAGTGCTGTGGAAGGTGCCAATGTTTTAGGCTGGGGTTCACCTGTGTAGCACTGTGCAGTTGCAAAGTACATCATCCTCAGTATGATGCCGTAATTCAACCCTTGATGCTGATTACCAACTAGGGTGGCCCGGGGTACCGTTTCAAAGTCTTTGGTATGACTCTGTCTTTTTTGTTAGGTGTAGACCTATGGCTCAGCTCTTCATCACCATATCAAGGAATCACATTTCTAGTTTATTAGGATCCAAGATGACACTGCAAGCAGCAGGCCACAGCCCTATTGAAATTGAAGTTATTTCTTAGGGCCCAAGCCAACGCTGCAAGCAGCCCTTTTGAAATTACAGGAATTATTTATCATTATTATAAACTTTAAAACTTTTTCAACTTTTAAACCCTCTAGACATGCTCAAAAACCCCTGCAATTTGGCAGGCTGGTAGGGCCCAGCTTAAAGTCGCATATTTTACTGTGCCTCAATATATATGAAAAAAAAAAAAAAAAAGACTCGCTATCGCACCCTATATTTATCATGCTCGCAGAGTTTCCTTCCTATGTGGTAACACAGCCAATACATTTTTTGAAATGTGCTACATAAACATACAGCACTGCAAAAATGCAAACGTGAATTATCAGCTGCATGATCACAGACAACATCTTGATACTACTTAGTAGCAGTGCATGCCCCATGCATTAACCCCCCATAGAAAATGTTGTTCAGGACTGCGCGCAACATGCTTACTCATGCTTCCTACCTACTCAGCTACTGTAATAACCGTTGTTCTCGTCTACACGCAAACTTTTTTTTCTCATTCATGAAATGCTTAAATTTCCAGAGACAGCTTTAGCAAGGGACAGGTCATCCAAAACTGGGACTGTCCCCGGAAATCGGGGACATCTGGTCACCTTATAAAAAGTAGTACTTTAAGCCTTAATGGTACTTCTTAAAGGGGGCATTGTCAAACCTGGCAACACAGCCCACGTGCCATGTGGCATTGTTTACAACACTTGACCAGAGCGCACATTTGCAGGCAGGCTACATCAGCTCCTCTAGCCAGCGTGAAACGCAAAATGGACCGTTTTTTAATTAAAAAAAAGGGTCAGAAACAAGCTCAAAAACCAGATGGACAGACGCGTAGTATTATAACGAATAGGGGAGTGGATGAGGAAAATGAGTCTGAGGAAGCAGCAAACAAAAATCAGCACAAAGACACTGAAGATGGGAGGAGCTGGCAAATGGCAGGTGTAACGTTACCCAGTAAGAAACGAAAGATACAAAGCATACAAGATGAGCATGGAAAATCCAGCCAGCCGGTAGCGGCAGTCAGGGGAGTTATCAAAATCATATGGGCATGTTGTTGTCGTTGTTCTCAGTCTTTGACAGCTGTTCTCTTTGTTATAAATAAACCGTGACTCCTGTGGAGTCCTGATAACTATACTAAGTCCTAGTTTATCTGCCATGGTGTTAGAAGTCTAAGTAAAAGAACCGTTACGATGGTGATGGAAGTTTAACCCAACGGAAAACGTCAACTTTGAGCGACCATCGGAATGGCCAGCCTAGAAACAGAGATTTTCACGGTACCGGTCGGCTACAAAGTTGGGTGCCGAAGAAGGAGAAGTCCAGGTTAGCAATCTCAGTTATGCCATGGGCAGTGAAGCAGAGAATATCTTCAAGACCTTCATCTTCGCTGATGGTGAGAAGGAAGATGATTACGCCACAGTGCTCGCTAAATACAACGCCTAATTCATACTGAAAAAGAACCTGTTACATGAAAGAGCGTGCTTCTACAAGGGCAAAAACAGGGAGAAATGGTGGAGTGATACATCAGAGCTCTCTACGAGCTGAGTGAGAACTGTGACTTTGGACAATCAAAACTTGAAAATATCAGGGATAGATTGGTCATAGGTGGCCGACACAGCAGCGGCCGTGGAAGAGAGGAGAGAAGCAGCCTGCTAACCAGATGAGTGGCAGGGGGGACCAAGCTGCCTCGGGAGACAACAAATGTCACCGGTGCGGTAAAGAAAAGCATAATGCCCAAGCCAAATGCCCAGCATTAGACACAGAATATGGGAAATGTGGGAGAAAAGGCCACTGGGAAAGACTGTGCTTTTCTAAGTCAGCGAGGGAAGTCTCTCAGGACAGTAAGGAGGATGAGGAAAGCTTTTACCTGGGGCAGTGAGCAAGATAAACAAGGGCAGTGCAGACCACTGGTCAGAAATGATAAAAATAGGACATACTTCGGTTAAGTTCAGGATCGACACAGGGGCCGACGTTATTGTGATGAACCTCTCCGCCACAATCTTTCTCTTATTAGTGATTATCATAAAGCAGGATTTATTTATTGACATCTTGAAGCCTCTTTATTTTTTCCATGACATGTATAACATTTCTTCCCCTCATCCAAATGGCCCCACCATCCGCATTCAGAGCAGAATTAATACCTACCTCTATATTTGTAAAAATATCATTTATCATATCATTTTGTGGAACAGTACTGGGCTAGTAACACTCCCTTGCGGGGTACCACTTTCCATGTTGTATTCTTTTGAAAATTCTGCCCCAACTTTCACTCTTGCTCTCCTATCTGAGAAGAAACTCATTATCCGATTATACATTCTCCTGTTAATGCCCATTTGATTAAGGGGGATATGCCAACGTAAATCTAAGTCATGGTCAAACACACTGTAACACTGAGTTAGACACCCCCTTGAGAGATGAACTTTTCCAACTGCTTGCTTCTGTAGATCCACCAACTTTTGCAAAGACCGCATGATAGCAAAAACACAGCGGTCTATGGGCCTGATCCACTAAGATTCCAAATAGCGAGCGCTCAATTTTGTGTGCAAACTAAAAAATTGCACGTGCTATTAGTGGGCATGTTGTGGGTTATCAACTCTAATTATGTGCGCAATTGATTGATCACAGGGATCAAGGTGGCGCGGACGTGTCCAGACGCCATCGTGACTGCTTTGCGTAGATTGTGCTTTTTGTTAGTTTTTATCTTAGTTATCCTTAGCTCTTTAACCCCTCTTTGTTTCAGTCTAATTACATATGACCACAGCACACTACTGAACTTCGCTAGCAGGTCTATCTACCCATTTTCTGAAGTTTTGAGTAAGAGCTCTACCTGGCCGAAGGAGATCCTACGGAGCATGGAGCATAACCAGGGGAAATGGTCACCAAAGTCACGCAGGAAAAAATACAGAGGGAAACGTGCCGGAGTCAAAACAGGCTGCGTGCACGAGCACACCACCTTTCTCTTCCTAGTATCCTGCTGGCCAATGTCCAATCCATGGACAACAAGTTGGACGACATCAGGGCTCGGGTCCACTTCCAGCGCGACATGAGGAACTGCAACATCCTTTGTTTCACGGAGACATGGCTCACGTCGGAGTTGCCGGACCACGCCGTTCGCCCAGCTGAAACATTCACAGTGTTTCGCATGGACAGAACGGAAGACTCCAGCAAATCAAGGGGTGGTGGAGTGTGTTTCCTGACCAACAACAGCTGGTGTGATCCAAGGAATGTTACTGTTCTGTTGTGCTCGTGCTCACCGGACTTCGAACATCTGGCAATCCTCTGTCGCCCCTTCTATCTGCCCCGGGAGTTCTCCGCAGTCATCATCCTCGGCGTCTATATTCCACCGCAGGCGGACACGGACACTGCTCTCACCACCCTACATGACTACATCAGCAGACACTTCGCAGAGCACCTGGAGGCTGCCCTCATCGTGGCTGCCCAACTTTTTCCAGCACATCACATGTCCAACGAGGGGAGACAACACTCTGGACCACTGCTACACTTCATTCAAGGAAGGATATATAGCCAAACCACTACCGGCTTTTGGGAAGGCTGACCACAACGCCATTTTCCCCCTTCCAAAATATAAAAAAGGTTACAACGTGAACCCCCGGTATCGCAAGAGGTCAGACGCTGGTCCGCCCAATCAGAGGCCACACTGCAGGACGCACTGAGTGACGTAGACTGGGACATGTTCCGCGAGAGCTCGGGTGACGCCGACGAGTTTACGGAAGTGGTTACGTGCTTTCTCAGCAAACTGCTAGACGATACCATCCCTATGGTGACTGTGAAGTTTTTTCCTAATCAGAAACTGTGGGTGGATAAGTCTATCTGGGAAGCTCTGAATGCACGTACCGCTGCGTAAAACGAGGGGCTGAAGACCGGCAACATGTCACCTTACAAAGTGGCAGCCTACAAGCTCAGGAAAGTGGTGAAAGCGGCTAAGAGGCGAAACAGGACCAAAGTGGAAGGACAACTGTGCGACCGTGACACCAGAGACATGTGGCAAGGACTGCGAACGATGACGGATTATACTAGATGAGTGAACACCGTGGCTGTTGTGGACTCTTCACTGGTGGAAGAACTTAACACCTTCTTCGCTCGCTTTGAGACTGCTGGCGCTAGCGCTAGCACGGTGGCTGGCGCTGGCGTCCTGGCCGGCATGGAGAACCACCCCCTCTCGTTCTCGGTGCACGACGTAAGGAGAGCTCTGAGACGAGTGAACAGCGGGAAGGCAGCCGGCCCAGATGGCATTCCCAGGCATCTGCTGAAGTCCTGTACTGACCAGCTAGCCCCGGTGTTCACGACCATATTTAATCTGTCCCTTGTCCACTCTGTCGTCCCCACCTGCCTAAAGAAGTCCACCATTATCCCTGTGCCCAAGAAGACCAACCCTGCCTGCCTGAAAGACTACCGCCCTGTTGCCCTAAACTCCATAGTGATGAAGTGCTTTGAGAGACTTATCAAAGACTTTATCTGCTCATCACTACCGGACTCCCTGGACCCCCCTCAGTTTGCCTGACTTGGACTTCACACACCTCCACTCTGGTGAAGAAGGCGAGGCAGCGTCTATTCCACCTTAGGAGGCTCAGGAAATTCAAGGTCTCCACCAAGCTGCTGAAAACTGTCTACACCGCCACAGTGGGGTCTGTGCTTTCTGCAAGTATCACTGCCTGGTATGGCAGCTGCATCTCTCAGGACAGAAAGGCCCTGCACCGAGTCATCCGTTGTGCTGAACGCATCACCCCTACTGCACTGCCTGGCCTCCAGGACATCTACACCCAGCGGTGCAGGTCCAGGGCAAGACGGATTATCAAAGACACTCACCATCCCAACCACAGACTGTTTGAGTGGCTGCCCTCAGGCAAGAGGCTTCGCTCCATTAGAACCAGGACTGAGAGGCTGCTTCTTCCCCCAGGCCACTTGGATCCTAAACTCCTCATAACACACACCCCATAACTGACTTCACAACACCCTCTGAACAGACTGTACTGCAGAAGATAACTTACTGGTCACTTTACCTGTTTACCTCTGTTATCTTGTTTACTTGTACATAGGAGTCAATATTTTTAATTATTTTAATTTTATTTTTATTTTACGGTTATTGTACATAGGATGTATATAGGAGTGGATATTTATCTTATTTCTATTTTTATTTGATCTCTTTCTATATATTATTTGATTTTCTTCTTCTTATTATTATTATTGTTATTATTATTATTATTATTATCATTATTTATATATTTTTTTACATACTTGTGTTCTATTCATATTCTGTTTCTTTGGCACTATCACAGATGTCACTTTCATTTCACTGCCACTGTACCTGTACATTTAGGCATGTAAAATAAAGGCAAATAAAACTTGAAACTTGAAACTTGATTACAGGTGCAAAAGTGGTGGGACCGTCCTCTTTTAATGCAGATTTTGCGTGCGGTATTAGCTGTCACCACGGATAGTTTGTGAGAGCAGAGTGATCGTTGATGAAAATTAAGTTTGAAGCCATGAGGTTGCACATATCGTTTTGGGGAACTGCATAAAAGGCAAGGGAAGTTTATGTGTATAGCACCATTTATACACATGGCAATTCAAAGTGCTTTACAGATGCAAGAAAATATATTGAAATAATAAAAGAGATTCATACAATTTAAAATTAACAAGACAAAGAGGTACATTTTTTAAAATGTTCTGTGTTTGGCTTAATTATTTATGAAAACCGTCATTCACCAGAAAAACACAAAACAAAAAAACAACAAGCTTTTAGACCCGGAGCTCCCCAGCACTCAGTCTCCAGACCCCAAAGGACCAAAAGGACCCCAAGTCCTGCAGTGTTTTCTGTTATTTACTGCATCCCAAGTGCAAAGTGTACTTGCCCATCTATCATTACATAGCATTGAACACTTGGGACAGCACAAGTGGTGGGCAAAACCGTTCATTTCAGTTAACCGGATCATTACGGTTCGTTCAGTAAAAAGATCCGTTCATTTTGGTCATTTCGGTCAATTGGTCGTTAGTCAGTCCATCCGCTCATGTTCATGTTCGTTCAGACCGAACGTAAGCGAACGGACTGACTCGACACGGTTGACCAGGTTTATGCAGGGGGAGATCTGGCTGCATTAAGTAATAATTTTCTTTTGTAGTCTAGGGGGTTCTTTACTAACATGTTCTTTCTTATGCTCTCAGAGCCTTGTTTCTGTCTTTGACTGATCTACTGCATTCATCGTCCCACCACAGAACTACTCTTACGTTGCCTTTTATTGTTCTTTTTGGAATACTAGTACTTGCAGCATTTAAGACATGCTCAGTAACATGGACACTGCTGGAGCTGCTTGCTCTTTTTTGACCACACTCTCCTGCTCACACCTGTAACCTGTTTATCACCTGCCAATATTTAAGACCAATCAGTCTGAGCTGTTGTTGCCAGTCCGTTGTCTGTGCTCCTGCCTCCTTCGTTTCAACTTTTGTTTGTATCTAACCTGCCGGTATTTAGAACTCTGCCTGACCTCTGTTTCAGACTTTGGCTGTCTCCTTTGTACCTCTGCCTGGTTGAACTGAATTTCTGTTTTTTTTTAACTCTGCCTGTTCCCTATTTTGGATTTTGCCTTTTGATACTGTACTTCTGCCTGGTTGGACTGGATTTTGGTTTTGACTTTGGATTGGACTCATAGACTGTATATACTATGGACAACTTGGTTCCACCTACCGCCTGTATACGGATTTGAAGCCAAAAAGCTCTCGATATTTCCGTGATTTTTCTTCATTTCCTGAAACCAGAGCTGCACAGTAGCGATGCGCGCAGTCGGCCGCGCAGTTGACGAGAGTCGCTGTGATGACGCTCGGCTCAAACAGCATATCCCCCGGGTGAGCTACGCAATCCCTGAACGCCCATAGGCTGTATCAGGTGTCAATCATAGAAAACATGAACCCCCTAATAACTTTTAAAAACGGAGCTTCACAGGAAAAAGAGGACTTGAGCACAAAACAGTCTGACTGTAACTACATGTCAACATCACAAGCAGGGGGGAGAAAAAATTATGTTCTGTGTAATAAATTTCTAAAGTTTGTCCACAACCCCATAAGCTTTGCTGGCGGAGGCGGGATTTATGACCTATACTGCAGCCCATCAACAGAGGGTGCTGTTCTCGGAGTGGCTTCACCTAGCAAGGAGGCAGACTCTGTCCATTCTTTATACAGTCTATGATTGGACTGTTCCTTGCCCCTTTTTGGTATGCTAATTAAAATTCTATTTTGGCCTTACTTCTGTTTTTGTGTAGTTCTGCACTTGGGTTTCTTTAGAACTATGTCAGTTTCCTTCAAGTGGTACCAAGCCACAGTTATGCGCATTGAAATCCCCACACCAAATTTCTCTTTTATACCCTGTACCTCCTACTTATTTAAACATGTCACTGGGTAAGTCCCTGCATGGATTATAGAAGTTTATTATTTTCAAATTTCTTTTCGTGAGCTACATAGCTCCACTACAACACACTCTATCTCTATAGATGAGGTGATGTCTCTGTAGGCCAACCCATCTTTGATAAATGTGGCACATCCTCCTCCACTTTGATTATTATCTCTGTCATCTCTAACAGCACTGAATCCAGGGAACCTAAAAATCTAACTGTGGTCTCAATCATGTTTCCTGAACACAAATGACGTCTAAAACTACATCCAGATCATAAATGTATTTTTTAAATTCCTGACCATTCGCTAGCAGGCTTCTGGCATTCCACTGAAGTATGTGTAGAACCATCATTAGTGTACCAAACCACGTCTTTTCTGTTTTCTGATGCTTCTTTTGTTGTCAACATTTTATGTATCTGATCTGCTTTAATTTCTTTCATGTCAAGGAATTTTCCTGCTGCCTCTACAATTGACTTAATTTTACCACTTTTCTTTTTCAAGTTCATTGCAACATTTATGGCATGGCAAATACAAGCCACAAAGTTCTCTTTTTTCACTACCATGGTATTGTCATTCACTTTACATTTATGTGTACATTTACTTTGCTCTGATACATAGGGCGCTTGTACTTGGGTCTGGTTTTCTTGAGAGCTTGTTCTTGTATCCCTCTGTCCTTTTTCACTGACATCCGTACAGTTTCTGCAAATGACACCTTCTCTATTATTTTGACCCTCTGAACTTCCCTAGCTTCTTTCTGCTCCATGCATCCTCCATATGTTGCACTGTAATCTCCTCCACAGTTACAGCATTTCACTTAAGCATCTGTTTCGCATTTTCCATACTCGTGTTGCCCTCCACATCTGGCACACCATAGTTTTTCTTTCCAATCTTTAGCAATGTGTCCCATTCTTTGACAAACAAAGCATCTGATTGGTTTGGGTATGTAATCTCTCACATTGTAATTCATGTACCAAATCTGTACTGAACTTGGGATACTGTATCCCTTAGATACTGTATCATGATCTTCCCCTGTGTCTTATCTGCCATGTTCAGTAAGCCCCACAGTGTTATCTCCTTCACCCCACATTCTCTCAGCCTGTTCCTCATCACACTTCTTTGCGAGACAGTATTATTGAGAGTAATAGTGAAATAACATCAATGAGAAGACAAATACAATTAATAAATATACACAAAATAGACAATAAGAACTTTGATTAAAATGAACAGTAGCAATAAGAGAACTAGGACCCCGTTGGGGCACTGGCGGGCCCGAGCTGTGTCGCGTCCCCCCCCCAACGCGCTGCCTCCCCGTCCCATTTGTGTCCTCTGGCCATCGCCCTCTCTGGTAACGCCCATCACTGCAAAGACCCTTTTCCTTCATCGGCGTTTGCTGTTCTTCCTGCCAGTGCGTGTTGCTTTCACTTACACTTGCCACAGCCAGCCTCGTGAGTGCCTAGCCTATTGGATATCACTGTCACCTACACAGGACAGTCATTACCTTTCTATTAATACTTTGTTTTTTAATTTCACATTAATTTCCATATTGTATAAACAACTGGAAAAAACTTGAGCCCCTGCCCCTGTATAATCATGTGCACGTCTCTGTTCTAGCTCTAAGGTGAATCTTCACTGCTCATGTTCTCCTCAGAAGCAGTCACCTCACTCCCCTCAGGTTACTGTACACATGCACCAACTGCCTGCTTCAGGTTTGGATGGAGCTTCATGGTTGTCTTTTGGAGAAATGACCAGTCAAGTTGTGTTTGAAATTTGATTTTTTTCAGGGGCAAAAGGAGCCTCTGCATTCTTGTCAAATATGTAAATAGCATGTTTTTGCAGGTGCTAAAAACCAGACTCTGAGTGTGTGTGTGTGCGTGTGTGTGTGTGTCTGTGTGTGTGTGTGTGTGTGTGTGCGTTCAAGTCACATGACATATTTAACCGGATGTAGCTGCAAGACGGAGCCTCGTTGACTCTCCGTTTCAACTTATCTCAAAAGTGAGGACCTCAACCTATATACCAGTTTTTAAATTGTGTTGATAGGCCAAATAAAACCAGAGTTATGATAAATTATGTCCGCGATACTTGTTTTCTGCTTATTTTGATCACGTTCGGCGCTCGATCGCGCTGTATGAGACAGGAAAACATAGCATGCAGACATTAGCGACAGGTCTTACAGGCGGAAAAGGCTTGCCAAAGGAAAAAAAAAAACACACCACAACATCTCTCCTATTGGTGGAAAACTTCACCACAACAACCAATCCAAAATTATATGGTGACTGATTGACAAGGGGCGGGCGCTTACGTTCTTCCTGCAATATGAGAAGGGAGGGAGGGACTCTCAGCAGGGATGCAGTCTGGGACATGTAGTTGCAAACCTAGCGACTTCAATGACTTTTCAGACCCCCTAACGACTTTTTTTTAGAAAGAAAGGGACTTTTATCGACTTCTTCTGGAGTTTAGAGACTCTGACATGAAGCAGGCTTTCCTTACTGAGGAGTTAGCAACGCTGCTAAGGGTGCAGAGCCACACATGCGCTCCGAGCTCTGCATGGGAGACTGAAGCTGACAGAGCTGCAGCAGTTAGCAGGTTTCACCCTCAGAGACCACCAGGGGTTCATGTTGAGGCATTTTCAGTTTTTTTTTTTTTTTGCCATAGACACTGTCAGCACAATCTGCAGTTACACTAACAAAAATGCTGCAAAAAACAAAGAATTATGGAAAAATTACACATGGACTAACATAGAGGAGGATCTACACAAGTTTTTTACATCATGTTTTACATCATGCATCATTTACATCATGTTTTTTTGTAGTGGCATAAATAAAAAGTGACATTTGTGAGACTATACAGTGTTTTGTAAATAATTTTACAAAGAACACCTGGGCCATTGCCTGCATTTTGATGTAAATAGAGGTAAATTACTATGTTCTTTGTTAAAAATTTGCATATGTTTTGAAGTTTACAATTTTTATTTGAAGTTTAAGTTTTAAAAACAGTTCATCACACATATTTGTGGTTTAATTTCACATTAATTTCCATATTGTATAAATGACTGGAAAAAACTTGAGCCCCTGCCCCTGTATAATCATGTGCACGTCCCTGTTCTAGCTCCAAGGTGAATCTTCACTGCTCATGTTCTCCTCAGAAATAGTCACCTCACTCCCCTCAGGTTACTGTACACATGCACCAACTATCTGCTTCAGGTTTGAAATGGAGCTTCATGGTTGTCTTTTGGAGAAATGAACAGTCAAGTTGTGTTTGAAATTTGATTTTTTTCAGGGGCAAAAGGAAGCCTCTGCATTCTTGTCAAATATGTAAACAGCATGTTTTTGCAGGTGCTAAAAAACAGACTCTGAGTGTGTGTGTGTGTGTGTGTGTGTGTGTGTGTGTGTGTGTGTGTGTGTGTGTGTGTATGTTGGCGTGTGTGTATATGTGTGTGTATCCTGCAGTACTCTGTACTCCTGCAGTGGCCAAAAAGACTTTTAAGAATGTAGATTTTTGGGTCATCTTTGGCGCCCCCTAGAACTGCAGTACTCTGTACTCCTGCAGTGGCCAAAATGACTTTTAAGAATGTGGATTTTTGGGTCATCTTTGGCGCCCCCTAGAACGTAAACCGTGGGGTGCAGCGTCATGATTTTTACAACTTTGAATGGGCATGGGGTGTAGATTGCCCTGAGCAAATTTGGTATCGGTGGGACCAAAGCCTTAGGAGGAGATAGCCACATTCCAATGTGTGCGAATCGGCAAAAAATGCAAAATAGCCCTTTAACCGTACATTATACAGATACGCGCTCTTTGACTTTTTCGTAGATCTAATTGAGATACACATGATTGTCAATTTTTGTGTCAATATGTCAAAGCGTTCAGGCGTGACACTCAACAATGTGTATTTTCATGTAAGGGGACAAGAAAAAATTGACTTTTTTCTCCTACCATGGGGGGCGCTCTTTTGGGGAGTAAAAATTCCTTCACAAATGTGTTGATGGCTGGACATTGCATCATCCTAGAAAACTTGGAGGCCAGTGAGGACAAATATAAAAAGTTATAAAACATTTAAGAATGTGGATTTTTGGGTTATTTTTGGCGCCCCCTAGAACCTAAACCGTGGGGTGCAGCATCATGATTTGAATAACTTTTAATGGCCATGGGGTGTAGATTGGCCTGAGCAAATGTGGTGCCGGTGGAACGAAAGCCTTCGGAGGAGTTAGCGAAATTCCAATGTGTGCGTATTGGCAAAAAATGCGGAATAACCCTTTAACTGTACATTTGACAGATACGCGCGCATTGACTTTTTTGTAGATCTTATTGAGTTACATGTGTGTGTCAATTTTTGTGTCATTTTGACAAAGTGTATAGGCGTGACACTCAACAATGTGTATTTTCACCTTAGGGGACAAGAAAAAATGGACTTTTTTCTCCTGCCATGGGGGGCGCTCTTTTGGGGAGTAAAAATTCCTTCACAAATGTGTTGATGGCTGGACATTGCATCATCCTAGAAAACTTGGAGGCCAGTGAGGACAAAAATAAAAAGTTATAAGACTTTTAAATATGTGGATTTTAGTGTTATCTTTGGCGCCCCCTAGAACCTAAACCTTGGGGTGCAGCGTCATGATTTTGATAACTTTTAATGGCCACGGGGTGTAGATTGGCCTGAGCAAATGTGGTGCCGGTGGAACGAAAGCCTTCGGAGGAGTTAGCGAAATTCCAATGTGTGCGGATCGGCAAAAAATGCGAAATAACCCTTTAACCGTAATTTTGACAGATACGGCCGCACTGACTTTTTTGTAGATCTTATTGAGATACATATGTGTGTCAATTTTTGTGTCAATATGACAAAGCGTACAGGCGTGACAGTCAATAGTGTGAATTTTCACCTTAGGGGGTGCTATGGAGCCATTTTGCATTTTATTGTTTGGGCGACTTCAGAATATCGAATTTTTCACCAGGCCCGGTCGTCCTGCCAAATTTCATGAGTTTTCGCCAGTGGGAAGTGGGCCATTTTCCAGTTCAAAGGGGAGGAAAAAGAAGAAAGAAAGAAAGAACTAGGGCCCCGTTGGGGCACTGGCGGGCCCGAGCCGTGTCACGCCGCCCCCAGCGCGACCGCCTCCCCCACCCGATCGCGTCACACTCAAGGTCCAAAGATGGTGTGCGCACTTGTTTGTGGTCATTTACCATTATAATGAACGGGAGGCGCAGTTTCTACCAAAACGCTCGCTGCAGAAAAACTCCATGTCCTATTTGAAAAAAGTCTGGACCATGAGTGAGGGCACAAACACAGCTAAGATATATCCAAATGGCAAGTTGCTCCTCCTTTCGCTTTTGCCGAGAGAGCAGTGCGTTTGAGCCATTGAATGATGAACAGGAAAAACTTGACTTTATTCTCCTGCCATGGGGGGGCGCTCTTTTAAAGAGAAAAAACTCCTTCACAAATGTGTTGATGGCTGGACATTGCATCATCCTAGAAAACATGGAGGCCAGTGAGGACAAAAATAAAAAGTTATAAGACTTTTAAATATGTGGATTTTAGGGTTATATTTGGCGCCCCCTAGAACCTAAACCGTGGGGTGCAGCGTCATGATTTGAATAACTTTTAATGGCCATGGGGTGTAGATTGGCCTGAGCAAATGTGGTGCCGGTGGAACGAAAGCCTTCGGAGGAATTAGCGAAATTCCAATGTGTGCGAATCTGCAAAAAATGCGAAATAACCCTTTAACTGTACATTTTACAGATACGTGGCCATTGACTTTTTCGAAGATCTTATTGAAATACACGTGTATGTAAAATTTTGTGTCAATACGACAAAACATACAGGCGTAGCACTCAACAATGTGTATTTTCACCTTAGTGGACAAGAAAAAATTGACTTTTTTCTCCTGCCATGGGGGGCGCTCTTTTGCCGAGTAAAAATTCCTTCACAAATGTGTTGATGGCTGGACATTGCATCATCCTAGAAAACTTGGAGGCCAGTGGGGACAAAAATAAAAAGTTATAAGACTTTTAAATATGTGGATTTTAGGGTTATCTTTGGCGCCCCCTAGAACCTAAACCGTGGGGTGCAGCGTCATGATTTGAATAACTTTTAATGGCCATGGGGTGTAGATTGGCCTGAGCAAATGTGGTGCCGGTGGAACGAAAGCCTTCGGAGGAGTTAGCGAAATTCCAATGTGTGCGGATCGGCAAAAAATGCGGAATAACCCTTTAACCGTACATTTGACAGATACGCGCGCATTGACTTTTTCGTAGATCTTATTGAGATACATGTGTGTGTCAATTTTTGTGTCATTTTGCCAAAGCGTACAGGTGTTACACTCAACAATGTGTATTTTCACCTTAGGGGACAAGAAAAAATGGACTTTTTTCTCCTGCCATGGGGGGGCGCTCTTTTGGGGAGTAAAAATTCCTTCACAAATGTGTTGATGGCTGGACATTGCATCATCCTAGAAAACTTGGAGGCCAGTGAGGGCAAAAATAAAAAGTTATAAGACTTTTAAATATGTGGATCTTAGGGTTATCTTTGGCGCCCCCTAGAACCTAAACCGTGGGGTGCAGCGTCATGATTTGAATAACTTTTAATGGCCATGGGGTGTAGATTGGCCTGAGCAAATGTGGTGCCGGTGGAACGAAAGCCTTCGGAGGAGTTAGCGAAATTCCAATGTGTGCGGATCGGCAAAAAATGCGAAATAACCCTTTAACCGTACATTTGACAGATACGGCCGCACTGACTTTTTTGTAGATCTTATTGAGATACATGTGTGTGTCAATTTTTGTGTCATTTTGACAAAGCGTACAGGCGTGACAGTGAATAGTGTGAATTTTCACCTTAGGGGGCGCTATGGAGCCATTTTGCATTTTCTTGTTTGGGCGACTTCGGAATATCAAATTTTTCACCAGGCCCGGTCGTCCTGCCAAATTTCATGAGTTTTCGCCAGTGGGAAGTGGGCCATTTTCCAGTTCAAAGGGGAGGAAAAATAACTAGGACCCCGCTGGGGCACTGGCGGGCCCGAGCCGTGTCGCGTCCCCCCCCCAACATGCTGCCTCCCCGTCCCATTCGCGTCCTCTGGCCATCGCCCTCTCTGGTAACGCCCATCACTGCAAAGACCCTTTTCCTTCATCGGCGTTTGCTGTTCTTCCTGCCAGTGCGTGTTGCTTTCACTTACACTTGCCACAGCCAGCCTCGTGAGTGCCTAGCCTATTGGATATCACTGTCACCTACACAGGACAGTCATTACCTTTCTATTAATACTTTGTGTTTTAATTTCACATTAATTTCCATATTGTATAAATGACTGGAAAAAACTTGAGCCCCTGCCCCTGTATAATCATGTGCATGTCTCTGTTCTAGCTCTAAGGTGAATCTTCACTGCTCATGTTCTCCTCAGAAGCACTCACCTCACTCCCCTCAGGTTACTGTACACATGCACCAACTGCCTGCTTCAGGTTTGGATGGAGCTTCATGGTTGTCTTTTGGAGAAATGACCAGTCAAGTTGTGTTTGAAATTTGATTTTTTTCAGGGGCAAAAGGAGCCTCTGCATTCTTGTCAAATATGTAAATAGCATGTTTTTGCAGGTGCTAAAAACCAGACTCTGAGTGTGTGTGTGTGTGTGTGTGTGTGTGTGTGCGTGTGTGTGTGTCTGTGTGTGCGTTCAAGTCACATGACATATTTAACCGGATGTAGCTGCAAGACGGAGCCTCGTTGACTCTCCGTTTCAACTTATCTCAAAAGTGAGGACCTCAACCTATATACCAGTTTTTAAATTGTGTTGATAGGCCAAATAAAACCAGAGTTATGATAAATTATGTCCGCGATACTTTTTTTCTGCTTATTTTGATCACGTTCGGCGCTCGATCGCGCTGTATGAGACAGGAAAACATAGCATGCAGACATTAGCGACAGGTCTTACAGGCGGAAAAGGCTTGCCAAAAGAAAAAAAAAACACACCACAACATCTCTCCTATTGGTGGAAAACTTCACCACAACAACCAATCCAAAATTATATGGTGACTGATTGACAAGGGGAGGGCGCTTACGTTCTTCCTGCAACATGAGAAGGGAGGGAGGGACTCTCAGCAGGGATGCAGTCTGGGACACGTAGTTGCAAACCTAGCGACTTTGTTGTTAGATTCAATGACTTTTCAGACCCCCTAACGACTTTTTTTTAGAAAGAAAGGGACTTTTATCGACTTCTTCTGGAGTTTAGAGACTCTGACATGAAGCAGGCTTTCCTTACTGAGGAGTTAGCAACGCTGCTAAGGGTGCAGAGCCACACATGCGCTCAGAGCTCTGCATGGGAGACTGAAGCTGACAGAGCTGCAGCAGTTAGCAGGTTTCACCCTCAGAGACCACCAGGGGTTCATGTTGAGGCATTTTAATTTTTTTTTTTTTGTGCCATAGACACTGTCAGCACAATCTGCAGTTACACTAACAAAAATGCTGCAAAAAACAAAGAATTATGGAAAAATTACACATGGACTGACATAGAGGAGGATCTACACAAGTTTTTTACATCATGTTTTACATCATGCATCATTTACATCATGTTTTTTTGTAGTGGCATAAATAAAAAGTGACATTTGTGAGACTATACAGTGTTTTGTAAATAATTTTACAAAGAACGCCTGGGCCATTGCCTGCATTTTGATGTAAATAGAGGTAAATCACTATGTTCTTTGTTAAAAATTTGCATATGTTTTGAAGTTTACAATTTTTATTTGAAGTTTAAGTTTTAAAAACAGTTCATCACACATATTTGTGGTTTTCACAGTAAAAATGTTACTTTTTTCCACTCGGATTTTATGTTTTGTGTGTGAATTTGGGTCCATTGTGTAAATTCAGTATGTCAACATGATAAAATAACTGTAAATTCGCACAGGTGAGGTTGTGCTGAAAAAAAATGATACCAGGCAAGGCACGTGATTGTCAAATTTTGTGTCAATATGACAAAGCGTATAGGCGTGAATCTCAACAATATGTATTTTCACCTTAGGGGACAAGAAAAAATGGACTTTTTTCTCCTGCCATGGGGGGGCGCTCTTTTGGGGAGTAAAAATTCCTTCACAAATGTGTTGATGGCTGGACATTGCATCATCCTAGAAAACTTGGAGGCCAGTGAGGACAAAAATAAAAAGTTATAAGACTTTTAAATATGTGGATTTTAGGGTTGTCTTTGGCGCCCCCTAGAACCTAAACCGTGGGGTGCAGCGTCATGATTTGAATAACTTTTAATGGCCATGGGGTGTAGATTGGCCTGAGCAAATGTGGTGCCGGTGGAACGAAAGCCTTAGGAGGAGTTAGCCACATTCCAATGTGTGCGGATCGGCAAAAAAATGCGGAATAACCCTTTAACCGTACATTTGACAGATACGCGCGCATTGACTTTTTCGTAGATCTTATTGAGTTACATGTGTGTGTCAATTTTTGTGTCATTTTGACAAAGCGTATAGGCGTGACACTCAACAATGTGTATTTTCACCTTAGGGGACAAGAAAAAATGGACTTTTTTCTCCTGCCATGGGGGGCGCTCTTTTGGGGAGTAAAAATTCCTTCACAAATGTGTTGATGGCTGGACATTGCATCATCCTAGAAAACTTGGAGGCCAGTGAGGACAAAAATAAAAAGTTATAAGACTTTTAAATATGTGGATTTTAGTGTTATCTTTGGCGCCCCCTAGAACCTAAACCTTGGGGTGCAGCGTCATGATTTTGATAACTTTTAATGGCCACGGGGTGTAGATTGGCCTGAGCAAATGTGGTGCAGGTGGAACGAAAGCCTTCGGAGGAGTTAGCGAAATTCCAATGTGTGCGGATCGGCAAAAAATGCGAAATAACCCTTTAACCGTAATTTTGACAGATACGGCCGCACTGACTTTTTTGTAGATCTTATTGAGATACATATGTGTGTCAATTTTTGTGTCAATATGACAAAGCGTACAGTCGTGACAGTGAATAGTGTGAATTTTCACCTTAGGGGGCGCTATGGAGCCATTTTGCATTTTATTGTTTTGGCGACTTCAGAATATCAAATTTTTCACCAGGCCCGGTCGTCCTGCCAAATTTCATGAGTTTTCGCCAGTGGGAAGTGGGCCATTTTCCAGTTCAAAGGGGAGGAAAAAGAAACTAGGGCCCCGGTGGGGCACTGTCGGGCCCGAGCCGCGTCGCGCCGCCCCCAGCGCGACCGCCTCCCCCTCCCGATTGCATCACACTCAAGGTCCAAAGATGGTGTGCGCACTTGTCTGTGGTCATTTCCCATTATAATGAATGGGAGGCGCAGTTTCTACCAAAACGGCCGCTACAGACAAACTACATGTCCTATTTGAAAAAAGTCTGGACCATGAGTGAGGGCACAAACACAGCTAGGATATATCCAAATGGCAAGTTGCTCCTCCTTACGGTGTTGCCGGGAGAGCAATGCGATTGAGCCATTGAGCGATGGGCAGGGTTAACTGGACTTTTTCTCCTGCCTTGGGGGGGGGGGGGGATGTGGATTCTTTTAAGAATGTGGATATTTGGGTCATCTTTGGCGCCCCCTAGAACGTAAACCATGGGGTGCAGCGGCATGATTTTTACAACTTTGAATGGCCATGGGATGTAGATCGGCTTGAGCAAATTTGGTGTCGGTGGGAAGAAAGCCTTAGGAGGAGTTAGCCACATTCCAATGTGTGCGAATCGGCAAAAAATGCGAAATAGCCCTTTAACCGTACATTTGACAGATACGCCCGCACTGACTTTTTTGTAGATCTTATTGAGATACATATGTTTGTCAATTTTTGTGTCATTTTGACAAAGCGTAAAGGCGTGACAGTCAATAGTGTGAATTTTCACCTTAGGGGGCGCTATGGAGCCATTTTGCATTTTATTGTTTGGGCGACTTCGGAATATCAAATTTTTCACCAGGCCCGGTCATCCTGCCAAATTTCATGAGTTTTTGCCAGTGGGAAGTGGGCCATTTTCCAGTTCAAAGGGGAGGAAAAAGAAGAAAGAAAGAAACAAAGAAAAACCCCTTGGGGAATAATAGGGCTCTCGCAGCTGCTTAGCAGCTACGCTCGGGCCCTAACAAGAGGGCTCTCGCAGCTGCTTAGCAGCTACGCTCGGGCCCTAATTATGGAAAAATTACACATGGACTGACATAGAGGAGGATCTACACAAGTTTTTTACATCATGTTTTACATCATGCATCATTTACATCATGTTTTTTTGTAGTGGCATAAATAAAAAGTGACATTTGTGAGACTATACAGTGTTTTGTAAATAATTTTACAAAGAACGCCTGGGCCATTGCCCGCATTTTGATGTAAATAGAGGTAAATTACTATGTTCTTTGTTAAAAGTTTGCATATGTTTTGAAGTTTACAATTTTTATTTGAAGTTTAAGTTTTAAAAACAGTTCATCACACATATTTGTGGTTTAATTTCACATTAATTTCCATATTGTATAAATGACTGGAAAAAACTTGAGCCCCTGCCCCTGTATAATCATGTGCACGTCCCTGTTCTAGCTCCAAGGTGAATCTTCACTGCTCATGTTCTCCTCAGAAATAGTCACCTCACTCCCCTCAGGTTACTGTACACATGCACCAACTATCTGCTTCAGGTTTGAAATGGAGCTTCATGGTTGTCTTTTGGAGAAATGAACAGTCAAGTTGTGTTTGAAATTTGATTTTTTTCAGGGGCAAAAGGAAGCCTCTGCATTCTTGTCAAATATGTAAACAGCATGTTTTTGCAGGTGCTAAAAAACAGACTCTGAGTGTGTGTGTGTGTCTGTGTGTGTGTGTGTGTGTGTGTGTGTGTGTGTGTGTGTGTGTGTATGTTGGCGTGTGTGTATATGTGTGTGTATCCTGCAGTACTCTGTACTCCTGCAGTGGCCAAAAAGACTTTTAAGAATGTGGATTTTTGGGTCATCTTTGGCGCCCCCTAGAACTGCAGTACTCTGTACTCCTGCAGTGGCCAAAATGACTTTTAAGAATGTGGATTTTTGGGTCATCTTTGGCGCCCCCTAGAACGTAAACCGTGGGGTGCAGCGTCATGATTTTTACAACTTTGAATGGGCATGGGGTGTAGATTGGCCTGAGCAAATTTGGTATCGGTGGAACGAAAGCCTTCGGAGGAGTTAGCGAAATTCCAATGTGTGCGGATCGGCAAAAAATGCGAAATAGCCCTTTAACCGTACATTATACAGATACGCGCTCTTTGACTTTTTCGTAGATCTTATTGAGATACACGTGTGTGTCAAATTTTGTGTCAATATGACAAAGCGTTCAGGCATGACACTCAACAATGTGTATTTTCACCTTAGGGGACAAGAAAAAATGGACTTTTTTCTCCTGCCATGGGGGGGCGCTCTTTTGGGGAGTAAAAATTTCTTCACAAATGTGTTGATGGCTGGACATTGCATCATCCTAGAAAACTTGGAGGCCAGTGAGGACAAAAATAAAAAGTTATAAGACTTTTAAGACTGTGGATTTTTGGGTTATCTTTGGCGCCCCCTAGAATGTAAACCGTGGGGTGCAGCGTCATGATTTGTACAACTTTTAATGGCCATGGGGTGTAGATTGTCCTGAGCAAATTTGTTGCCGGTGGAACGAAAGCCTTTGGAGGAGTTAGCGAAATTCCAATGTGTGCGGATCGGCAAAAAATGCAAAATAACCCTTTAACCGTACATTTGACAGATACGCCCGCACTGACTTTTTTGTAGATCTTATTGAGATACACATGTGTGTCAAATTTTGTGTCATTTTGACAAAGCGTACAGGCGTCAGGTGAGTTTTCACCATAGGGGGCGCTATGGAGCCATTTTTCATTTTTTTGTTTGGGCGACTTCAGAATATCGAATTTTTCACCAGGCCCGGTCGTCCTGCCAAATTTCCTGAGTTTTCGCCAGTGGGAAGTGGGCCATTTTCCAGTTTAAAGCGGAGGAAAAATAACGAAAGAAGAATCCATCAGGAACAAGAGGGCTCTCGCAGCTGCTTAGCAGCTACGCTCGGGCCCTAAAAAGAAAGAAAGAAACAAAGAAAAACCACTTGGGGAATAATAGGGCCTACGCCCGGCTGCTCTGCAGCTGGCTCGGGCCCTAATAATAACAAAAGAAGGAAACTACAGGAACAAGAGGGCTCTCGCAGCTGCTTAGCAGCTACGCTCGGGCCCTAAAGAACTAGGACCCCGTTGGGGCACTGGCGGGCCCGAGCCGTGTCGCGTCCCCCCCCCAACGTGCTGCCTCCCCGTCCCATTTGTGTCCTCTGGCCATCGCCCTCTCTGGTAACGCCCATCACTGCGAAGACCCTTTTCCTTCATCGGCGTTTGCTGTTCTTCCTGCCAGTGTGTGTTGCTTTCACTTACACTTGCCATAGCCAGCCTCGTGAGTGCCTAGCCTATTGGATATCACTGTCACCTACACAGGACAGTCATTACCTTTCTATTAATACTTTGTGTTTTAATTTCACATTAATTTCCATATTGTATAAACGACTGGAAAAAACTTGAGCCCCTGCCCCTGTATAATCATGTGCATGTCTCTGTTCTAGCTCCAATGTGAATCTTCACTGCTCATGTTCTCCTCAGAAGCACTCACCTCACTCCCCTCAGGTTACTGTACACATGCACCAACTGCCTGCTTCAGGTTTGGATGGAGCTTCATGGTTGTCTTTTGGAGAAATGAGCAGTCAAGTTGTGTTTGAAATTTGATTTTTTTCAGGGGCAAAGGAGCCTCTGCATTCTTGTCAAATATGTAAATAGCATGTTTTTGCAGGTGCTAAAAACCAGACTCTGAGTGTGTGTGTGTGTGTGTGTGTGTGTGTGTGTGTGTGTGTGTGTGTGTGTGTGTGAGTGTGTGTGTGTCTATGTGTGCGTTCAAGTCACATGACATATTTAACCGGATGTAGCTGCAAGACGGAGCCTCGTTGACTCTCCGTTTCAACTTATCTCAAAAGTGAGGACCTCAACCTATATACCAGTTTTTAAATTGTGTTGATAGGCCAAATAAAACCAGAGTTATGATAAATTATGTCCGCGATACTTTTTTTCTGCTTATTTTGATCACGTTCGGCGCTCGATCGCGCTGTATGAGACAGGAAAACATAGCATGCAGACATTAGCGACAGGTCTTACAGGCGGAAAAGGCTTGCCAAAAGAAAAAAAAAACACACCACAACATCTCTCCTATTGGTGGAAAACTTCACCACAACAACCAATCCAAAATTATATGGTGACTGATTGACAAGGGGCGGGCGCTTACGTTCTTCCTGCAACATGAGAAGGGAGGGAGGGACTCTCAGCAGGGATGCAGTCTGGGACACGTAGTTGCAAACCTAGCGACTTTGTTGTTAGATTCAATGACTTTTCAGACACCCTAACGACTTTTTTTTAGAAAGAAAGTGACTTTTATCGACTTCTTCTGGAGTTTAGAGACTCTGACATGAAGCAGGCTTTCCATACTGAGGAGTTAGCAACGCTGCTAAGGGTGCAGAGCCACACATGCACTCAGAGCTCTGCATGGGAGACTGAAGCTGACAGAGCTGCAGCAGTTAGCAGGTTTCACCCTCAGAGACCACCAGGGGTTCATGTTGAGGCATTTTCAGTTTTTTTTTTTTTGTGCCATAGACACTGTCAGCACAATCTGCAGTTACACTAACAAAAATGCTGCAAAAAACAAAGAATTATGGAAAAATTACACATGGACTGACATAGAGGAGGATCTACACAAGTTTTTTACATCATGTTTTACATCATGCATCATTTACATCATGTTTTTTTGTAGTGGCATAAATAAAAAGTGACATTTGTGAGACTATACAGTGTTTTGTAAATAATTTTACAAAGAACGCCTGGGCCATTGCCTGCATTTTGATGTAAATAGAGGTAAATTACTATGTTCTTTGTTAAAAATTTGCATATGTTTTGAAGTTTACAATTTTTATTTGAAGTTTAAGTTTTAAAAACAGTTCATCACACATATTTGTGGTTTAATTTCACATTAATTTCCATATTGTATAAATGACTGGAGCCCCTGCCCCTGTATAATCATGTGCACGTCACTGTTCTAGCTCCAAGGTGAATCTTCACTGCTCATGTTCTCCTCAGAAATAGTCACCTCACTCCCCTCAGGTTACTGTACACATGCACCAACTATCTGCTTCAGGTTTGAAATGGAGCTTCATGGTTGTCTTTTGGAGAAATGAACAGTCAAGTTGTGTTTGAAATTTGATTTTTTTCAGGGGCAAAAGGAAGCCTCTGCATTCTTGTCAAATATGTAAACAGCATGTTTTTGCAGGTGCTAAAAAACAGACTCTGAGTGTGTGTGTGTGTGTGTGTGTGTGTGTGTGTGTGTGTGTGTGTGTGTGTTGGCGTGTGTGTATATGTGTGTGTATCCTGCAGTACTCTGTACTCCTGCAGTGGCCAAAAAGACTTTTAAGAATGTGGATTTTTGGGTCATCTTTGGCGCCCCCTAGAACTGCAGTACTCTGTACTCCTGCAGTGGCCAAAATGACTTTTAAGAATGTGGATTTTTGGGTCATCTTTGGCGCCCCCTAGAACGTAAACCGTGGGGTGCAGCGTCATGATTTTTACAACTTTGAATGGGCATGGGGTGTAGATTGCCCTGAGCAAATTTGGTATCGGTGGGACGAAAGCCTTAGGAGGAGATAGCCACATTCCAATGTGTGCGAATCGGCAAAAAATGCAAAATAGCCCTTTAACCGTACATTATACAGATACGCGCTCTTTGACTTTTTCGTAGATCTAATTGAGATACATATGATTGTCAAATTTTGTGTCAATATGACAAAGCGTTCAGGCGTGACACTCAACAATGTGTATTTTTATGTAAGGAGACAAGAAAAAATTGCCTTTTTTCTCCTACCATGGGGGGGGCGCTCTTTTGGGGAGTAAAAATTCCTTCACAAATGTGTTGATGGCTGGACATTGCATCATCCTAGAAAACTTGGAGGCCAGTGAGGACAGAAATAAAAAGTTATAAAACATTTAAGAATGTGGATTTTTGGGTTATATTTGGCGCCCCCTAGAACCTAAACCATGGGGTGCAGCATCATGATTTGAATAACTTTTAATGGCCATGGGGTGTAGATTGGCCTGAGCAAATGTGGTGCCGGTGGAACGAAAGCCTTCGGAGGAGTTAGCGAAATTCCAATGTGTGCGGATCGGCAAAAAATGCGGAATAACCCTTTAACTGTACATTTGACAGATACGCGCGCACTGACTTTTTTGTAGATCTTATTGAGTTACATGTGTGTGTCAATTTTTGTGTCATTTTGACAAAGCGTATAGGCGTGACACTCAACAATGTGTATTTTCACCTTAGGGGACAAGAAAAAATGGACTTTTTTTCTCCTGCCATGGGGGGGCGCTCTTTTGGGGAGTAAAAATTCCTTCACAAATGTGTTGATGGCTGGACATTGCATCATCCTAGAAAACTTGGAGGCCAGTGAGGACAAAAATAAAAAGTTATAAGACTTTTAAATATGTGGATTTTAGTGTTATCTTTGGCGCCCCCTAGAACCTAAACCTTGGGGTGCAGCGTCATGATTTTGATAACTTTTAATGGCCACGGGGTGTAGATTGGCCTGAGCAAATGTGGTGCCGGTGGAACGAAAGCCTTCGGAGGAGTTAGCGAAATTCCAATGTGTGCGGATCGGCAAAAAATGCGAAATAACCCTTTAACCGTAATTTTGACAGATACGGCCGCACTGACTTTTTTGTAGATCTTATTGAGATACATATGTGTGTCAATTTTTGTGTCAATATGACAAAGCGTACAGGCGTGACAGTCAATAGTGTGAATTTCCACCTTAGGGGGCGCTATGGAGCCATTTTGCATTTTATTGTTTGGGCGACTTCAGAATATCGAATTTTTCACCAGGCCCGGTCGTCCTGCCAAATTTCATGAGTTTTCGCCAGTGGGAAGTGGGCCATTTTCCAGTTCAAAGGGGAGGAAAAAGAAGAAAGAAAGAAAGAAAGAAAGAAACAAAGAAAAACCACTTGGGGAATAATAGGGCCTACGCCCGGCTGCTCTGCAGCTGGCTCGGGCCCTAACAAGAGGGCTCTCGCAGCTGCTTAGCAGCTACGCTCGGGCCCTAAAGAAACAAAGAAAAACCACTTGGGGAATAATAGGGCTCTCGCAGCTGCTTAGCAGCTACGCTCGGGCCCTAAAAACCACTTGGGGAATAATAGGGCTCTCGCAGCTGCTTAGCAGCTACGCTCGGGCCCTAAATAAGGAAAGGCAATCAGTGAAAAGCCTGGTTAAAAAGGTGAGTCTTGAGCCTCTTCTTAAAAGCATAACAGTCTCTGCAGTCCTGAGGCTCTCTGGCAGGGGCCATAGAAACTGAATGCCACCTCCCCTTGTGTTTTTTGTTTCAACTCTGGGTATGGTTAAAAGGCCTGTACCAGAGGACCTCAGGGTCCATGAGGGTTGATATGACCCTGTCTGACAAGTTCTTCACCCACTTTAAGGATTAAATTTTGCAGTTACCCCAGAACAGATCCCGGTGGTTGGCCTAATCCCAGCCGCGGAGTCAGCTATCCGTAACAACAATCTGATGGTCACAGAGGCAGAGCAACTTAGGTTGAAGGTAACAGCTGCTCTCTCGAATGCAAAACACCTCCTTCCAACCTGACCATGCAGGAAAGAAGAGCCTTGGCATCACTGCGAAAAGATGAAAACATCACCATCGTGCCTGCAGATACGGGGAAATGCACTGTTGTGCTCAACACCAGGGATTACCATGACAAGATAACAAGCCTTCTCAGTGAAACTGCCAGCTATGGAACTATAAAACTGGATCCTACCAACAGCTACGAAAAAAAGAGTTATCAGTGTACTTCAACAGCTGGAAAAGGATTGAGTTATTGGCCGCCCACTCTATTACTGGCTTTACCCAGGGGAAGCAGTCCCGTGCATTTACGGATTACCTAAAATACACAAGGAAGGGGCCCCCCTTAGACCCATCATCATCAGCATTAACTCAGTCACATACAAAGTGGCAAAACATTTGGTCCCCATCCTTGCTCCTCTTGTTGGCCACACCACTCACCACATCAAAAACTCACAGGACTTTGCTGAAAAAATCAAGGACATCAGGCTGGACCCAGATGAAACCATGGTTTCCTATGATGTGACATCACTTTTCACGAGTATTCCTACAACAGAGGAAGTCCAAGCAGTAAGACAACACCTCTTACAGGACCGCACACTGGAGGTCAGAACTAACTTAACCCCGACCACATCTGCCTCAGCACCACCTATTTCTAGTTCAGAGAGTGTCATCACAGAAAGAAACATGGATGTGCCATGGGCTCCCTGGTTTCTTCAGTAGTGGCAAAACTGTACATGGAAGAGGTAGAGAGAAAGGCCCTAACCTCCTTCAAAGGAGAAGCACCTAGCCACTGGTTCAGATATGTGGATGACACCTGGGTTAAGATCAAAACACATGAAGTAGAGGCCTTCACAGACCATATCAACACAGTGGACAGCAACATCAAGTTCACCCGTGAAGATGTCAGGGACAACATTTTGGCCCTCTTGGATTGTGCTGTACACTTGGAGGCAGATGGGTGCCTCAACGTTGAAGTGTACAGGAAACCCACACACATGGATCAATATTTACTTTTTGATTCCCACCATCCTCTGCAGCACAAGCTGGGTGTTTTCAGAACACTCAACCACCGGGCTGAGAACATTCCCACAAAGAAAGAATGTAAGGAAAAGGAACAGAAGCACATCAAAAATGCCCTGACAATATATGGATATCCTAAGTGGGCCTTTGTGAAGAACAGAAAGAAAAATAACACTGAACATGAAAAGGAGGAGAGACGCAAGAGTACTGTATTCCCGTATGTTGCAGGCCTGTCAGAAAAAAATCAAGAGGATCTTTGGCAAAAACCATATTCCTGTTCATTTCAAGCCTCGTAACACCCTAAGGCAGAAGCTAGTCCATCCCTAGGACAAAACACAGAGACATAAACAGAGTAATGTGATGTATGCTGTCCAGTGCAGTGAGGAATGTTCGGACCTGTACCTTGGGGAAGCTAAACAACTGCTTCACAAGCACATGGCTCAACACAGGAGAGCCACTTCCTCAGGTTAGGACTCAGCTGTCCACCTTCACTTAAAGGACACCGGTCACTCCTTCAAGGACAGCAATGTATAGATGTGGGCTAGAGAAGACAAATGGTTTGAATGAGGAGTTAAAGAAGCCAACTTTACCAGACTGGAGAAACCTCTGAACAGAGGGGGTGGACTCAGGCACAATCACTCTGGCACTTACAATGCAGTTCTCAGCTCTCTAACCAGGAAGCTCCACAAACATTCACACCTTGGACCACATAACCCAGGTGGCATGAGTCATGTGGTCACATGACAGGGGTTGTTAACGACCCATTCAGGTTAACGACCCTTGGGGTGAAAACACCCGGATATGGGTTTCTACGACCCATTCCTCTCAACTCAACCATCAGCAACTCTGTGCTGGCCTGGGAGAGAAACTTGTGGACTCTGGCTATATTCCTTAGGTGGTAAAAACCTACCCTTGCAATGTTTTTGATGTGTGGAATAAAACTGAGCTCAGAGTTAAAAATTACACCCTGGTTCTTTACAAATTCGGACACTTTCAAATCTTTTAGTTTTAGTAAAAGTGTCTCTTTCAGGCCTTCAGGACTGTAACTGTTCTCCCTACATGTGCTAACACAGTTTGACAGTCAGTCAATCTCCAATTCAAATGATGAGTCAGGTCTCAGTTGATCTCTTTTTTATTCACCACTGGTTGAATTCAGAGTAAAAACTATAATAAAGAGAAAAAATGCACAGATTAACAAGGTGCTGTAAACAACTCTAATAAGAAAATATTAAATTTACGTTATACAAATGAAACATTATTGCTAAGCTAAATGCTAATGCTAAGAGCTAAGCTACAAAGCTAAATTTAGCTTTGAACCTTAGCTACATGCTAAGAGGCATGAGCTATCAGCCAGAGGCAGCAGGGTGCCTGAACAAGGTGGGAGCAGGCCATTGACCGGAAAGTCACATGGACAGAGCTGTGGCGGGCTGAGCCGCAGCGCATTAGGTTCCTTGTCCAGGCAGTTTACGACATCCTGCTTAGCCCATCAAACCTCTCCATCTGGGGCAAGACGGAGTCTCCCAACTGCCCGCAGTGCCGAGGCAGAGGCACGCTGGAGCACATCCTGAGCTGCTGCCCAGTAGCTCTTGGTCAGGGGCGATACACCTGGCGCCACAACCAGGTCCTGAAACCCATCGTGGAAGCCATCAGCATGGGAATCAGCGGCAGTAGACGGTCCTGCTCCACCACCCAGAAAATCGCCTTTGTGAAGGCTGGAGAGTGCCCGGGAAAAACAGCAGGAGCCAGGAACCCACCAGAACTACTGGCAACTGCGAAAGACTGGCAGCTGTCTGTTGACCTGGAGAAGCAGCTGAAGTTCCCCCAGCACATTGTCATGACCACCCTGAGGCCAGACATCCTCCTGGTCTCAGAGGAGACAGAGAACATCATCCTGATGGAGCTGACAGTGCCATGGGAGGACAGACTGGACGAGGCCCATGAGAGAAAGAGGACCAAGTACGAGGAGCTGGTCATAGACTGCCGCAAGCAAGGCTGGAAGGCGAAGTGTATGCCCATCGAGGTTGGCTGCAGAGGTTTTGTGGGCCAATCACTCTATAAAACCTTGAGTGCACTGGGTATCACCGGGATGGCGAGGAAAAGAGCCATCAAGAACATCACGGAGGAAGCAGAGAAAGCCTCCAGATGGCTCTGGATCAGGAGAGGTGAACCATAGGGAGTAGCAAATGCCACCTGAACACAAGCCGGGTCTGATCAACCATGGCTGGGTCGCCTGGGCAAGGGTGTCTGATGTTGAGAGACCCGAAACACCCGAGGACCCCAGGTTACATCACTGATGATGTGTTCAGGAGCATCCTAGAGATGTATTCCACCAATCAGATACTGGCTAACCAAAACTAAACTAAACAGGTAAGTAACAAAGATACATGTTCTAACAACCTATAACCAGCCACCTTGAAATTACACAAAGACTTATTGTCTAAAATGTAAATTAAAAGGGCACCAATTGGCCGCTGTCATCAGGAAACACAACCATGTACAGTCAGGCCCGGATTAAACCTTCTGTGGCCCCTGAGGCTAAGCAAACCTAAAGGCCCCCCTCTGTCCCGCGCGTGTCAAAAATTGGCAGTTTTTATTGGTCATTTTGTGGAAATTACTGCAGTTATGGGTGGTTATTTAACGGTTCCACTAGCCACCACCTCCAGCCAAACCACTGGGTTAATACAACTGTGTGTCTGAATTCAATTCAACAAGAGGTAGTGAAAAAAGTCTTCAAGGAAAGCACAGAGGCTGGTGTACAGTTAACTTTTTGACTGAGAAACCAATACAAAAACAATAATAAAGTCAAAAACAGTGCGGCATTATAAATAAAAGTGCAAGGCATGGTATAAAGGCCTGTTATGGTTATACAATGCCATCAGTGCAATAAATAAAATACAGATATGCCAGAGAAACCAATACAAAAACAATAATAAAGTCAAAAACAGTGCGGCATTATAAATAAAAGTGCAAGGCATTAAACATAAAATCACCGCTATCTCACCGCTATCACTTTAACAAAACCACAGTAGCCCAGTAGAGCAAGGCCTCATAACTAAAATGCTTTCTTCCTGGCTTTGCGTACTGCGAAATCCTTCACTGTATCTGTAAAGTCCATTTTTCTGACAATGTCAGATGAAAGGGACATGTGAGTAAGATTGCATAATCTGTCTTGTACCATCGTTGACCGCAAACGACTCTTAACCAATGCCAGCTTGCTAAAGGACTGCTCTCCTGAAGCATTGGTGATGGGCAATGTGAGATATAGTCGCAGTGCTATGTCTACGTTTGGGAATACACTTTGCAAGCTTCTACTACGAATAAATTGCATTAACTGCTTTGATGACATGGTGTCTTCATTCCTGCAGAAGCTTTGAAACTGCACAATCTCATCAGGAAAATCCAAATTCAAATCTCCAGCATATTTTTCTTGCAATCGCATAGCTGCTGACCTTAGTTTCTGTTCAGAATCTGTTTTGATGGTACTCAAGAAAAAAAAGAGCTGCTGCAGTTTCAAATCGTGCAAAGTCATCTCTAAGTGTCCCAATAAAGTCACTTAATGAGGAAATCAAGGTATCTGCATTCATGAGATCTAGATCGACAGCTTGCAAGTGGACACTTACTTTATCAACCCTTTGTAACACACAATCCCAGAATTGACACAGAATCGCATTCTCTAATTTTTTCATGTTATTTGGCAGAGCCTTTGCTTCATTTTGGGTAGATACATTTTGTGTTTCCTCTCCCGACAACTGCACCAATGATTGGTGGATGTTTGCATAATTGAGGGTCAAAGCCCTTGTTGCCGCTGCATGTGCTGACCATCTAGTGTCTGACAGAGATTTGAGGTGTTCAATTCTTCTATTCTCATTTTGGCCAAGGTTACTGCTGATGATTTCCCATCGTGATGGTGATGCAGAACAGAAATTAAACAGGTTCTGAACAAGACTGAAGAAATCATTTGATTCCATGCAGCAGTTAACAGCATTGACTCCCACCAAATTTAGAGAATGCGCTGCGCAGGGGACCCACTCTGCAAGGGGATTTATTTGGCGTATGCGAGCTTGTACACCCTTGTATATGCCAGACATATTACTTGCATTGTCGTAACACTGACCACGACAGTTTTGGATGTCAATGCCCAATTCATTCAACACTCCCATCACAGCATTGAAAAGTGATTCACCCACATGGCTTGTTATTGGAAGGAATTCTAGGAACCGTTCTTCGACTTGGCCCTCTGGAGACACGTAGCGCATAATAAATGTCAGTTGATCAATATGAGACACATCTGGTGTCGAGTCTACACTGATTGAAAAGTATTTAGCCAGTTTTACTAGATTGACAATCTCTGACAAAACCTTTTCACCTATTAACTGAACAAACTCATCACATATTGTGCTAGACAAATAGGAAGGATTCCCCCTCCCTCTGTTTCCAAAGCGGGCAATGTGTTCTCTCAAAAAGGGATCAAAACAAGCTATGAGCTCAAGGCAACCCATGTAATTTCCATTATGTGGACAGCCAAAGGTTTCTGTGTCACCTCTGAAGGCTAGCCCTTGTTCTGACAGAAATTTCACAGTGGCAACAACTCTTTTTAGGACCTCCTCCCAATAGTGACACTCAGCAGCTATCTGTTCTTTTAAGCTCAAATCAATTCCACCAGTTTCAGATGATTTTGACAACCATGTTACCATGCACTGTCTGTGATGTTCTGACTGTTCGTGCTGTTCAATTGTCCTACTGGCATTTTTCCAATTGCTAAAGCCATCACTCCCAGAAAACGTAGTTGGGACCTTGCCAAATAGCTTACATGCAAAGCAAAAAGCTGCCCCCTTTACAGGAGAATATAACAGCCACTCACGTGGAACAATCTCTCTATTGACCAGGTTCCTATTGAAGAACCTCTTTGAAAAGCACCGTTTCTGGTGTTTGTACACTCTTTCAGATTTCTTAAAGTCACTGTCTCTGTTTTGGCATGCCACTGGTCCAGTCTTAATCCAATAATGTCTGGCTTCCTCATCAACCACAGCAGGCCAGCACCCAGGGTCTTTGCTGTAGATTGCCCCATTGTCTGCTGTACCTGCTGCTGGCTCCTCAACATCAATGTCACTACCATTGTCTCTCTCTGGTGGTTCTGTGACAGCTGCTACACAAGCAGATGTGCTGGGTGGTCCCTCGGTTGAGTCAATCACACCGTCATGAGCGAGGCCCTCATTTTCTGATAAATAAGTAGGTTAGTCAGTCTCAATATATAAATATATGATGACGCAAATATAGGCTATATGCTAATTAGAACATGGCCATATTACTTACTTTGGCCGCGTCGGATATTCGCCTCAGCGTCCGATTCGGAGGAGGGGGAGGAGGGAGACGAGTCCCCGGCACCCGGAGGGGCCGACGCCGTCGCTAGCAAAGTTTTTGTTGTGAAGTAGGTGGTCAGACGAGGCATGCTTTCCCGGAGCTTAGCCTCTCGCTTCTCCTTCTCTTTATTTTTTTTTTCTTCTGGCATAGCCACTTTCTCGGTTTTTTCCTCCGCTGCCAGACATGGCGAAAACTTCGCGTCGCTCTCTCTAATTAACCTGCTGCTGTTGCCGTGTGCTGCATCCTCCTTACACCGGGCGCAGGCGCGCAGCTCATCAGCGTCATAGCAGCTTCTGCTGGGGGCTGAGTGGCCCCCCCATAGCCAAACGCCCTGAGGCTTCAGCCTCACTATGCCTCATGGTTAATCCGGCTCTGTGTACAGTTGTGTATCATCAGCATAACTGTGGAAGCTGATGAAGATGTCCCCCAGGGGATGCCCATAGAGAATAAAAAAAAATGGACCTAAAATTGTCCCCTGAGGAACCCCACACATAATTTTGTGGGTTCTTGAGGAACATGTATCCATACTTACAAAAATTGTCCATCAGTGAGATAAGAGATGAACCGGTTAAAAACAGTGCCTGAGAAGCGGACCAGGTGCTTCAGCCTGTTTAATAAAATGTGATGGTCTACTGTATGAAAGGCAGCGTTTAGATCCAGCAGAACTAATACTGGGAGTTTGTGATTATCTAAATTGCACTTGATGTCATTCAAAATCTTTTAGACGGCTGTCTGAGTACTGTGGTTCCTCTCAAAACCAGATTGGCACTTCCCAAAAATGCTCTTTGTATTTAAAAGACATTTACTAGCTGAAGAAAAAGTTTTTCCAAGATTTTAGTTAAAAATGGTAAGTTGGATTCAGGTCGGTAATTGTTAAAAATGTTGGAGTTCAGATTGCTCTTCTTCAGTACTGAACCGAATCACTTCCTTGACTGAGTCATTTGTTTCTCACTTCAGTTGAGCTGAAGTGAGAGACAGCATAAGGCCAGCAGCCTGAGGGATCACATGCACCAACACCTGAATCACTTGGTGAACGAATCACACATTGAACTCCACTCTCTGGAATCATTTTTGTCAGACAAAGCTACCTTTTTTTCACTGCTAAATTGCTACCACAACAACTTGCATACAATAGGACACAGTATGTAACAAGTAGTGCATTAAACTTTCAGCATCCTATCATTGCAGCGGTTTGTGAGGGAAAGGTGCATGTTCAGTGTGAATTCTTCTAAACGTTCAGTCAACAAATCACTCACTGACCCCAGTTTACCGAGCAGATCTGATAAATAGCATACCATTGGACAGTACACGTAAAACATCATGACTTATGAAAAGTTAATTTTTACAAACCTGTTTGCCAAAGCAACACAGCCAAACACTCTTGTCTCCCGGTCCCAAAAGCTATAAATTGAACTGAATCCTGAAATGTTCAGCTGTGTATCGGTTCAGGAGTTTGGGGCTTCTCCTGCTAAATGATTCAGTGATTTGGTGAACGGATCTTTTTAGTGAATGGATTCCAGTGATTCAGTACATCTTAAAGAACTGCCGGGCCCATCACTACTGGCCAGTTGTGTGATGTAAACATTGCTGATGGCATGTGCTGTGTGTGGTAAACATCACGTACAGTAATGTACAGTACAGTATAAGGGATGAGGAGAAGCAGGAAAATTTGAGGCGATGAAAATAGAGGATAAAAACTGTACAGTATAGTAACAAAACATGGCATTCTTGTCAGTGGTTTACACAAATAATACTGAAGGAAGGAGGAGAAGACAGGATGTCAAAAGAAGAAATCTTTTGGCTGTCCCTTGGAAAATTAATGCTTGGGTGAAAAGTTTCACCGATCCCTGCTATTCTGCTCAGGCGCTATGCATTGTGGGTAACAGTAGGCGAAGCAGACTGGTCCGATGCATACTGTGAAATTTTCCCAAATCAGTACATCATCCGGTTATTTTTGGCATACTGCAAATTTCACATTTGTTTGCCTACTGCATACTACATTTTGGGAAAATCAGTACGTACTGCTAGTAAAGTAGGCATATTTGAAAATGGCCCCTGGTTCTCCAGTTTCTTTGTTGGTTTATTGTGGGTGTTGTATGTCTGTGTGTCTGAATGTCAGTGTCCTCAGTGTCTCCTTGTGTTTTTTCCCCCAGTGCCTTTGTTGGATTTTGAATACTTTGTTGGACCTTTTTGCAAGGAAGTTAATGTTATTTTAGTTATTTTTTGTTGTGCAATTGGGTCTTTTCTCTGTTTGTTCAACTTCACCTTCGTGACAACTAATGCGGTTTCGTGTGGATGGGATTTTATTTTAAAATGATGATGTGTGTACGTGACTTTTTTTTTAAAGCTGAGGGGGTTGGATATTTGTTTATTAAAATACCAGGCTATGTGTGTACATAGCCTCAGTTTTTGCTCCTCTGACTCTGGTGAGGTGATCATCAGAGAGCAGGGCCAAGCGTGTGTGTGTGTGTGTGTGTGTGTGTGTGTGTGTGTGTGCCTGATTGCCCTGATTTGGAACTGGCAGGGGAAGCTTACATATATTCTTGAGCTCGAGCTCCCAGTACTGACTTATTGTCAAATTCAATATAATTATTTAATTATATTATAATTATTAATTATTATTATTTTTTTCTGTATTGTGTCCTGGTTGCTTTATTTTCTTGCATTATGAAAGTTTGCTTTTACTGTGAAGAGCAATCTTTAGGTACAATCTTACTTAGATTTAAAGGAGTCATAAATTGTTTTAAAAAGGGATGTGGGAATAAGATCCAATGAACAGGTTGTTGGTCTTAAGATAAATGTGGTCAGCATTTCAGCATCAACCAGGACAGACTTCTCCAATGCTTCCTGAAAAACAATGACCCTTGGGTGGTTAAAGTGTTACGTTGGGTATGGGGGAAATCAGATCTGATTGACTGTATTTTACCATAGAAAAGTACAGTAAAATCCTCACATGCTTACATTCTGAGATGGTAGCGCCAAATCAAAGCATTTTTGTTTGACACAAAGTACACTGTAACTTCTTGCCTGTCAATCATCACATGAGCTGTCTGAGAGTGCCAGTGTGCCAGTCAAATATGTAGTGGTCTTGTTATTTTTCTTGAGAAAAGAATCAAGAGCAGGAAGATTCACACTTCATGTTTAGATATTTTTTTTACAAGTTTAGGCCAGTGTTTTATGATTTATAGCTGGATGTTAGTGATATGTTACCTTAGTCCTCCAGTGTACTTCTGTTTCTCAAAGATGGTGATATTATCATATCCAAGACGAGCCAAGAAAGAAGCACAGCTGATCGATGCTGGACCACAACCAATTAGAGCTATGGGGCTGTGGTAAACCTCAGGCATTTCATTGGCTGGTGGGAGCTCAGGGTTTCTGATCTGAGGGATGCCCATCTTACTAAATACCTAAGAAAATAAACACAAATGCACTTACCCACTTGAATACTCTTTAAAATGACAAACACTTATGTATTTATTTTACTCATGTTCACTTTTTTCAAAGAAGTTCTGTCAACGTGCAATCTTTGTAAATCTCTGTCATCTTCAGCATTTTCTTATGCCATTCTCTGTATCACCTCTGGGATAAATAATGACCTGGGGCCTGTTCTACGAAGCAGGATTACTGCTTAGTAAGGTAACTTCGAGGGTAAGTTCGGGGTTTCCTGTTCTACGACACGGGTTCACTTCTTAGCGAGGCGAGTCTCCATGGCAACATACGCTGAACGGCTAACCTGCTCCGGGGCTGGTTAAGTTCCAGATTGAACTCACTGAGTGTAAAAACCTCGCACACTGACCAGTGAGCGCTCTTGAAGAATGGCTTGTCCGTTCTTGGAGGATCCTATAGACCTCGGTGCTCGCATTGTCCGAGGAGCACTCCGGCACGCGAGAGTTTTCAGGGACCGCACAGACCCACTTCCTTTTCCGAATGACCACCTTTATGAAAGGCTCATATGGCCGACATATCACACAAAACATGTAAACACGATAGGAATGAACAAATGAATGAATTCATCTTGGAAAGGAATGGGCATGGGCTGCATGATCACAGACAACATCTCTATATCCACTATTTAGTAGCAGCGGACGCCCCTTGTAATAACCCCCGTAAATACTGTTGTTCAGGACTGCTAACTTGTGCTTCCTACCTACTGTAATAACCGTTGTTCTAGCCCACATGCAACATTTTTGTTCTCATTCATGAAACGCTTAAATCGGGGACATTTTCGGGGACAGCTTTAGCCGGGGACAGATCATCCAATTCGGGGACTGTCCCTGGAAATTGGGGACGTCTGGTCACCTTAGTCAAAAGCGCATGTTGAACAGTGCTATTTCAGGGTGATAATGGCATCAAAGATTACTTTTCTATCAGCATTCCTTCCGTGCTTTTGTAGCGGCGACGGTGTTGCTTTTGAGGTTTATGATAGCTTTGAATTCCTGATACTTTCTCATGATCGTCTCCTGCTCCTCGTTTGTAAAGTCTGCGGTCCTTCACTCTCCTGCCTGCTCTGACGCTCCAGACTGGTCCATGTTCGAGATTGGTCAGATGCGTCGGGCTCTGCCTTACATGCATGCACGTGCTCATTACAAAGCTGGATCAACTTACGAGGTTGATAACCAGCGTCGTAAAACTGTGTAGCGAGACCGCTGGCTACCGCGAGGTAGTTGAGCGAGGTACCTCCAAGGCTACCTTGCTAGGTTGAACTTGCTTCGTAGAACAGGCCCCAGGCCATGATCAGAGATGTGCTAGTCATGAATGATTAAACTTGAAGATAAGTCCTCAGTCTGTCTCCAGAGATTAATTTCAAACAGTAGAAAACACATCTCTCATACTTTCAGTTTTCTGTACCACTTTTGCCTTAACAGCGCTATAAAGCTCTTGTGAGGAACTTTCTGTCTGTGCTGAATTTAGCACCCCTGGTGGACTAAGTAAAGGCCCCATTTATTGCTGATATCATCTTATACTTTTGAGAGAGGTGTTTATTGATAAGAAATCTCCTACTCTGAGTTCTTTTTTGTTGTGAAATGTATCACTCACTGTGAATATAATAAAGTTAGTAATTTCTGTTGTGTATTGAATAGTACCATATCATCACCCTATCAAAATAATGGCCTAAGTCATTTTTTGACAAAAATGAGTTTTTGGCCTATATCATATCTTGATATGATTTAGAGATGGTTTAGGCCAAGAACTTGTTTTCGTCAAAAAATTATTTAGGCCATTATTTTAATGGGGTGATGATATAGAAATGTTCAGTCTTGTTGTCAATGGTCTCACTTGCTTTTGGCCATCATAAAGATGCATCACTGTGTACTTGTGTTTCATAACCAAACAAAACTACTCATAGGAGCTTGAACAAGTTTAATACGAGAACCCAACTCGTTAAGTAGTAGACAGCAAAGCTGTGTGTACATGTGTACAAATGAAGCCTAAAAATCCTGGAATAGTTAATTAGTGAGGCAAGATATGACTTCTTTTGTGTTCTTTGATAAGTGAGTCCTTCTCACAACACTCCACCAGATGATCCGTATAAGCTTGATGAATACTGGGGTTGTCTTTGGTTCCAAGCAAAGACAAGCATACAGTATCGTCAGAGAACTTCAGGATGAATGCATTTGGTCCATTATTTCTACAATCATCAGTGTAAGGTGTGAAAACAAATGGAGAGCTTACACAGCCCTGGAGCGCTCTAATGTTAGTAAGTGTAGGAGTTAAATATGTCTGGTTAACTTTGACCCTCTATACTCTATTTCTGAAGAATGCGTGGTACCAGTGAATTAAATAGAGATTTACTTCCTTCTCAACCATCTTGGTCAATATGAGCTCCGGCTGGATTGTATTTAAAGGCTGATGTGAAATCTAGTAAAAGAGCTCTAGCTGTAGTTTTAGGCTTGTCAAGATGTTTCAGAATAAGGTGCATCAGGGTCATCACAGCATCTTCTGTGCTTTGATTGTGCTTGTATACAAATTGCTGCCTGTCAAGTTTGTCAGGCATGGATTCACTCAGCTGCTGAACTACAATTCTTTCCAAGGCCTTCATTACAACCAGAGTCAAGGCAACAGGATAATGGTCACATGGTTGCTTTGGACATTTCAAAGACATTTCTCTACATGAGAGAAATACTACTCTTGTTCAATGAGCACTTGTAAATAGGCTGGCTGCCACAGAGGAGCTAACTCATCAGTAATTTTTAAAAAAATATATATGCACTAAGATTATCTGGACCTGTGACCTTCCACTGATTTAAACGTTCAGAGATATTTCTCACCTGCTCAACAGAAACATCAATCCTATCTGTCTCAGATGGTAAAACGGTTTTAGTTAACTCAGCAGCCCCATCTTTATCATTTCCTTTTTCAAACCCCTGAAAAAAAAACATTCAGGTGGTTTGCAAATTCTAGATCATTGTCTACCACTAGAGCTTTGTGGGTGGTTGACAGCCTAGACATAGCTTTCATTGTCTCCCTGCACTTTTTTCTGCTTTTGCTTCTGTAGGCCTCCTCCTCTAATTTCAGCCTGTTTACAATTTGCCTTTTACTCTTTAAATCTTTTTCTACCTGTTTAAGTCCTCCAATGTCCTTATTTTTTCAAAAGCAATCTTTCACAGGTTATTATGTGTTTAACCTCTTTTGTTATGAATGTCTTGTTACTTGGATATATTTTTATTTCCCCAGTTGGTATCACTGACTGTACACATATGTAGCTCTATATAGTTTGTTGTTACTGTTGTTGTTTCATCCAGTGAGTCATGATGGAACTCCTCCCACATAGTACAGTCAAATGATGCTTTCAGTTTTTCAGTGTTATCAGGTGACCACACTTTCATTACTGTATTCTCTGGTTTGGAGTTTTTCAATTTAGATTTATAAGCAGGTACAAGATGATCCACATCATGATCTGAAGTGCCTATTGGTGGTCTTACCTTTGAAACATATGCTGCCTCCATATTTACAAAGCATTTGTCCAATAGTTTATTCCTTCTTGTTTAACCCTGTCCAAATTTTTCAAATCCTGGCATCATTAACTACAATTTATACTGGTTCACATCTCCAAAATAGATTAGCACAAGCTTTTCTTTGGCAAGTCTAATTTATCTGAGCTCCCTTTTATTCATTATTTTTCAGCACTAGAAGTTTCATCGTAGCAGTTTTGGGCAAGCTTTTTCATTCTCTATTCTAAATCTAACTAAGATTAACTACCATTTGCAGTTTCGCCCAAGCTCATTGAGCGGGCAGCATTCACAGCAAGATTTCTTTAGAAATTCCATTTTCCAAATACAATTTATGTTTTTTCTGTACCTTACCAAATGAACAATTGGTTGAACATGCTCATAAGTCAACTGATTACAGCAGAAGAAGAAGAAAGAACTTGATTGATCCACAAAGGGAAATTCAATACTCATACCAATTTTTTTGTGAGGTTCCGGTGGACACACAAGTTTACTCACTGGGCCAAAAATATCTTAATAAATAGCAGTTGGTTTCTCATTAACCTCAAACAAGGAGCAACCACTAGGGCTAAATAGTGGTTCTGTCATATGTCCTTAGGATTTCCAACTGCAGGAGAGAACAGCTCAAATGAAAATGTTGAAATTTAGGGGTAATTTTGAATGTTTTACCTCTGTAGCAAACTGCTGGAGTCCTCCGATGTTAATAGGTCCCTCTTCTGATGCATACAAGTTGCAACCCCCCACACACAGCTCTGACGTGGGACAAACCATTCCACAAGTCAAACCCAGAGGGTTGTCTGAGAGGATTGCTCGGGCTGCCCCATAGTAGTTCTGGTGTAAACACACAAGTAGAGACACAAACAAAAGTAAAGGCAATGATAATATTCCAGATAGATAGAAGTTACAATCACTTAAGTATTTTATTTTTCATTTATTGTTGTTCAACTTTCTCTTGTTCATGAATACCATTTAAATGTATTGACAATTGTATGCATGGGTGCATATTGGTGCGTATTTCTTTGACAGTACCTTATTGGAGATACTTGTAATAAAGGACTTGATGTCCAGGTTAGTCGGGCAGCTCTTCTGACAGGGAGCATCTGCACATTTTAGACACCTATACAAAGATTTTACTTTATATGAGACTTAAACCAAAATGTCAGTGGTCCAAGGCACCAGAAAAACAAAACCTGATAGCAGTATCATGAAAGAGTAATACAAAAACCAAAAAATATTAGCATGCATTTACTGCCACAGTGCCTTCCTTACTGTCCAACTAAACACCAAACATGGAAAATCTCATAAAACCAACTCCATACTTCTCTACAAGTTTCGGCCTAACTGTCATTGTGTGCTGATACTTGAAGTTATGGTACTGCAGCATTACTACATTCTCATGCAGGACATGAGGTTGAGCTAAAGCTTTTTACGGACCTAACAGCTTCTCAGTTATAAACCAGGTGCTGGACAAGGTGGGATTTTTACTCTATAGAACTGAAAAACATGACGTTAATCATAAAAGTCCTTATAAGTCATATTAAGGTTGGCTTGAATGCATGTCCCTGAGAATTACAAATGGCATTTAGGAGTTTATTGAATTAAAAATGGCATAAGCAAAATATGGAAAAATAGACTTTTCAGCAGAAATGTTTTGATCGTCAGGGATCAATTTATTTCATTACAAAACGTTGAGACAATGATCCAAATGTTCACTCTGAACCAAAATAGCAAAGTATTTAACTGAGAATCATTACAGTCCTGCTTTTAGGTATACCATAAAACGCCAAGGGCTCTATTTTCGTGTACGCTGGTGAGGCAACGGAAGGCGGCGAGCCCCGCGCAGTTGTATTTTCGTCTGGCACAGCCCGGCGTACAGCCAGTTTGGTATTTTCGTGGACTGAGGCGCACGGAGGCGAACCGAGATCCACCAAGCTGGGCGTGGTGGCGTGGCAGGGGGAGGTGTCGACAGAATCAGCGGGCGCAGTGACATTTTCGTGCTCGCCACCGGCGTGTAAAGTGCGCTGAAAGCTCGCCGATTCAAACCTGGTCAGCTTTCAGCGCAGTACGGAGCGCAGCTGGTCGAGAGGTATTTTGGTATTTGGTTTGGTATCAGCATACGTCACTGATGCCTCACCGGCAGGTTTCCACAGTGTCAGGCACATTTCAGTGCAATAAATAATCATCAACAACTATTAATCTGAGTCAGCGCATACATTTAGATCTATATAGATATATTCTGATCTATATCTGATCTGATGAGCGGGTTTGGCACGCGTTTGGACACACAACCTGACCGAATCAACACAGCTGAAACCGCATTAAATTAAATTAAATGTCTAGTAAATAGACACACATGATGAAGTTAACAAGATATGTAATTCGTCTCCCTCCTTTTCTTTCTTCCTCTTCTCTTATTTCTCGTGCAGCTCGACCTGGACACGTCTCTGTGTCCTCTCTCCGTCCTGCTGCTGCGGCGGCTGAACAGATTATTTGTTTCAGGGATCAGATGCATTATCTACTTTAAGCCGACATACGGATATTATAATATTCAGTTTTGTGAGGCAAATTTATTTTATATGACAACATCTATGAAAGAAAGAGCCAGGCCATGGAGCACGATGCGTCATTTACGCACAGATGGTTCCAATTTTAATGCCATTTTTGGAGTTTATGTTGTGATCTGTGCGCACAACCCACCTTTGTCACGTGAGGTTTGAATATATGCAACTTTATGTGAGTGTCTTTATTTGTGGAAAAGGGTGTTTGTCTTACCAGTGGGTCCAACATTACACACACCAAATCCATCTGTGCTCATATGAGACAGTGTGGAGGACGCCCAATGCAGCACTTACAGTGACACTTGTTGAGGAGCTGCCTTCTGTCGCCATCTTGTGGCATTACTGTCTTCAGACATCTCTTGATCTCTTTGACTACTTCACGAAAGTGATAATACGCCTTGCCTGTGGCGGATTTAAAGGCAAGGAGAGGAGCTTATGTGATTGGTGAAAACAGGTCTCGGCTGTGTTAAACCCACTCCACGCCCGCTCTCCTCCCTCGCTACGACTTACGCCGCTGGGAGGAGCTGAGTTAGGGAGGGGGGATACTTACGCCGGGCTGCGCTGCTCACCAAAATACCAAAATGTGTTTGGGAACGCCTTGTCGGCGCGGCGGACCTGACTTACGCCGCGCTTGCGGCACCTCTCCAGCGAGGCACGAAAATAGAGCCCCAAGGGTCTGATCAACCAAGATTGTAAATAAGGAACGCTAAATTGCAAGTGCAAACTAAACAATTGCACATACTAGATGCTAGATATACTGGTGACCTAGTGTGATTGCGTGTGCAATTGATAACAGGCACGAAAGTGTTGCAGACCGACCTCTTTAAATAAGGATTTTGCATGCACCACTGGGTGTCATCATGGAGCGTTTGTGAGAGCAGAGTAGCCATAAACAAAAAATTAAGTTTGAAGCCATGGAGTTGAAGGTCTTGGAGGAGGAGGCAAATAACCACACTGGTAAATTCCAGCAGAGATATTTTAGCATTGCCAGTAAAAATGTGATTTTATGGGCTGAGATTAAGGACACTAGAAACTGAAATTGAATAATTACATTGAAGTTGAAAAGAATGATTTGATATTGAAATTTATGTTTTGAAACTTATTTTATCTGCTTATCTGCTCTGAAATTGTATTTGACCTACACGAAAATTCAACTCCCTTTTTTCCTTTAATTTAATTTAAAAAAAAAATAATAATAATTTCAGTTCAGCGTTGCACAACCATTACATCATTTATGTCTGTGAGGAAGAGTAATCGAGCACAGATTCACACTGCTCCTATTCATGCCTGTGGCTCCACAAATATATATATGCCTTATTCCTTATCCCTTATCAACCTACAGTAATAATAATAATAATAATAATTCTATTTATTATTACAATGCATAATTATATTCTTTATACAGACTGTGGTGTTTGGATATTTGGAAATGTCTTTACGACCTTCTGGTATGTGCTACGCCATCTGCGTTTGTACTGACAACCAGACAGAGTTGAATTTGTGGCTTGAGTAGCACCCAAAACAAAGAGGGAGTATTCCTGTGACCCTCGCTTCTTTTTACATCATCTGCCTTCCAATGGACTTTGTTAGAATCAGACTAAATTTATAAAGTCAACTGCAGAACCATTGATTTTTTTTTTAATAGATAGATCAATGTCCGCCTTTGGACAAAGCCAAAGTGGAACTGAGTCCAACAAAGGGAGGACCCTTTGTTGGACCTTGAATTTAACTATTCAATTACTAATCAACTACCTCAGGAGACGGGCTCTATTTCTTATCACATTGCTGCCATTTACACCTTTGGAATCATTTAACTTTCTTTAAATGCTTTTGTAATTAAAACAGATGTGGAAAGTAGCTAGTCTGAACACATGTCATGATCTGGACTCACTGTGTTTATGCTGTAACTTGACTTAATAGAGAAAAAGTTAGGTGTTAAATAAGCTACTTAGATAATAAGTCATCAAAGAAAAAATTATTTGGAATATAAGGTTAAAAGAGAAGGACTTAATTTGAGTCTTGTTCATTTCATGTCAATCAATGACTAGAGGTGTAGGAGCATGATTTCATGACTAAAGCGTTGAGCTGGTAAAAGGACTTAATTACCCAGAATGCACCTTGATGTAAGCAGGAAGTCCAGCCTGGAATTTAGCGCAAAGAACTGGAAAGGTCTATTTTTTGTACTTCTCTTTAGTTGAATATTTGTTGTTTGTAGCTTAAGTGATTTTGTTGGCTTTGTGTTTTTTGTTCCTTTAGTTTCAGAGGCTGGAGGTATGGTTTTTCTGGTTTGAGGCTCTCATCAGGCACAACTGCAGCCCATCAAGCCACAATCAGCAGCAGCTTAAAGGGATATTCCAGCGTAAAATCAATTTAGGTTCAAACACACCGTAACAGTTACGAGAGATGAATGTTGCCAACTGCTTGCTTCTTTAGTTATACCATCTTCAGTAACGACCACAAGATAGCAATACACAGCGGTCTGAGGAGCCATAAACAAACTTCAACCAAAACACCACTCTATAGCCACAAATAATGCTGGGCACCTAACTTCATCAACAGTACATATAGGGTTCTAACCACAGTACTAGCCACCTAACATTTTTTTTAACTTTTCCTTATTTCTTTAGCAAAGAGACTTAACACAACTCACCCACTCTCTTTCAGCAACCACTTGTTTGCAGCGAGACCTCAGACGGGTCTAAACTGACGGCAGCGGGCTGACACAGCTCAAGGAAGAACATTTATGATTATTTCTTTATTTCCTTGAAGTCATAATCACCATATTAATCATTTTGCACTGCAGACGCGGTAGTTCTTCTGCCTTAGCACCTTAGTCTGACTGCATTTCCAGGAAGAAATGATAATAAATGATACGGCTGCTGGATGAGAGTAGTTGAGTTGTGTGTAGTCTCTTTGCTATCGAAATTAGGCAAAGTTAAAAATTGTGTGGTGGCTAGTGCTGTGGCTAGGACCCTGTATGTACTGTTGATGAAGTTAGGTGCTGTTCTGAGCATTATTTGTGGCTATAGATTGGCATTTTGGTTGAGGTTTGTTTATGGCTCCTCAGACCGCTGTGTATTGCTATCCTGCAGTCTTACTAAAGTTGGTATAACTAGAGAAGCAAGAGGTCGGCACTATTCATCTCTCAAGGGGTGTCTAATTTGGTGTTACAGCGTGAGTGACCCTAAATTAATTTTATGCCGGAATATCCCTTTAATACCCCTCCTTGATTCACGGCAAGCTAACAGATTGCCTCTGCTTCGTCAGAGGTAGCTTGGCTCTCTAAACTCCTGACTTGTGAGTTATGGCACGATTTCTGGTCATTTCACCAATGGACTAACCCTGTGCTCTACCCCTTCATTTCTAGTGCCTTCATCTACCAGCCTCATCCCTTCACCTTTATGCGCCTGCCTCAATAAATAGCTTCTGTTAAATTCCTGTGTATAAGTCTGCTGGATCAAGTTTTGCCAGTTAGACAATGGGTGCTTGTTTTAATTTCCACCTTCAACTCAATTCCAATAAAACCCCGGGTAAACTTTCCCTTGTCTGTCTTGCTACTGGACACTAATGAAACTAGTTTACTGTATCATCACAACACTTCTGCTACTGACACCATTTCTGACATGACTACAATTATTAATGCAACTTCAACTTGGACGACCACAGCTTTTAAGCAGTTTTCTCACAAACAGTATAAACCAGGTTTATTCGATTAAAAGTCACTGAGGTCCACTTCTGAAATTTCCTCTGAATAAAAGGCCCGAACTGAAGTCCAGCTGGAGTGTTATGATTGTGTCTACCTTATGTTCACATTTTCATACGGTTTCAATTATATTTTTAACTTTTAACAGAGTGCAATTATGTAGTAAACAGACAGCAGTTTTACCATTAAAAAATTCACAGTCAAATAAATTTAAGGCCTTTATTTAAGATTAAAGAAAACAAAAACATCAGAATGATATTAAGTGCAAACAGAGCCTAAAACCTCATTTTCTTTTAAATTGAAGAGGTCCCACCCTAAAGAACTGAAGGCTTAAAATAAACTTAAAATAAGTTGGGACAAGTTGGGACACCATCTTTTCATTTTTGATTATTCTTTTTTTTAATTTTTTTTTTTATTTCTCTTAATGACAGAAATGGGCATGTGACTGCCCTGCCAGTGAAGTAAGCGACATAATAAGTAGACCTGTCACATTGGGCAAGGAGCTTGGTTATTTTGCGTGCTCTCAGCTCGGACCTTGGGGGATAACTTTGCTCCAAACAGCTGTGCATTGTTTCGTACTGGCGCTTCAGGTTGCTACTTTCAACTAATGCGATGTTTTCGGAACATGTGAGGCACACTGATTTTGACCTGTCTGCTGGAAGAATGAACATAAATTTCTCCATCCATTCATCTTTAAAACAACAGTTTTCCTCATCAACTTTTCTCACTTTTGATGAAGCCACGCTCTCTTAGCACTGTCTCTTCCTCTCTGCTCTGGTGCGCTGGCTGTGCAGGGTAGACAAAAGTTTTGATTGGCTCAACTGAGTGAAGCTATTGCCATTTAACTAGAGTATCAGCGCCCGCGACCGTCGGAGATATGCTCCATGGAAAATTTCTGTTCTCGTGACTTTATCAGAGATTGGTCATGGGTCCGGTCGGGACCCTCACACGGTCCGGATCCGGACCAAGGTCCGCCATTTGGTGATGCCTGGTATAAACTATTCTGCAGTAATTAGCAATTTGCAATGCAACTTTCAGCATTTCCACACATTGTCTGCAAATAAAATGCATTTTTCTTCTAGTTATGTTTGTGAGATCTATATGGATGTTTGGCCCATTGATTTTCACCTTGAAAAGAAAGAATTTTTCTCACCTCAGGGCTTCTCGTAGAGCGCCACGTTCACTGAGTGTGGTATGTTTGATATCATCAAAGTTGTTCTCTAACTTAATACAAGACTGAAAGACAGAAATAAAATTAAGAAAATAGCTGAGTAATGGTTGAAAGATGGTTAATAATCTGTTTTGTATGTCATACATCACAGCTCTTCTCAGGGTTTCTCTTCCAATGCTTCTTTTCTTTCTTCTTGTTTGCTGTAGACATGATTTGAGCGTGAGTCTTCACCCTTGGATTCAGAGCCAAGATGCTCTGAAATAAGATAGAATGGATCAGCACATTTGTAAAATGCTTCCAATCTTAGACTCTTACAAGTATTATCAATAGATTTCTTTTCTTAAGAAGATTTTAAGACTGTTACAAAAATAGGTTCTGCAACCTGATTATCCGTCACCTGAAAATATTAGCTATAATAGCCAGGAATAGTCATAATTAAAATGTGTATTTCTAGCAACTAATCTTTAAAGGCATTTGGTGTTTTCTCAAGATATGATACCCCTTTTCTGACACACTGGTTTATATTTCAGATCAAATCAGGTTTTTGTCAATTACTGCCATAGGTTCCAGACATGGATAGGAATCTCTCTCTCTCTGTCTCTCTCTCTCTCTCTCACTTGAATATAGATTGAAAAGGATTTGTATTCTGTTTTTATTTACATTTATCACAATTTCCTGTGATTTATTTATATATGTATATATATATATATATATATATATGTATATGTATATGTATATGTATATATATATATATATATAAAATGATATTTGGATAACAGGATAAAAATAGAAATACAGTCTGAGGTTCTGAGGTTTTTTACCTCCAGTACCATAAATGCAAATTTTTACTATTTGTATTTAACTTCTAATCCAGACATGGATCATGGAAAGAATCATGTTGTTAATGCACGTGTTCCTGACCCATGCACAAACAGAGACTTGCTGAAAAAAAAAAAAAAAAAAAATTCTTTATAGAGTGTTTGTTTTGAGGTGAAAGGTCAAGGTGATAAGATGACCTGTCAGGTCAGCGTACTAAGGTTACCTAACCTGCTGCAGAAATACATAAAAGTGGTGATCATTAAAATGACTGGCTATCCATAACACTGTTCTTTCTCGGCCTAAAAAATGCATTTTGATTTCATGATACATCCGAAGATGGATTTATGGATTTACAGATAGATAGATAGATAGATAGATAGATAGATAGATAGATATGAAATAGTAAAACCTTAAGTATATTTAAATATATATGTAATTCTGTTTTACAGAGCTACATTGGCTGGGGTTAAACTTTTACAGCTCAAGTTTTTACTTCGTTAGGCTTTGATTCAAGTTGTACACAGATTCCATGTAAAAAAAGGGGGGGGGGGGGGCAGATTATCTAAAATAAACTTAGAACATCAGCCTATCGACCCATCTCTGCACGTGCAAAACAAAAACTGTACTTGGACCATTAATTATCTACAGGTTGTACAACATGGCCTGTTGCCTAAGACCATAAAGCTATATCAGGACTTCAAGCATGTTTTTACTCTTGTATTCTCCATTGCTGCAACATGATCAAGTGGCAGAACCTGTCAAATGATTCAAAGTGATGTTATGATCACACATTTACTTTGGTTTAAAAAGACTGAGTGCACAATTTCCATTGTTCCATATTGCTCTGTCATTAAGCAGGGGAGCTCAAGAGAGATAGTCTGCCATTGGATCCCTCCAGTCTTCTATATATCCACTTCCTTTAAACCCCACATATAAGGGTTACTTTCTTTAACCCTAAAGAACTTCTTCCAGAACCACAAAAATCACGGTCCCTCTTGTTGAATACTTGTAATAAGTAAAAAACAAACAAAAAACTTCACATATAACTCAAAATATTTGTAAAAATCTTGCAATGGGAAATTTCTTTTGGATTCTCCCTACAAATTACATTTTTACAGCTCATGAAAGACTTCTTGAGTATCTATGAGTGAGGATGGTGAGTTGCCAGTCTTAATACTGTTCAGTAAACAGGAAATTATTCACATTTCTTCAGATTGAATCAGATATTTGCTATGATTTAAAAAACCTAACCAGACGCCACCTGTTCATCACAGCCTACAACCTCCTATAATCCTACTCCTCTGTGCCCTATTATTATTAGACTATAGAAAGATAAAAGATTAATACAGCACTTCCAGAATTGAAGATTCTTGTGATAACCAGATTAGTGTTGAGTCATAAGCAGGAGGGGCTAGTTCCTACTCTTAATAACCCCAGGCCATAAATAATGCTAGTTGACCTGTTTTGCTGGATTTTTTGCCTTTTTTATTTTGGACTTTATTTAAGTATTTTTTTCTACATTGGACTTTTCAAATGGGTGCACAAAACCAATGAGGACTTCTTTTAAACCACCCTCTTTCAATAACAAACCTCTGCTGCTGGGGTAATTATGACGAACGGTGTATATATTCAGAAACTCAGTAATGATCAAGTGTACAACCACTTAAATCTTCTAAAGAATCCAGAGAATTCAGAAAACATATAATCTTGTCTTAATCCTTGCATAACTCTTAATACAGCTTGGTACCATCATTCAAATTATTACCTTAAATACTTATTCCGAGGTGGATTTATCTATGACAAGAGTATAAACTACTTTGCTTTAGAATGAAAAATACACTTAAAAAGTAAATTAAACGTGTTTTAGCAACAGACAGAGTAATTTACCTCAATATCTGGAAGATCTTTGCTCAACATGATGTCTCCCCGTGAGTGGCAAGCAAAAAACAGTTTGAAGAACTTTTTGAAGATTTGTTGGATTGTTGGTTAGAGGTCCAGGACTGCTCCTCTGCCAAATACACTCGTTTGACAACTTATCCCTCTTATCAGGCCTACTTTTCTTCCTAGCTGTGGGATAAGAGATTGGCTGTTTGAAAAAGCCCCCCCCCCCCCCAACTAATCTGTTGATAAGGTAGAGTGAGTCACTCAGGGTCGAAGTCCTGCAGAATGACAAACTGGTCCTTGGGTGCATTGCACCAGAACTCTGACCAATTCAAACAATAACCTTAAACTGTGGGGTCCAAACTCCATCCACTAGTTGGGGAGTGAAGCTCTGCAAACATTTTTTTACACATAAATCAGTTTTAACTCTTTCCTGCCTTGAAGTCTCCTCTAATTCACAGTTAATAGAAGGTCTCATAAATGAAACATGGGCGGAACAAATTTGTGTCTAAACATTTAAAAGGGAAATTAATGTGTGAATGGCAAAACTTGCAAAAGTACAAAGACAGTGTACGAGATGATGTTAAAGGCATGCTTGTGATGGACATAGACTCTACAGACCTTCAAAGGGGCATCAAGTCCTTATGCACTAGTTTTTATCTTTCTTTAAATGTTAATAATACATGCATACTCTATTTTGCTCATGTTCGTGTATTAAACAGTATCTTTAACTATTTATACTATTAAAAAGATTCTTTGTTGCCCAGATTTTTAGCTGCAAGGGTTTAAAAGATCAAAATGTTTCATATCATTTGATATGTTGTTGCCTTAACCACAGGTTCTAGCTTTACGTTTGCTCCTTGGAAATGAGAACTACTGTCGGTCTATGTGTGGGATATCGTGGTGGATTTAGAAATAGTTTTCTTTTCTCCCTTATCTCAGACATGTTATCTTTTCAAAGTACCTTGACACGTTTCGGTGGAAACTTCCGCCTTCCTCAGAAGTGTCACTTGGTGGTAGGTATGACGCATCATATCAGCTGTCATTACGGAGGCGTGAGAGTCCTGGCAAAATTGACAGGATGGTCACGCCTCCTGCTGTCTGTTCACCTCTGCAGGATGCTGCTCCAGGTGTATGCATGCAAGCATGTATGCCCCCCTTATCCCTATTCATCGTCCCTGGGCCCCGTTTCCTTATTTCGATGGCTTCCCTAATCTAGCGCTGGTGCTTATTGTCCTTGGTGCGGATGACTCTGGCCTTACCCCAATCCATAAGATGGTTTTCTCTTTTGCAGTAGTCTGTTCTGGCAGATTTGTAGTTTTCCTGTTGTGCTTTTTCTTTTATTGATCTTGTTCGTCTTGTTCCTGTCTTTTTCTCACACTCCTTTTTTCTGTCCTCCATGTGCTGAAGCTCCTCCCCGTCTCCCCAATGTAAGTTTTATTGCATGATTGACATGGTAGCTCGTGAAAGGTTTGTTGATGATTTTGTGTTCGGTCCACATCTTTGTCTGTCTGGCTTACATTGGCAAAACCAATATGTTAAGCATTTTCTTTGTATAAGTTTTGTCACTACATCCACTGAGATACATGATTTACTTATGTGTGTATTTTCAACATTAATGTATGTTTCAGTTCTCACTCTTTTTTGTCTGTGAGTGAGCAAGTACATTTGCTGGAACTTTTAATTTATTTTGGATGATCAAGCAGGTTTCCAGACTAAAGCTGGCTGTAGAAGCTCTGATCACCCCGGTCAACACCATCCGGAACATTGCTTTGTTTTGGCTCTGCCTTTTAATTTTTGTTTTTGGCATTTTGAGGGTGCAGGTAACACAGACACTCATATACACCTACAAGGGTTCATTTCATAAACCTATTTTATAATACTTTAATCACATTGTCAGAAACGCATTGTTCTTGTCATGAAAGTTATGTCATTATCATCGTAATCATGATGTCAGGATGGTGGGTGAAATACCATCATAGATGCTCCTCGTGTTTATGTCTCACACATACCTAAATTATTCAGAAGAAAGTTCTTCCACTGCCTGGGCCAGAACCTCATGAAACATCACCACCGAGGGGTAATGTCTGGCTGACAACTATTGCTGGACAAGAAGGAATTCTAATTTTGACAACTTGCCTCAGGTATGAAACAAACAATGTATCAGTCTACTGTCCTACATTATGAAGGTTTATTTTGGGTCTAACGTTAAGTCTATTCAACATAACATGATTTCCCATGTTCTCAGTTAAGGCTATGGTGTCCTTGTTAGTAATGTACTTGGTGTACCTCATGTATTTTGAGAGGGGTGCTGCTTCGGTAGACAAACAGGTAGTTTTGTGGGCCATATGCCTAATTTACGTTTGTACACTGTGCTATACATGCATTTGGAAAAATCAACTATCAGATATGAAGGTCATGATGATCAATTAGCCAAATGAGGTCAGGTTTGTGATTTTCTTGAGGTGAAGACAAAATTACGATGATCAATTCTTTGGAACTCTGAACACTATTATTTAATATTTGATTGAATGTTAATACTGTTTGTAAAACAAAATGTGTATTTACCTCATGGACATAACCCACCTGTAATATGCCATGTATATTTTTTGAATCACTCTCTACAGTCTTTAACATTGCACTACTGTCTTGTCTATGTAATCTAAATGTATAGTATAGTAGGGCTGGAGCCTATCCCAGCATCTTTGGGAGAAGGCAGGGGACACCCTGAACAAGTCGCCACCTCATCACAGGGCTAACATATAGAGACAAACAACTATTCATACTCACATTCACACCTATGGGCAATTTGGAAGTGACCAATTAACCTAACCACGCTTAGGCATGTTTTTGGGATGTGGGAGGAAACTGGAGTACCCGGAGTAAACCCACGCAGACACAGGGAGAACATGCAAACTCCACACAGAAATGCCCTGACCCAGATTTGAACCCAGGACCTTCTTGCTGTGAGGCGACAGTTGTTGTAGAAAGTCCAGCATAAACAATGCACAGGAGACAGGATGAGATCTGAAGAACAGCCTGGGGCGTCTTTAATTGTACAGATGTAGAAATCAGTACAGATGACCAACAGAGTCTGGACCAAGACCGAAGGAAGCCTCCCTAGCTTTTCTTCTACTCCCTTTTATCCTGTGTGTGTGTGTGTGTGTGTGTGTGTGTGTGTGTGTGTGTGTGTGTGTGTGTGTGTGTGTGTGTGTGTGTGTGTGTGTGTGTGTGTGTGTGTTCTCCAGAAGGCCCCTCATGTCTGCCCCACGACACTTTGTTTAGGTTCGTCTTGACCCTGGCAGAGATTACATGTTCCAACAGACAGATAGTTCAGGCTCCTGCAAGACAGCCTTGCTTACAATCTCAGAGTCGTGGGGCTGCAGGAGCAGGCCAACCTAGATTATTTGTAGCTTCTTACTAAAAGATAATTACTCTATATTTCTTAACCTAAATGTATGAAGAGATTCCCCTACACAGTCCCCCCTTTGAAAGTTCTTACTTTCATAAAAACCTGATCATCATATCAAACACTAAACATTCTTACGTGATCAAAATAGAACATGTTCACTAAATTCTAAATGCTATGTGTACGATTTGCCGCATCTAAGACTTCATAATACCACATGAAACAAAAATCAATACCATACCATACCATAGCTAGGATCATTTCAAATTATATCAGCGCGTAAGACTGAAAACCCTGCTCGGCTGTTTCAGCAGGGAAAGAATCTTACGGCCCCGCGCCCTGGCGACCATCCATTTCCTGGATGCGCTGACATAATTTCATTTGCATAGAAAAAGAGTCAACTTCTGATAATACCATTACATTACATTGTAGCAACCTGCGACAAACCCCTTGATTAATATCTGATTAACCCCTTGATTAATGTGTGATTAGTGTAGTCCTTTAACTCTGTGAATGAAACATGTACAGTTCAATATCTCAGCTCATTGAATATGTTGTTTGTGTTGCTCAAAGTCCATTGCTCATCTTCGTCTCCGTCAAAGTCCAGGAACCGCTCAGGTCCCTCAGTCCCTCCTTGATCAATCACACACTGTGCCAGCTGTTTTGGTGGCATTTCCTGTAGTTCATGGGCCAGTGTTAGGTCCACCATAAGTCCCATCTCCTCCGTCAGCTTCCAACAATGTCTCCAAAGGATGTGTACGATGCGACATGTGAGAAAGGAAATCAGAATTAGAGCTATCACAGCACTCATGGCTGGGCCAAAACGGCTCTCATTCATCTAAAATTTGGACCACCCAGTCCATTAACAGGCCCCCCTTACCAGCATTCTGTTAGAAATGTATCTGCAACAGTACTTTCCAAACCTTTAAGACAAATCTTTTCTCTTCAAATACCCAATTTAATGCTTGTCTGTACTGACCTATTAGTGGACTTGTTGCATGTAAATATCCTTTAATCTAAACATCTTCGCTGAATAATTAACAAATCAAATCAAACAATAATTTCTTTCACATAATTGCTTAACTTTAGGTAAAAAAAAACAATTCTTCTCTTATTTGTAAAAAACTGGCAAAAATCTCTTCTCCATTTACCACCTCCAGTTGTTATTTTATTACCACACACGACTTTTAAACATTCTCTTCACTTCCTATGTGATAAATTCATCTGGAACCTTTTCTTCAATATATCCTATCTACTAAATGTGTAGGGCTGTCTTTCTTCTGATTATCTATATAAAAAAAAATCCTTTTAATTTTATTATCTATTTTCCTAAACCTAATTGTAAATCTGTAATAATCTGTGAATGTTGGTATGGGTTCTAGCTCTGTCTGGAGTGGTGTGGATTGTGTTTTGGGTTGCATCGTACTCACCCGCGATAACAATGTCTCCCACTTCTTCTCACAGCTGTACTGGCACCAGTTTGACCTTCACCCTCATTGTTGTCATCAGTCTCTCTCTCGGTCTCTCTCCACACATTGTCCCTCAGCAGCAACACCAGGAAAACAGTTACTTTCAGGACGAGTGCTACAGTCATTTTGGGAGTGTCTCTTATCAAGTCATACTTCCCTTGTTTTTCTGGGCAGTCAGTGGTAGATGACGCCACATCATATTGCCCTCTTCTTGCACTGAAGTAGATTCACCAGGACCAAAGTGTTCAGGTCTTCTCCTCGTTCTTGTGCCACCCTCCTCAAAGGACGTTCATGTACACCTGGTGCTCTGGCTCGACTGGCCTCCACCTCTTGACTGGGATCAGATTTTGGCACTCCTCCTATTAATCGATAGATCTTTGCATCGTAGTTAGCTGCCTCATATATTTAATTCACTCATTTTCAGCTGCTCAAGCGAAAAGCTTAATTGTTTAGCCGCAGTAAAGCATAGCTCTGTAAGTTAGAAATTCATGCAGTGAAAGATTTATCACAGTGCTTTTGATTGTGAAAGCTCATAAGCGCAAGTAGCAAAGCATCTTCCTATAGGTTAGTGTTAGTGCAAATTCTCTGATCTGATATTTACTTGAGAGATTAACTTTCTTCCCCAAAATGATGTACCAAATCATGCAGTGACAGATTTATTTTGACTCCAAGATCTTTTGATGGTGTTGCTTCTATCCATCGACTGAACCTGTCATCATTACAAACATGTAACATATCCCTTGGCAGTTTTAATCATGTCCACATTGTCTATGAATAGATTTCTAAAAGCGTCCCTCTGGAACTAGAAAAGTGTCCCACTAACGTTTTATTGGTCTCTTCAATTCATCTGAAAACACATATCACAATGACCCAAGAGTTTATCAACTATTGTCAGAATATTCTAAAAATCTCGTTTTAATTGTCTCATTAATCTCCCCCCTTGCACAGTGTGAATCACTGTGAAAGTCAGATTTTGAGTTCGTTTGTTAATACTACTGGTACAAAAACTAGTTATTTGACTCTAAACCATTTTCTGTGGCCTTATTGGCCTTTGATAGCTTCCTATTACTTTCACATTAGGTGGCACATCTGTGAGGAGTGTATGTGGATTCAGCACAGCTGCATTTAAATTTTTCAGTATTAAACTAACAGAATAGGAATGTTACACTGTAAATGTCACGATATTTACTTAAAACTATAAACCATAACTGTCTACTTACACACCTTGCGGTGAACACCAAATTTGAATGTTACTTCTACATAGGGCTTTTTGGTCTATAAGGTCAACAGGGTTAAAATTAAAACTAATAATTAACTTTTTTTTTCCATCATCCACAAAAATCACACTGTAGTAAGCCACCACTTTCACATTGTCTGGGCTGGGGCCCCCCACCACAGCTCCAGCCAGAGGCATCCCTGGTCAGGGCAGTTGTCAAAAATGTCTGGTATGATCACATCCCCAGCAGGTCTTTAGACGTCACACGTCCGTCAGAATTCCACTCTCTCCCCCTGCCGGGATATATCATCTCTATGGAGCAGGGTTTTGTCTGAGGATAAACATTCACAACAGGTGATTAAACAGGTTACTGTCACAGGCTTTACTGCAGTTAGCGTCTGCACGGTTTGCATCGCTGGGTCTCTTTTGCAGTGTCCCCCTTAGAGGTGGCTGTTTCAACTTCCGCTGATGTTCTTTTCCTGTTCTTTCGGTCTCCGCTCTTCATCTGGCGGCACCCTCCACATCACATCACAATATGCATTGAACTCACTCCCATCAGTCATGGGATTCGTCATCCAACCTTTTTTTGCCTTGTGCAGAAACTCCTCCATCGTCTTAGTTCCCAGCAGTTTAGCCAAGAGTGCTTTCATGTCTGGTGTAGTCAACATTTTCCTGCAGTTCATCCTCAAAAACTCGTATCCATCTCCCTGCCCCCTGTTCAGTTTTTGGTAGTCTGGCAATCAGCCCAACAAGATGTGTGGTTTTCCACGGCACATAGCTCGCCTGTGTGCCATTTATTAAGATAGAAGACATACTATCAGTGCATTTCCAAGTGAACATAATCTAGGCCAGGGGTGTCAAACCCAACCACAGCAAGGGCCATAATCTGGATTTAGGTCTAACCTCAGGGCCAAACAGGGTCAAAATTTCACTAAAACTGTCAATTTCCTTTTCAAAACATATGGGACAAAAATATCAATGATTTTAAATCATTTGGAAATTCAAAAGAGATAAACAAAAAAAAAAAAATAATAATAATAATAATAAGTTTAAAGGCAACCTAAGATAGAACATTTTTTGTTTTTATTCTATTCTTATTTATTAGTTCAAAAGATCAGAGCATGATTTAAAAAGAGAAAAATGATGCATTTAAAGAGCAAATACACAAGAACAACGTTGAAATCAGGTTCAAAAAGGTCACAGTATGACTTAAAATCTAAAATTGGACTCTAAAGTATAAAAATGACAAAAATCTTTGAACATGTCCAGTACTTTTAGTTCCAAATCTCTTTTTTTTGCATGTTTTACTTTTATCTTTGTGTTTATGGTCTTCGATTCGCTGCTCCAAATCCTCACACACAGTCACATCAGATGTGCCTCCCCTAGGTCATAAAAAATTCTAACCCCTTGATTCAATGTTCCCATTTCTTTGTAAGTTTTTGGATATTTTTTAAGTGATCAGGATATTTACACCCTACCAATGCAATTGGAGTTAAACTAATCTTCCCTTTCTGGTCATGGTTTTTGTAAAATTTATTATTCAAATGAGCACAAACATTAAAACTTGATCCCCAGCAGTTTTGTAAAATTCCCAAAAAATACACAGTATAAAGCTTTTGCCTTAACTGAAGTTCTATAGCAATAGTCAGTATCGATATTAACAGCTTCAATAATATTTAAAAAACACAGTATTTTGGCAGAAACAGCAGATGTATAGAAGCAACCCTTAGATTTGAAGTTTTAGAAGTTTTGCACTTGTGGTACCTCATTTCTTTTTCCCCTTTCTGTATCTTTTATACTTTCACACACATTATTTCAGCAGCTTTAACACAGAAAATTTGTTAAGGAGCATAAGACGTGTTCACAACAAAAAACCATCATAATATTTAAGCGTAAACCTTCATATCAGGAGTGTTTATCATGGTACTAGGAACAGAACCTTTTTCCCAGGAGTATTTAACCCTCTATGTCTCAACTGATAACATGTCTGCAATGAGCACAGTATTCACATAAACAACTATGAAATAAACACAAGTGAGGAAAGCACAGCAATCTTTGACTAACATAACACACACACAGATGCAGAGTCTGGCTGTGAACACTGCCAGAGAACTTAGTTGACACAGAACAAAACAGACACACACAAACATCCAATCAACCCACACACTTCACTTTTTCATCACACAATGGTATACCCTTTCACACGTGTTTGAAGTCAAAGTCAGTCACTGGAGTCAGTCAGCAGTCTTCTATTTTAATTCTTGTTTTGATTTCTTCAATTTTTCCAATTTGTGTGATTTTTTTCAATTTGTGTGATTCTTCTACAATTGGTCAGGAGATATGGGACGTGCTTGTTCAATTGGGATCCCTGAATAGGCTTTTCAGCCTATCCTTGTTGACCTCTTTTTCTATCTCCTGCTCATCAAGCCAATCTGTATCTTTAATTTAAATCCAATTATAACACTGATTTTGTGAGGTCTTTGACATATAAAAGAGATATTTATATGTACATTTCAAATATCTACTATTCCGTCATTATACTTATTCAGCCCTCTAGAGTTCTGGATCAGAATTTATGAGGAAATATGCCACTTTCGTTCTCCTTTTGGCTTTTTCTTAAGCCTCAGCGGAACTCCGCATGAGAAATCCTCCTTTCTAGTGGAGTTTTCCAGAAAGAAAATCCACGTATGTATTACGAGATGAATCTGCTCGTCCGTCAGCTGCCACCTTTCAAAGCTCATGAAAGATGGTCTAAAACTCACAGTTCAACAATGGACAGACACACTCATGTCTGCCGCTCCCCTTGTTATCCCAACAATTACCCAGAACCTTTTATCACCAGGCATTCAGCCTAAAAAACACATCACAACCCGGGCCAGGCTGTCTCCCCAAACTACTGGCCAGTGCTTCTCCGCACCCAGTCTAGCTAGTTTCACATATGTCCGTCTCGCACATATAACAGCGTGAGGCGGTCTCACCCTTTGAAGGAGACGAAATGCGTCTGCATCCAGTCTATAGCTTCACATATGACAATCTCACACTTATAGCAGCGTGAGGCGGTCTCACCCTTTGAAGGAGACGAAGTGCTTCTGCACCCAGCCTATAGCTTCTCACACATGTAACAGCCTATAGCTTCACATATGGCAATCTCACATATGTAACAGCCTATATCTTCACATATAACAATCTCATACACGTAACGGCGTGAGCAGTCACACCCTTTGGAGGAGACGAAGTGCTTCTGCACCCAGCCTATAGCTTCTCACACATGTAACAGCCTATAGGTTCACATATGGCAATCTCACATATGTAACAGCCTATAGCTTCACATATGGCAACTCACACATGTAACAGCCTAAAGCTTCACATATGGCATCTCACACATGTAACAGCCTATAGCTTCACATATGGCATCTCGCACATGTAACAGCCTATAGCTTTACATATGGCAACTCACACATGTAACAGCCTATAGCTTTACATATGGCATCTCGCACATGTAACAGCCTGTAGCTTCACATATGGCATCTCACACATGTAACAGCCTATAGCTTCACATATGGCATCTCGCACATGTAACAGCCTGTAGCTTCACATATGGCATCTCACACATGTAACAGCCTATAGCTTTACATATGGCATCTCGCACATGTAACAGCCTATAGCTTTACATATGGCATCTCGCACATGTAACAGCCTATAGCTTCACATATGGCATCTCGCACATGTAACGGCCTATAGCTTTACATATGGCATCTCACACATGTAACAGCCTATAGCTTCACATATGGCATCTCACACATGTAACAGCCTATAGCTTTACATATGTAGCAGCGTGGGGCAATTTCACACAACCAACTGCAGTTTCTCTTAATTCAGCTGATATATATCCAATTTTAATTTGCTTCCTCACAAATTTGGCAGACTTTGATCAGCTGACTGCATGCATGCAGTTTTCTCAGACTGTCTTCATTCCCACTGTCTCCTCTTATTTCTATTCTAGGTTCTTTGATTCGAAGAGGACAGAGAGCAGTAGTCCGCATCACCTCACAGGGAGAAGAACTCTCAACCAAATTTTAGGAAATCTCCTACCTTTTTCTTTTTGTGTGCACAGAGTGTCCTTATCCCATGTGAAGTTGAAGGAAATGGATGGTCGCCAGGGCGTGGGGCCGTAAGATTCTTTCCCTGCTGAAACAGCCGAGCAGGGTTTTCAGTCTTACGCGCTGATATAATTTGAAATGATCCTAGGTATGGTATGGTATGGTATTGATTTTTGTTTCATGTGGTATTATGAAGTCTTAGATGCAGCAATACACATATTCTAAATGCTACACATAGCATTTAGAATTTAGTGAACATTTCTCCTTAGCTAACCGCTACACCACTATACCCCGCCCCCCCAAGTATGTTTATTGTAAATGTCTCTCATACAATGACACTCAAAATTATGTTGTGGAAAGTCCAGCATAAACAATGCACAGGAGACATGATGAGATCGGAAGAACAGCCTGGGGTGTCTTTAATAGTACAGATGTAGAAATCAGTACAGATGACAAACAGAGTCTCGACCAAGACCCAAGGAAGCCTCCTCTAGCTTCTCTTCTTCTCTCTTTTATGCTGTTAGGTGTGTGTGTGTGTGTGTGTGTGTGTGTGTGTGTGTGTGTGTGTGTGTGTGTGTGTGTGTGTGTGTGTGTGTGTGTGTGTGTGTGTGTCTTCTCCAGAAGGCCCCTCATGATGACATGTCTGCCCCACGACACTTTGTTTAGGTTCGTCTTGACCCTGGCAGAGATTACATGTTCCAACAGACAAATAGTTTGGGCTCCTGCAAGACAGCCTTGCTTACAATCTCATGGTCGTGGGGCTGCAGGAGCAGGCCAACCCAGATTATTTGTAGCTTCTTACTAAAAGATAATTACTCTATATTTCTTAACCTAAATGTATGAAGACATTGCCCTACACATCCCCCTGTTTTGAAAGTTCTTACTTTCACAAAAAACCTAATCATCATATCAAACACTAAACATCCTTATGTTATTAAAGAAACAAAAATCAGTACCATACCATACCATAGCTAGGATCATTTCAAATTATATCAGCGGGTAAGACTGAAAACCCTGCTCGGCTGTTTCAGCAGGGAAAGAATCTTACGGCCCCGCGCCCTGGCGACCATCCATTTCCTGGATGCGCTGACATAATTTCATTTGCATAGAAGAAAGTGTCCACATTTGATAATATCATGACATTACATTGTAGCAACCTGCGACAAACCCCTTGATTAATATCTGATTAACCCCTTGATTAATGTGTGATTAGTGTAGTCCTTTAACTCTGCGAATGAAACATGTTCAGTTCAATATCTCAGCTCATTGAATATGTTGTTTGTGTTGCTCAAAGTCCATTGCTCATCTTCGTCTCCGTCAAAGTCCAGGAACCGCTCAGGTCCCTCAGTCCCTCCTTGATCAATCACACACTGTGCCAGCTGTTTTGGTGGCATTTCCTGTAGTTCATGGGCCAGTGTTAGGTCCACCATAAGTCCCATCTCCTACGTCAGCTTCCAACAATGTCTCCAAAGGATGTGTACGATGCGACATGTGAGAAAGGAAATCAGAATTAGGGCTATCGCAGCACTCATGGCTGGGCCAAAACGGCTCTCATTCATCTAAAATTTGGACCACCCAGTCCATTAACAGGCCCCCCTTACCAGCATTCTCCCGCATTTCCACTTTAAACTTTTCTTTTCCCTTCATAGCTTTAGAAAAACCTCTCCCAGGGGCTTGTTCTGTTAGAAATGTATCTGCAACAATACTTTCAAAACTTTTAAGACACATCTTTTCTCTTCAAACACCCAATTTAATGCTTGTCTGTATTGACATGTTAGTGGACTTGTTACATGTAAATATCCTTTAATCTAATCATCTTCCCTGAATAATCAACAAATGAAATCAAACAAAATCAAATTAAACACATCTTTCTTTCACATAATTACTTAATTTTACGTTTAAAAAACAGTTCTTCTCTTATTTGTAAAAATCTGGCAAAAATCTCTTCCCCATTTACCACCTCCAGCTGTTATTTTATTGCCACACACGACTTTTCAGCATTCATTTTACTCCCTATGTGATAAATTCATCTGGAACCTTTCCTCCAATATCTGAGATCTACTTTGTGTGTAGGGCTCTCTTGTTTCTGATTATCTATATATATAAAAAAATCTTTTTAATTTTATTATCTATTTAACCTAATTGTAAATCTGTAATAATCTGTGAATGTTGGCATGGGTTCTAGCTCTGTCTGGAGTGGTGTGGATTGTGTTTTGGGTTGCATCGTACTCACCCGCGATAACAATGTCTCCCACTTCTTCTCACAGCTGTACTAGCACCAGTTTGACCTTCACCCTCATTGTTGTCATCAGTCTCTCTCTCGGTCTCTCTCCACACAGCAGCAACACCAGGAAAACAGTTACTTTCAGGACGAGTGCTCCAGTCATTCTGGGAGTGTCTCTTATCAAGTCATACTTCCCTTGTTTTTTCTGGGCAGTCAGCGGTAGATGACGCCACATCATATTGCCCTCTTCCTGCACTGAAGTAGATTCACCAGGACCAAAGTGTTCAGGTCTTCTCCTCGTTCTTTTTGCCACCCTCCTCAAAGGATGTTGATGTACACCTGGTGCTCTGGCTCGACTGGCCTCCACCTCTTGACTGGGATCAGATTTTGGCACTCCTCCTACTAATCGATAGATCTTTGCATCGTAGTTAGCTGCCTCATATATCTAATTCACTAATTTTCAGCTGCTCAAGCGAAAAACTTAATTATTTAGCCGCAGTAAAGCATAGCTTCGTAAGTTAGTCAATCATGCAGTGAAAGATTTATCTCAGTGCTTTTGATTGTGAAAGCTCATAAGCGCAAGTAGCAAGCATCTTCCTATAAGTTAGTGTTAGTGCAAATTCTCTGATCTGATATTTACTTGAGAGATTTACTTTCTTCCCCAAAATGATGTACCAATTCATGCGGTGACAGATTTATTTTGACTCCAAGATCTTTTGATGGTGTTGCTTCTATCCATCGACTGAACCCGTCATCATTACAAACATGTAACATATCCCTTGGCAGTTTTAATCATGTCCACATTGTCTATGAATAGATTTCTAAAAGCGTCTCTCTGGAACTGGAAAAGTGTCCCACTAATGTTTTATTGGTCTCTCCAATTCATCTAAAAAAACATATCACAATGACCCAAGAGTTTATCAACTATTGTCAGCATATTCTAAAAATGTCGTTTTAATTGTCTCATCATCTCCCCCCTTGCACAGTGTGAATCACTGTGAAAGTCAGATCCTAAGTTTGTTTGTTAATACTACTGGTACAAAAACTAGTTATTTGACTCTAAACCATTTTCTGTGGCCTTATTGACCTTTGATAGCTTCCTATTACTTTAACATTAGGTGGCACATCTGTGAGGAGTGTATGTGGATTCAGCACAGCTGCATTTAGATTTATCAATATTAAACTAACAGAACAGGAATGTTACAATGCTAATGTCACGATATTTACTTAAAACTATAAACCATAACTGTCTACTTACACACCTTGCAGTGGGCACCAGATTTGAATGTTACTTCTACATAGGGCTCTTTGGTCTATAAGGTCAACAGGGTTAAAATTAAAACCAACAATTAACTTTTTCCATCATCCACAAAAATCACACTGTAGTAAGCCCCCACTTTCACATTGTCTGGGCTGGGGCCCCCCACCACAGCTCCAGCCAGAGGCGTCCCTGGTCTAGGCAGTTGTCAAAAATGTCCAGTATGATCACATCCCCAGCATTTCCGTCACACTTCTGCACTAAGTTTGAAGTAAAATTAATCAAAATACCAAATTTATTTAGTAACTCTCCTTCAAACAGCACAGGGACTCTGAAAGTATTTCATTCACTCCTCATAGAGAGATACAGAGTCTGCATGTTGTTTTCCTCTCAAAAGGCAATATTGTAAACTATTTGTCAATTCATTTCTCATTCTGAAAATACTTGAATCCTTTGTCTTTTCTCTTAGCCTGTAGGGAACTACAATGTATGGATGCTTCTGTAACTCATTGCCTTAATTAGTGATGTCCCGGTACCGATACCAGCACCGACACTTGCCCCTATACTAGCCTATTTTAAGTACTTGTACTTGTACTTGTACTTGTGACAGCACCCGATACTGATACGTCATCAACACACTGCCGTGCGGAAGCGTGTGGGGGGAAAGAGGAGCTAAACAGGTGGGCACGGTGTGCGTTCCGAGGAGGAGGAAAACAAACAATGTCGGCCGTGTGGACATATTTTAAGATTAGCAATGCTGACCATTGCAAAGCCGACTGCAAACTGTGTGGCGTGAAAGTGTCACGAGGAGGTGCGAAGCACCGCAAGGCCTCAGCCACTAGCAGCCTGGACAGTCTGTATGATAAAATAGCTAATGAGCGAGCATCACAGAGCGCTGCACCAGAGGGTGGGGCCATTGAATTTGAGAAATACATTGGAGAGGGCCTAGCTGACAAGCATGACGACCCATTGCAGTACTGGGGAGTCAACAGAAAGAGATTTCCCACTCTAGCCCAGATGTCCAGAAAATACCTGTCGGCCCCTTGTAGCAGTGTGGAGAGTGAGAGGCTTTTTAGTGCTGTGTCAAACATTGTGGATGAAGCCAGAAACAGGATCACTGCTGAGAACACAGAGATGATTCTCTTCACCAAAAAAAAAACTGCCTCTCACTCCACTCTTTAAGCCCTAGTCCCCTTCACAGAAATGTGTGTTGCACTACTTGTAGCATGTGAACAATTTTTTTATTTTATTTTATAGATTTATTTTATATTCTCTCTTGAGTTCAGACTGAGTGAAAAGAGCTGGGATTAATCCCACATGTGTAGTGCTGCTGATTAAGTTGTTTAAAGTGACTTGTCTTCTGACTGTATTATTTTATTTTATTTATTTTTTTGAACCAAAAGAAAAGAACCTACCTCTGGCTTGTATGAGAAAGGCTTAGTCCTCACAGACAGCACTGGTGTTATTTTTCAGTATTCAGTTCTTGTAGTTGTAACTTGCTGCATGTATATGATACAGTGATAGAGACATCTGATGCAGTTATCACTTATCTGTATGTTTACATTTACACTATGTTATATTGTATGTGCACCAGGCTATATTTGCGTCTAAGATTGTGGAGTAGAAGTAAAAGTATTGGCAATTGGAAATATGTGGAAGTTGTGAAAGTGAATTATGGCAGTGGTGCCATGTTTGTTCAGGGCGCATTGATGAAAAAATAAAAATCATAATTTAAAGTCGTCGCTATGGTATGATTAAGTACTTGTATCGGTACTTGGTATCGACAAGTACTTATATGTCAGTACTCGTACTTGTACTTGGTCAGTAAAAAAGTGGTATCGGGACAACCCTAGCCTTAATGATCATGAGCTACTTTTCCTGGACTTGTTAATTGGTGTAATGTTTGAGACCTTCCATGATTGTCAGCAGGATCAAAGAAAATCTTATAAATTGTTACTACAGAAAGGAGGAGAAGAAATGCAAGTGCAGCACAGAGGTAAGAGAACTGTGTGCTGATTCTCTGATCTCATTATTTGTACAGAATTATTTAAATACTCTTAATTTTAAAATTTTGAAGAGGTTGCCATTTGATCGGGGTTTACTACAAATTAAGCAGCCACACTAGAAACTGATGTTCCCTTTTGTGAGCACTCCACTGGCTAAAACTGTTATTTTATCTACATAGATGCAGCTCAAAAATTTGAATGTCCTGAAAAAGTTCATTGTTTCCCCTCACAATTTAATTCATAAAGAGAAACTTCTATATACTTTTGATTCATCACACACAAAGCCAAGTATTTCAAGACTTTTGAATCGCCATCATTTCTGCTTACAGTAATAAAAAAGCCACAATCTCAGATCATTAGAGTGCAACGAGACACCAATCCAAAAATAGGATTTACAGTAGAGAAGTGCACACCCTTTTGAAAATGATGTTGTTATGCACTCAGCACTTGGTCGAGACTTCTTTTGCTTTAATTACTGCATTAATGTGATGTTGCATGGAGGTGATTGGTCTGTGGCTCTGCTAGGGTGTTACTGAAGTCCAAGTTCTTTGGATAGCCGTTTCTGCTCATCTGTGTTGTTGCTTTGGTGTCTCATCTTTTTTCTTGATGATACGTTGGGGATCCTCAGTGATCTCACAATAGGAGCAATTGAAGACACCTTGTGCTTTCTACATACAATGTTTAACTCTGGACATTCATCTCAGGCTCTGCGTCATTCAATGCTCTCTTTTGCTTTTACTCTGGTTTCTTTACCTCTTCGGCTTGTTAGCCTCTGTCTTTTTTGTCTCCTCTTATAATGCCTTCCTTTTTTGTGGGTGTTGGTGGGCTTTTTTCCCCTCAAAATTAGCCTTGCTTTGTGCAGTTTTCAGCTTAATTGTAACAACTTTTTTGTTGGTTGCACACATAGACTGTATATAGAATGGACAGCATCTGCCTCCGCCAGCAAAGCTTATGGAGCTGTGGATAAACTTAAGAAATTTACTGCACAGAATAAGGATTTTTTTCCCCCCTGGTTGCGATGTTGACATGTAGTTACTGGAAGACTGGTTTGTGCTCAAGTCCTCTTTTTTCTGTACAGCTCCATATTTAAAAGTTATTAGGAGGTTCATGTTTTCTATGATTGACACTTGATACAGCCTATGGGCGTACGAAGATTGCTTAGCTCACCCGGGGGATACGCTGTTTGAGCCGAGCATCTTCACAGTGACTCTGTACGCACTCCACCACCTGCGGAATGCGCAGGTGGTGTAATGCGTACAACGCTACTGCGCAATGTTGGTTTCAGGAAGTGGAGAGAAAATGCAGAATATCAGAGAGGTATTCGGCTTCAAATTTGTAGACTGGCAGATGGCTAAACCAAGTTGTCCATAGTACATACAGTCTATGGTTGCACATTTTTATTAATATTCTGCATGCTTTATTTAAAAATATTTATAAGATGATGTGATGAAAAGCCGGACAAAAAACACATGTTCACAAACATGCCATTTCTGATTTGACCAAGAGACACTTTTTTAGAAATTTATTTCATGAGTGTATTACACTTCACTGAGATAAAGCATTGAGGCAGCTGTGGCAAGAAGGGCAATCGCAGTCGCCATGGCAACACCTATAAAACAAAGGAATCAGAGCATTAGTTCACAAATATGAGTTATTTTCTGGTTTGGATGCTAACACAACATCTTATCAGGTATGACTGGTGTATTACACTTGTGTAGTCCTAGTCACATACTGCCAGGTTAGGCCCCAATCCTGATGGCTGACACTCTGGTGTTGGAATACATCAAACACAACTATGATCTGAGGAAAGCATTACCCTGCATGTTTTATGAAGGAGGACATTTTACCAAAGAACTCTCATTATATTCTGCCACCTCTCACAAGCAAGGCAAACCCTTTAGAGATAACAGATATCAACTATTCACTTTCATGTCTATTATATCAATGTTAAGACAATCTTATTAAATGTTGATCTTAGGGGGGTAATTTTTACCGAGGAAATTGTTCCTGTTGGGCTTCTGCACTTCAGTGGTTCCTACAGCTGGCTCTGCAAACACACAATTTAAAACAAGTTTATATAATTTACAAAACCATTTCACAAACCTAGAAAAGTCAGGCTACACAGAATTTACCAAGAGGCATAGCAATGATGTAGTACGACCAAAGAGAAGTAAAGACAGTTAAGACAGTTAGACTATTTTTGAATTAAAATATCCTCAATAAACATATTTAATCTTCAGGAGATGCAGAAATTGTGCATTCTAAGTTTCAGTTGGACTTGGATTATTATTTTGTATTTATTCAATCTTTATTTAGCCAGGTTAGTCTTATTGGGATCTGAGACCTATTTTTCAAAGGAGACCTGGCCAAGAACGACCGCTAACATAGTTTCAGACAAAATAAAAGGGAACACTAAAAAACATAGATACATTCCTCACATTAGCAATGACAGAGCACCAGTTAAAACAGTTGCAAGTCTGTTTTATTAAAGATTTAAAACTATCAAAGGTTACCAAGGTTTGAAGTTCAAGTTCAGTCTGTCAATTGTTTCAAGTAAAAGATACAGAAAACTTAAAGATTAAGGAAAATAACAACACTAAAAATCTTTGTTGGTAACATATTTCAGTGACTTAAGTGCACTATGATAAGTAAGTGGATGCTGATCGGTTAAATACAACAGCAAGTCCAGGACAACCAACTGCCATTTTAAACTTACACAGTACACCATAGCAAAATAACAGACACTAAAAGCTCTTAAAATCATTAAAAATTGAGAAAAAATTCTCCAAAGAAGTCCACGCTTTATTACACGACAGACGAGACACAACCCAGTGTTGACTCTGCTAAGCGTCTAATTAAATCTTGAAAGCATTTCCTGCCTGTCTGCTACATTGGGAATCTATCATACAAAACCCAATTCAATTGAAGTTGGGAAATTGTGATAAACGTAAATAAAAACAGAATACCAGGATTGCAAAATCCTTTTCAACCTATATTCAACTGAATACTCTACGAAGACAAGATATTTCATGTTCAAACTTATCAACTTTTTTTTTTTTTGCAAATAATAAATAACTTAGAATTTCATGGCTGCAAGACGTGCCAAAGAAGTTGGGAAAGGTGGCAAAAAATACTGAGAAATTTTAGGAATGGCCATCAAACACCTATTTGGAACATCCCACAGGTGAGCAGGCTAATTGGGAACAGGTGGGTGCCATGATTGGGTATAAAAGAAGCTTCCCCAAAAATTGCTTGCTCATTCACAAGCAAGGATGGGCAAGGTTCACCACTTTGTGAACAACTGCGTGAGCAAATATTAAAACAGTTTAAGAACAACATTTCTTAAAGTACAATTGCAAGGAATTAAGGGATTTCAACATCTACGGTCCATAATATCATCAAAAGGTTTAGAGAATCTGGACAAATCACTACAGGTAAGCAGCACAGACAGAAACCAACAATGAATGCCTGTGACCTTCAATCCTTTGGCACTGTAACAAAAAAATGTTATCAATGTGTAAAAGATATCACCGCATGGGCTCAGGAACACTTCAGAAAATCACTGTCAGTAAATACAGTTTGTGGCTACACCTCGAAGTGCAAGTTAAAACTCTACTGTGCAAAGCCAAAGCCATTTATCAACAACATCCAGAAACGCCCCTGGCTTCTCTGGGCCTGAGCTCATCTAAGATGGACTGATGCAAAGTGGAAAAGTGTTCTGTGGCCCGACGAGTCAACATTTCAAATTGTTTTTGAAAATAGTGGACGTTGTGTCCTCTGGGCCAAAAAGGAAAAGAACAATCCGGACTATTATCGACGCAAAGTTCAATAGCCAGCATCTGTGATGATATGGGGGTGCATTAGTGCAACATTAATGCTGACAGGTACATACAGGTTTTGGAGCAACATATGCAGCCATCCAAGCAAAGTCTTTTTCATGGATGCCCCTGCTTATTTCAGCAAGACAATGCCAAGCCGCATTCTGCACGTGTTACAACAGCATGGCTTCGTAGAAAAAGAGAGCGGGTACTCAACTGGCCTGTCTGTAGTCCAGACCTGTCTCCCATTGAAAATTTGTGGCGCATTATGAAGGGTAAAATACGATAACAGAGACCCCAGACTGTTGAACAACTGAAGCTGTACATCAAGCAAGAACGGGAAAGAATTCCACCTTCAAAGCTTCAACAATTAGTCTCCTCAGTTCCTAAACATTTATTGAGTGTTGTTAAAAGGAAAGGTGATGTAACACAGAGGTAAACATGCCCCTGTCCCAACTACTTTGGCATGTGTTGCAGCCATGAAATTCTGAGTTTATTATCATTTGCAAACGAATGATACACAGATTGTGGGTATACACCAGTATATGCCTTTGCTCTAAGACTGCAAGGGAAGCTCAGTTTCCTCAGTTTAAAAAAAAAAAAAGAAAAAGAAAAAACAAGAAAAAGAATGATTTTCTTAATCCTTTTCTCTAAACAAAAATGAAAAAGTGGCTCATTTTCTGATTTCCGTTTTCTTCAGCTCAAATGAAAATGGGACAAATGAATAGCAACAGCTCTATCTGATTTAAACTTTTTCATCTGTAGAAAGTTTCGTGACCCAGAGGTGAACAAAAAATGGGCTTTGGCATTATGGCTGGACTTGAGAATTATTAAGCGCTCTTATGGCACTTTTTTCAAGATGGCATAACTCATGAAGAGATTTCCACCACGCAGCAGGAGGCAAAGGTGCAGAGGTGTTCTGAAATGTCAGTCAGAAGGTTCATTTCGTTTTAGAAAACAATTAATTCTCTCATTTTTTCACTTTCTGTTTTGTTTTGAAAATCAAATGAAGGAATGATACAGATTGTGGGTATATGTAGTATATGCCTTTGCTCTAAGACTGCAAGGGAAGCTCAGTTTCCTGTTTAGAAAAAAAAAGTGGTGACATATTAACTGCTGTGTGTACATTTCATCGACAAAATATGTTCTCGAACACATTCATCTTTTGTTAAGAATCAGATACTTATGTCATGACTTCCCTGTCATTTATCCCCACAGTGCTTCACACAGTCGCACGCTGAGCGTCTACTGACTTCAGTGGTGAAGTATAGCGTGGGTTGTCCCACTGCGCGAAACTGGACGGTGACTGGATAAATGCTGGGCTTTGCCCCGCCCATTGGACGCAAACGTCTATGGGTGTCTATGGGGCAGTGGGCTGGCCCGGACGCTCTACTTCTGCATGATGATTGGATGATCTTTCTGAGGCCAAATCTCTTTTTGATTGACAGCGAAATGAGCGAATCACCCATCTTGAAGTATTAACATCCACAGGAGCATTTTCTAAGTTTTTCATTCTGTTGATCTGAACTGATCCGGAGAGTTTATCGATCCCCAGTGACTTTGTCTTTGTCAAAAATGACTAGCATTGTGTTTGGTGACTCTCTTCTGCAGGTGTAGAGAGGAGCTTCTCCTGTTTATAGAGGCTTAAGTCCTAGACCCGCAACACAATGGGCCAAGGTGGTTTAAGCAACCTAGCTTTGTTGGCCATTGAAAGGACACTGGTCAAGTCCCTGGAAAAGATGCCTAGTTGGTCACAGGGTCACAGATAATTTTCTGGAAAAGAAACGGAGGGTAGAATTTACATATAAATAAACGAACACATTTATGATGGAGGCCGGGAAAAAAATAAGCTTACCCTCCTTAAAAGACCAGCAGCTGCCACTGGTATATACAGTGTAAATGGGTTAAATTCCTATGAAATTTGGGACACAACCACTGTTTTTTTTTATTTTCTATGGTAAGATTTTATTTTTAAAATGCTAGTTAGCACTAACTCCCACAAGTTAGCGCTGTTGTTAATGCTGTGTGTTAAATGGTTTAACACAGCCTGTGATAGCTCTGCTGGGAGTAGGTGGCCTCCTTTTTGCTCAGTCAAATTTTCATCAGTATGTGTGTAATAGTGCAGTCAAAAAAAAAGTGTTAAAACTACGATATTTCATCACATGTAGTGATTCTGATCTGACACGTTTGTAGTTGGAGTTGCAGTACTATACTTCTACTGATGTGCGACTCTGTAGTTAATGCGAGAGCCAACATCTGATCAACTTTTAAAGAAAGTGAGCAGCTGTGGTCCTTTTATCTTCCTATGCTGCAGGTATGTTATATTGAAATGTTCATTGATATTGTGTGTACCATTCAGTGTTAAGTGAAAATTGAGAGCTGGGTTTTCTTAATTTATCTGTCTAGCCATTTAAATTTTATGAGACAACACAATGTTCATTTTACAAAACCCAATTCCATTGAAGTTGGGAAATTGTGATAAATGTAAATAAAAACAGAATACAATGATTTGCAAATCCTTTTCAACCTACACTCACCGGCCACTTTATTAGGTACACCATGCTAGTAACGGGTTGGACCCCCTTTTGCCTTCAGAACTGCCTCAATTCTTCGTGGCATAGATTCAACAAGGTGCTGGAAGCATTCCTCAGAGAGCTTGGTCCATATTGACATGATGGCATCACACAGTTGCCGCAGATTTGTCGGCTGCACATCCATGATGCGAATCTCCCGTTCCACCACATCCCAAAGATGCTCTATTGGATTGAGATCTGGTGACTGTGGAGGCCATTTGAGTACAGTGAACTCATTGTCATGTTCAAGAAACCAGTCTGAGATGATTCCAGCTTTATGACATGGCGCATTATCCTGCTGAAAGTAGCCATCAGAAGTTGGGTACATTGTGGTCATAAAGGGATGGACATGGTCAGCAACAATACTCAGGTAGGCTGTGGCGTTGCAACGATGCTCAATTGGTACCAAGGGGCCCAAAGAGTGCCAAGAAAATATTCCCCACACCATGACACCACCACCACCAGCCTGAACCGTTGATATAAGGCAGGATGGATCCATGCTTTCATGTTGTTGACGCCAAATTCTGACCCTACCATCCGAATGTCGCAGCAGAAATCGAGACTCATCAGACCAGGCAACGTTTTTCCAATCTTCTACTGTCCAATTTCGATGAGCTTGTGCAAATTGTAGCCTCAGTTTCCTGTTCTTAGCTGAAAGGAGTGGCACCCGGCGTGGTCTTCTGCTGCTGTAGCCCATCTGCCTCAAAGTTTGACGTACTGTGCGTTCAGAGATGCTCTTCTGCCTACCTTGGTTGTAACGGGTGGTTATTTGAGTCACTGTTGCCTTTCTATCAGCTCGAACCAGTCTGGCCATTCTCCTCTGACCTCTGGCATCAACAAGGCATTTCCGCCCACAGAACTGCCGCTCACTGGATATTTTTTCTTTTTCGGACCATTCTCTGTAAACCCTAGAGATGGTGGTGCGCGAAAATCCCAGTAGATCAGCAGTTTCTGAAATACTCAGACCAGCCCTTCTGGCACCAACAACCATGCCACGTTCAAAGTCACTCAAATCACCTTTCTTCCCCATACTGATGCTCGGTTTGAACTGCAGGAGATTGTCTTGACCATGTCTACATGCCTAAATGCACTAAGTTGCCGCCATGTGATTGGCTGATTAGAAATTTAGTGTTAACGAGCAGTTGGACAGGTGTACCTAATAAAGTGGCCGGTGAGTGTATATTCAATTGAATACACTACGAAGACAAGATATGTAATGTTCAAACTCAAAATTTCATGGCTGCAACACATGCCAAAGAAGTTGGGACAGGGGCATGTTTACCACTGTGTTACATCACCTTTCCTTTTAACAACACTCAATAAACGTTTGGGAACTGAGGAGACTAATTGTTGAAGCTTTGAAGGTGGAATTCTTTCCCCTTCTTGCTTGATGTACAGCTTCAGTTGTTCAACAGTCCAGGGATCTCTGTTGTAGTATTTTACACTTCATAATGCGCCACAAATTTTCAATGGGAGACAGGTCTGGACTGCAGGCAGGCCAGTTGAGTACCCGCACTCTTTTACTCTTTAACGAAGCCACGCTGTTGTATCCCGTGCAGAATGTGGCTTGGCATTGTCTTGCTGAACATAAACAGGGGCGTCAATGAAAAAGACATTGCTAGATTGGCAGCATATGTTGCTCCAAAACCTGTATGTACCTTTCAGCATTAATGTTGCCTTCACAGATGTGTAAGTCACCCATGCCTTGGGCACTAATGCACCCCCATATCATCACAGATGCTGGCTTTTGAACTTTGTGTCGATAACAGTCAACAGTTATCCTGTTGGGCCTGGAGGACATGACGTCCACTATTTCCAAAAACAATTTTAAAATGTGGACTCGTCAGGCCACAGAACACTTTCCCACTTTGCATCAGTCCATCTTAGATAAGCTCAGGCCCAGAGCCGCGTTTCTGGATGTTGTTGATAAATGGCTTTGGCTTTGCATAGCAGAGTTTTAACTTGCACTTAGAGATGTAGCGACCAACTGTATTTACTGACAGTGGTTTTCTGAAGTGTTCCTGAGCCCATGTGGTGATATACTGATGTCCGTTTTTGATACAGTGCCGCCTGAGGGATCGAAGGTCACAGCCATTCAATGTTGGTTTCCTGGCCGCTTACCTGCAGTGATTTCTCCAGATTCTCTGAACCTTTTGATGATATTATAAACCGTAGATGTTTAAATCCCTGTTACTAGCAATTGTACTTTGAGAAACATTGCTCTTAAACTGTTCAACTATTTGCTCACGCAGTTGTTCACAAAGTGGTGAACCTCGCCCCATCCTTGCTTGTGAATGACTGAGATATTTTGGGGAAGCTGCTTTTATACCCAATTTTGAAACCCACCTGTTCCCAATTAGCCTGCTCACCTGTGGGATGTTCCAAATAGGTGTTTGATGACCAATATGTCCATGTAGATTCTCATTCATCCAGGTCATGGTTTTCTTGAAGACTCCAACTCAAGAAGGGGGGAAGGTGTGAATGTTTGTGGAGCTTCCTGGGGAGAGAGCTGAGAACTGCATTGTAAGTGCCGGAGAGATTGTGCCTGAGTTCTCTGTTCAGAGAAGGTTTCTCCAGTCTGGTAAAGATGGTTTCTTTAACTCCTCATTCAAACCCTCTGTCTTCTCCAGCTAACACCTTTACATTGCTGTCCTCGAAAGAGTGACCTGTGTCCTTTAAGTGAAGGTGGACAGCTCAGTCCTGACCTGAGGAAGTGGCTCTCCTGTGTTGAGCCATGCTGTTGCTGTTGTTTAGTTTCCCCAATGTACAGGTCTGAGCATTCCTCGCTGCACTGGACAGCATACACCACATTACTCTGTTTATGTCTCAGTGTTTTGTCCTTGGGATGGACTAGCTTCTGCCTTAGTGTGTTGCCAGGCTTGAAATGAACAGGAATATGGTGTTTGCCAAAGATCCTCTTGAATTTTTCTGACAGGCCTGCAACATAAGGGATTACAGTGCTCTTGCGTTTCTCCTCCCTTTCATGTTCAGTGTTATTTCTCTTTCTGTTCTTCACAAAGGCCCACTTTGGATATCCACAGGTTGTCAGGGCATTTTTGATGTTCTTCTGTTCCTTTTCCTTACCTTCTTTCTTCATGGGAATGTTCTCAGCCCGGTGGTTGAGTGTTCTGAGAACACCCAGTTTGTGCTGCAGAGGATGGTGGGAATCAAAAAGTAAATATTGATCCGTGTGTGCGGGTTTCCTGTACACTTCAACGTTGAGACACCCATCTGCCTCCAAGTGTAAAGCACAATCTAAAAAAAGGCCCAAATGTTCTCCCTGACATCTTCACGGGTGAACTTGATGTTGCTGTCCACAGTGTCGATATAGTCTTTGAAGGCCTCTACTTCATGTGTTTTGATCTTAACCCAGGTGTCATCTACATATCTGAACCAGTGGCTAGGTGCTGCTCCTTTGAAGGAGGTTAGGGCCTTCCTCTCTACCTCTTCCATGTACAGGTTTGCCACTACTGGAGAAACCAGGGAGCCCATAGCGCATCCATGTTTCTGTCTGTAATGGCGCTCTCTGAACTGGAAATAGGTGGTGCTGAGGCAGGAATCAAATAAGGAGCAGATGTGGTCGGGGGTTCAGTTGGTTCTGACCTCCAGTGTGCTGTCCTGTAAGAAGCGTTGTCTTACTGCTTGGACTGCCTCTGTTGTCGGAATACTCGTGAAAAGTGATGTCACATCATAGGAAACCATGGTTTCATCTGGGCCCAGCCTGATGTCCTTGATTTTCTTGGCAAAGTCCTGTGGGTTTTTGATGTTGTGAGTGGTGTGGCCGACAAGAGGAGCTAGGATGGTGGCCAAATGTTTTGCCACTTTGTATGTGGCTGAGTTGATGCTGCTGCTGATGGGTCTAAGGGGGGCCCCTTCCTTGTGTATTTTAGGTAATCCATAAATGCACAGGACTGCTTACCCTGGGTATAGCCGGTAATAGAGTGGGTGGTCAATAACTCCATCCTTTTCCAGCTGTTGAAGTACGCAGATAACTTTCTTTTTGTAGCTGTTGGTGGGGTCCTGTTTTAGAGTTTCATAAGTGGCAGTGTCACTGAGAAGAGTTGTTACCTTGTCATGGTAATCCCTGGTGTTGAGTACAACAGTGCATCTCCCCTTATCTGCAGGCACGATGGTGATGTTTTCAACTTTTAGCAATGATGCCAAGGCTCTTCTTTCCTGCATGGTCAGGTTGGAAGGAGGTGTTTTGGCATTCGAGAGAGCAGCTGTTACCTTCAACCTAAGTTGCTCTGCCTCTGTAACCATCAGATTGTTGTTACGGATAGCTGACTCCATGGCTGTGATAAGGTCTACCACCGGGATCTGTTCTGGGGTAAATGCAAAATGTAATCCTTTGTAAAGGACTTCCTTTTCCGGCTGAGTGAGAACTCTGACAAATTCTTCACCCACTTTTCTTGCATGTTGGTGTCTGTGTGGCTGTCAGTTTTGTCCCTCCAAGCAAGTTCTGATGGGCTCTCTGAGTGCTGGGAAAGTAGTCTGTCAAATTTCTGTGTTTGTCTTTCCTCTCCTTTGTTATGTTGAGAGGTCTGAGCCTTGTAAACAAAGTTGTAGACTTTGTTGAGGATGTCCTCTGGAAGTTGGGATGCCAGTGTCTCCTTGGTGTGATTTATTTTAGCTTGTAAGGCATCCATAATGAAATTGACCTGCCTAATCGTTTCATTGAGGAGCTGCTTCTGTGTCCTGGAAAGGATGCTGTCTGCCCTGTGCCCTTTAACAGTGGAAAACAAGCGTAGCCTTTTGGGAACAAGTCCTTGCTGTCTGCTAAAGCGGAGGTGGTTTCTGTAATCCTCCATCTTCCTGCAAGTTTTCTCGTGCTCCCGGACCAGCTGAAGGGTATCCAACCCAAAGTGTGATCCAATATGTCCATGTAGATTCTCATTCATCCAGGTCATGGTTTTCTTGAAGACTCCAAAATCAGGCAACTGGACAGTGTAGAGTTGAGAAGACATTTCACCCCTTATCCAAGAAGCTTCTTCAGTTCTAATTATTGCTTGTGTGAGGAGCAGATACTTATCTTACTGGAGGAGGGGACAGACAAGGAGGAGTTGGAAAGAATGGGTCATGGAAACCCATCTCCAGGTGTTCCCCCTTGAGGGTCGTTAACACGACCCCTGTCATGTGACCATTCCTCAAATTTCTCAGTATTTTTTGCCACCTTTCACAACTTCTTTGTCATGTGTTGCTGCCATCAAATTCTAAAGTTAGTTAATATTTGCAAAAAAATGTTTGCAAAAAAAAATTGTTTGAGTTTGAACATTAAATATCTTATCTTTGTTGTGTATTCAATTGAATATAGGTTAAAAAGGATTTTCAAATCATTGTATTGTTTTTATTTACGTTTATCACAATTTCCCAACTTCAATGGAATTGGGTTTTGTAGTTTACTAAATGTGAAATTGAGTCTACAAGGTAGAATATTTTCAGTGAAAGAAACTGAGCAGCTATGGTTATTTCATCATCCTATGTTGCAGAATAAACAAATGAGAATGCTCCATCCATCCTGTCTCCTGGAAGTGTTTTTAATCAACAAGCAGAGCATAATAGCAGTCATGGCCTGTTGACTCTTCAAGACTGTGAATCCTCAGCTGATCAGGGACTGCTTTTCTGCTGCTGTTGGTTTCACCTCTGTATGGGGAGCAGGTAGGTGTGTAGTTAAAGTGATATTATTTACCAGTGAAGCATTGAGAGTGTGAATTTTACTCTGTTTAATATATCGCTCAGAACCAGCTGCCATTTTGCTAGTGGAAGACCTGATTTGACTGTTATAGTAATTTCCTTTGTTTGGTCCCACTCCAACTGCTGCAGACATTGCTAGTCAGTTATGGTCTTTAATACAAAAAGCGGGTCAGCAGCTGACACAGAACATCATTACCCATCTTAGTCCGTCTGCCAGTACCCCTGTATGAAATACCTGCTTCCTCACCAGCCAATGATGACTTGTCAGCTTCACGTTCTTATGATGCCTCCCACATTCAGTATGTGCCCCACAGAAAGCTAATGAATCCCCCTGCTTCAGAGAAGAATGCAGACCCTGTTTCAGGGCGCTAGTGGGTAGACCTCACGAGGAAAAACAAAACGGAAATTGGGACCCGAGGAGCAGGCAGAGGAAATTCTTGTTCATCTCTGAGGCAAAGCCAAGGGTGTTCTCAAATTTGGGAAGAAACAATATAGAAATAGTATTATTGATATCTCTCACAACAACCCTGAAGCTATATACCGCCGCCTATGGAAGCACTTTGATTCTGCCCTATGTTCACTTTTTCCATCACCAGTCTTCTACACCACTCTGCCTGAAAAATGTGAGGATGCATTTAACAACTGGCTCAGGCTGAATCGTGCTCTTGATCTTGCCACTGAGTGTCTGCAAGAACAGGGTAAGAATGTCCAGGTACTGAGGTCACATGCATGTTCATCAGAGACTGCCCCTCTACTGACTCTACTCTACTGAGCTTGATGTGACTTTTTGCTCTAAAACAATAGACAAGTTGACTGCTTGTGAGGTTTAAGATATTCTAAGCGAGTACCATTCTGGCAAGTTGTCAGTGGTCAGCAGGACCCCAAAGAAAGGGTTTCAGTAAACATTCCCCATGTTGCTGTCTCACTGTCTACTGCAACTTCTGAAGTACCTAGCCCACAACAGAAACAGAGCTCAGACCCAGCTACCCTGGAGTACCTCATCGGCACGTTAAAGAGAAAAGAAGAAGAATAGAAGAAGTTTATTGTCTGACATAAAAAAGTGACAGAAATTCATCTTTCGACAGGCCTCAGTTGCATCAGAAGACATACATTATCCATCACACTTGTACGCACATACAGAACAAGAACTTCTCCAGACACCTGCAGCCGTGTTCAAGCAGACCTGGCCCACGACACCCCCAGTTCAGTGGTCTGCACGAATGCCTTGTTCTGTCTGCCATGACACTGATCATTCCGATCATCATTTACTCACTGTCATAACTAGGGTTGGGCATCGTTTGAATTCGAATGATTCTGGTTCTGATTCCTTGTTTCGATTCCGGTTCCTAACGATTCTCTACTCTGATTCTTTTATGAGGTAGTGTCAAAAAAAAAAGCATGGTTTCAATGAGAGTGGTAACCAGAGTTCTTTTTGGATGAACTTCTCGATGAATTTTTAAATTATATAAACTTTATATGAACTTTACTGAGTTTTTAGATTCGCCACAACTCCAGAAATGATTAAAAAACTACAGAATGTCACAAAATGACGTATCCGTGCTCCTGACTTAAAGGGTAGTAATGCTCAGCCGTGCTCCCGGCTTGAAAGGCTGAAATGTGTGCATTCTGTCCCAGTTTAAATAGGTTAAAAGTTATTGATTTCTAACATTGCAGCATTGTCTGTTAGCTTTCTTTTTAGTCTGGCTTTTATGTAGTGTCTCACATTTGCTGTTCCACATCCTGTCAACCATGACTTGCGCTTGAACCAAGTCCAAGCTCCCTCACCCGAAATTTCTCCTCCGTTGTCCGTCTAGCAAATGGGTACACCAATAACAATCACACCAAATTTGGTGGAAAAGCTGCTCTTCGCTCGTTAAGTTCGCCATCACCGTAACCACTGCGCTAGCTTAATTGGGTGCACGCACAGGCTCCTCTTTTTTTTTTTGTTTCTCCTTAACCCGCCCCTAAAAATCTCGTGACTTATCGCAAGGGTGATATTTCAGTGCCCCAAGACCATAAATTTCTGCTATGCTGATTGGCCAAATATTTATTAAATTTACCTGGCAACTGTACACAATTGGTTATTTGGTCGCAGTGCTGGGGCGATCTGACTGAGCGGCCCGTGAAAGAATCTATACGAGTCTGTCAGTGGAAATTCGATGGTAAATAAATAACATCAGGTGGGAAATGTCGTTTTAATGATTAGGATTGCAAGTGGCCCCACAATAGTTTGTAAAATATCTTTACTGTAAAAATCTATTTCTAGAAACATATTTCCCCTCATTTTTTCAGGGAGGGCGGCACCCCAGTGCCCCCTATGGGCCGGCCGCCACTGATCACATGATGAAAAAGGTGCAAAAACTGGTAGATCTGTCCCAGTGCTATGATTAAAAAATTTGAAACTGAAACATTAAAACAAGAAGAGAGAATTTGCACACAAACACTATTACCTTACCTGCAATAACGTCTCTTTCCTTGACCTTAGCAAGTGTTTCATGTGTGTGATCCAAGTCTTCCACTGCAACATCGATATCCAGCATCTCCTTGAGCCTGTCAGTCACCTCAGACAAACCTTCATCAGAGAACTGGTAGTCACAAACACACACAGGCCCCGCCAATTTTAATGGACAGTAGACACGACAAGGAAGGTAGAAGAGATCTGAAAAAAAGGTACATAAAGAAATGAAGGTAAAGTGAAAAGAGCAGCCGAATATTTAGTTGTTATTAAGGATTACAAAGAGACTTAAACTTCAATATTTCAAGCCTTAGATATCAAAAAGACACTGCTAGGAACTGCTCAAATTTGAGGTTTAACACAAAACCAAGACCTGAATTTGTTAAGTTTACAATAAACTATTAGTTGAATCAAGACAATTTTAAAAGTAGCTTAAAAGTTTTAACATCATTGTAGGCGCATAAATCCAATGCATTTTAATTTTTTTTCCAGGACAGTTAGTGAAGGATTTTTAAGCACTGATTAACTATGTTTTTATTTCCTTTTGGGTTGGTGTATCTAAGATTGATGGAAAAACTTGAAGATTAACGAGAGCTTTCTTTCTTTTTTTTTTTTTACGTGTGTTTGTGTACCTGTTTTGTTTCTGTCCCTGCTGCTGTCACTGCCCTCTTCCTCTGATATTTGCAGCTCCTCTAGCAGCATCTGAATTCTTGTAAACACCGTAGAAACCACATCCTTCTTCAGCAGCTATCCATCAAAAATATTTCAAAACAAATCAATGGATGTTCCTTTAATGTACTTTAGTATGACAAACCCAGTTAAACAATTACCTTTTCAGCTAGTCTGGCCTTTGGTTTGTTGCTGTGTAGAAACGCTGTGCCATGAATGGCTCCTCTGACTGAGATACTGCCTTCACACTGCTGGACCACATCTGTTGTCCTCTTGTCCTAAAAGACCAAACAAACAAACAAGTTGTTCTTTCATGGAGAACAGGTGTCAGTTTTTTAACAGTTTTCGCAGTTTGGCAGTGTGCCCACATTTTTTAATCCTAAAGCAGAATTCACCTTGTAAATATTGGCCAAACACATATATATTTTGTCACATACACACATAAACACTGGGGCTGCTTAGTTATGGAAAAAAAAAAAAAAACATGATTTTTTTTCAAGCATTTTGAGATCACGGTAATTAAAAACAATTTCTAGAAATGATTACCTATGGTTTGGCATCTCCATCACACAAATTTGCTTCACTTAAAACCTCTTTAAAACTTAGAGAAAACTTTTCATACTTTAAAAAAACAAGCAGTAAGAAAACTGCTTAGCAACTAAAACATGTCTATGTGTCTAACTGTCTGGATGACTCCCCCCCCCTATTTTTAGAGAAGAACCATCCTTATCAGATGCCTGAACCACCTCATATGGCTTATTTCAGATCAAAGGGGTTGTGGCATGACAACCACCAGCAAGGGGATTTACAATCTCACAGACAGGGACCTTATCTAGATGTTCTGAGTTTACTGCAACTACAAGTCTATGTTTGCCAGCTCTCCAAGAATTTGGCTCCAAAAGAAGAGGTGTGCAACTTTATCTTTAGCTAAGGCCCTGACTCCAGTGTTACAGTTTGCACTGCACTAAAACCCCATGTCTGTGTATAGTGGTCCCACTATATGACTGAATTCTGTTCATTGAAAGTTGTAGAAGCTATACAAGGAAAAACTGTAACATGTTTGTGTGTCTTACTGGAGTGACGAGCAGCTGAGCAGTGAAGGCCTGAGTCACACTTCTTTTCTATGGGAAATGAAGCAGTAATTATCAAGATGCAGATAATTAATTACACACAATATGTAACTACATGTTCAGATCTCTCATATTAGCCACTGCAATTTTAAACAGGTTGGGGAAATTCCCCCCAGAGGAAATATATAATTATTTGAAAAATCAGGCTTTTTGGATCATTTTGTAGGGATGGGCATATGACACTGAAGGCTAGTAAACAGCCGAGCTGCAGTCTTAAGTGTCAGAGCTTGAATCTAAGTCAAAATACCACATGACTGCTGATGTCTAAAGTTTCTCACATCACGTGCTCATAGTGCTTCATACTATGCTCATTCAACCTTATGGTTTAGAAAGTCTTGTAACAGTGGGATGTTAGAAAGAAAGTAGGCCACTCTTTCATCATCAAGAGAGAAGCCTCTAAAACAGCACATTGAGTGATTTTTTTCTATTGCTGAATGTTCAATGTAGTATACTACATTTCAGGAGTAAAAAACTACTTCTATTTCTTTATTTGTAAAGGTGTTTTCAGAGTGTTGAATGTTTGTGGTTGGTGTTAAGGTCTTCCTTTGGTTTTTAGTGTTGCTTTGATTCCTGTGATGGTGAACTTGTTAAATCTAGCAGCCATTATGACATGCAAGAACCTGCAAGGTAATAAATTCAATGGCCTCCACCACAGTCTGAATTTGTGTGTCAAATGCTTCTGGCTTCTGACTCTGATTCTAGGTTTTTAGCATTTATTTTGGTCCTCATGGTCTCATTTTATGTTGTATGGTTCTTGTGTTGTCTGGGTTCCTTGTGACAGATGAAAATAGTTTTCAAATTCTGAGGCCTTGATTTGTGCTTTTTGTTTTTAGTCCTTGTGTTGGAGCTCTTGTGCTTTATCACTTTCTATCAAAGCACTTTGTAAACCTCTGTTTTTAAAAGTGCTGTGAAAATAAAATTATTATTACAATATTATTATTATCCCCCATTAGCACCAAATTTCATATCAAAACACAACGCAGAGTCTTGGGCAAAGTAAAGAGAAAGTTAGTGCCAGCTAGCGACATGCAGAGGAAAGGGGTTACAAGTACATTTGAAAAGAAGAGAGGTTTGTATGAAAACCACGCTTTTCTTCTATTTTTGTGGTCATGTCTGCACATAATGCATTTAGAAATAATCAATCAAAACTGCCCAGTGTTTCAAAGACATAATTTATGAGACTTTCGAATCAATACTTTAAATAAATCAACTGTGTTCTCACTGTTGACTGAGTTTATTCATACAACCTGTCCAGTGGTGAGCTCAGCATCCTCTGGCAACTTTTGTCCATCAATTAAAAAAGCTCCTTTTCCAATCTGGTTGGCCCACAACATCAGCTGCTCCTGAAACAAAGACCTGATGTGAGGACATTTCTAATAATACTGAAAAGAAACTTTTTGGTCTCCATGTGGGTTTGCATTTAGAATTAAGATTACCTTCAGTTGTTTCGTCATGCTCAGTGTGCTGGTTTGGCTGTTTGGCATTGGTACCAACATGCTGACATTTAAACTACAGGACACTTTGCTCCAAGAGGAACACACACCTGACTGGTACCTCCAGTCTGCAGGCTTGGCCATGCTCTGTAACATGGCATTAACATGACAAATGATTATTGATCACCTACACCTTTAGAATTGATCATCAAGAACAAGTTTTGATTAAGATCATTTTTAATACAGCCTTCAGGATTAAAAACAAATTGTTTGGGAAAATATCAGGGAACTTAGAAATTTTCAATTTTAATCAATCTTTATTGATGTCATACAGCGCCAATTTACAATAAATGGGATCTGAAGAAGCTTCACAAAGAGAGCTGGTCTAGAGCTAGTTTCTGTATTTAGAGACATCCAATATCAAAATAGGATAAATTTCAGTCCCCACTTTATAAGAAAGATGCAGTCTTGTCTTAATCCACCATGAGCAGAGCACTCTGTAACAAGACAGTAAGTCAAAGTAGCAAGGACAAACTTTAGAGTACTACAGATAAGGCACAATCGATTAACTACAAATAAAAGTTTGTGGTTTGAGAGCTTTAAAGATGTGAACCAACCTTTTGATCTCTGATGTCCACTGTTCTGCAGATGACCCTGATTTCTAAGGTTAAAGAATTTTATCTTGTATCACAGTACTAGTGCCAACCTTCAAAAACATACAGAGAAACTTCTCAGAGAGCTCCTAATCAAATTTCCCCTGGGGGATAAATAAAGTTATTCTTATCTTATATCAACTTAGCTTAGAAGCTTTCAGCAAGGAGTTTTGGCTTAAGAGTCATCTGAGAACAATCTCAGGGCAAATGTGAAGTAGAGACCTTTCTCTCAACAAGGAGGTGCAGGTGGACCCGTTGCTCTGTATCACTTGGGGTTTTTTTTATACTGTGATTGGTTGATCCACAAAAAGAGAAAACTGCTCTCTTGCTAATCATACACGGACAGGGAGAAATCAATTAGCCTCGTCCTAAATTCTGATAGGACCCTTTCCAAATCAATAATGAAATCATTATTTCTGTTAAATACAGTATAGGCTCTTACTTAAAAGTATAAAACTTACATGATGTTTGAAAACACATGCCCACTACGCTGTGGCCTCTGCTCATACTAAAAGTTCAAGCAGTGTTTCCCAAGCCGAGGTGTCACTGTGCAGGTCAACTATTCACTCTTTTAACCTTATAACTGTACATGATCAGATCTAAGGTCAATAAAATCACGTGTGATCTGTTCTCATATCAGGTATCACACTGCAATCAGTGCATTTAAAGAGAGACAGAGGAATCCATTTCTCTGTCTTTCATCATGTACTGAAGGGTGTGAAGTGAGTGCAAACTCTTGAGATAAATGCCATTTTTCCAGTTGCAAGATATCTTGTTGTCAGTTCAGTTGCATTGTTGAGTTGGCTGTTAGACGTCAATCATAATCACTGCACAAACGAATCATTAAATTACCTCATGGCTGTTCATGGTATGGAGTGATTTTTCACCCTCTTTTGGCTGTTTCCTCCTCAGCAGAAGAAACTCTTGAACTTCTTAAATAGGCTGTATAGGGACAAAGGAAAAAGTGCCTAGAAAGTGAATTTTGTTCCACTATGCTGGTGCAACATAAACTGTGATTCATAAAATTGCTCTATTGATAGTAAGTACTAAAAAAAATATTTACACATGCCATCCAGTCGATTTTAAGTAATCAGTGTTTCGGTGTCGAACTATTTCCTTTCTGCGGCGTAGTGATACTTGCACACGCGCAATCGAATATGCAAAGGGGTGAAGCGATTTTTGTCATGTGGACCAATAGGAGCCGAGTCTCGTTACCACAGTATCAGAACAACACAAACATGGGGACAAGCGTATCTAGCAGCAAGACAAGCAAAGAGGAAGAAAAGAAAAGGAAGAAAAGAAAACAGTCTTCAAAAGTACATAAAAAAGGAACGAAACAATGCTGTTTGCATCTATCATCTGTCCAGAGTGAAGACGTTCTCAACTTTACAAGGACACGTTGGGAAACTTACAGAACTAGTATTAGAAAGTGGCTTTCTCTACAGGGTGAGACAAAGAACCTTGCAGAAACTTATAAACATTGCGTTGATATCCACTTTGACAATGTTCCTGATGACGCTGGGTTTCACATGACATGCTACCAGCGATTTATTTGCAAAAGGCATTTGAGAAACAAGAAAGTGATTCAGCCGCAGGTCAGTCAAACCCTTCAGCCAGCATGGCTGATGCATCCATGTCCACGGCATCTGAAACTCCACAAAAGAAACTTCGCTCAAGGTCATAGGCTGTATTGGGTCAAAGGAAAAAGTGCCTAGAAAGTGAATTTCGTTCAACTACGCTGGTGCTACTGGTGCAATGTGTTTTTGCATAGACAATACCATTCTGGACTTTGGGTTAAAATATCTACTCAGACTATCTGTCTGACTTTTGTCACCAGCCAGAAATGTACATATATGTGAGTAACCCAAAAAACAATTATATGGTGCTGCTGTTTTTGCTTGTAGAAACTGCTATGTTGATTCTGGCAAGACAAAATCTTTCTCAAATATACATCTACTTAACATCTGAAACAGTTATTGGTGCCTTAGTATACGCATAAGTGAATTCAGATTACGGAATGTAGTAAAAGTCAATCAAATTGCTACCATGCCCCCCAAAATTGGAATAATGGAAAAAATGTAACAAGACAAAAATAAATGCACAAAATGTCTGAATTAATTCAAAATATGGTATAAAACATTTATTCAAGTAGCACAGTGTCAAAACATCTGACATTTATCAATCCCTCCAGAATATGAAAATAAAGATCAAAACACAAACGCAGACAAATGTAGAACAAATATAAAAATAATAAAAATCTCAAATCTCGGTGTAGCAATCCTTTAAACAAAACAAATTATACATGGTGACATGGTGCTTATATTACGCATCACTATCACATTAATCAGAGTCATCATCCCATACAGCTCTTTTTTCTGTTTCCTCTGAAGCATTCTCACATGCTTGGCACGACATAAATCTGTCGGTGGATGGGGAGTTGGCAGTGACATGGATGACTACAAATCCTGCCTCTGATAGTGTTTTGCAGATAGTCCACTGTAGTTGCAAGACAAATGTGAGACTGAACGATGTTCTTGTTTGTCTGCAAGACTATCTTGTACAGATTTACAAATTTGCTACATTTCATAATCTGAATTCACTTATGCATATACGATGGCACCAATAAGTACATGTATTTATGACATATAAGAAAGATTTTGTCTTGCCAGAATCAACATAGCAGTTTCTACAAGCAAAAACAGCAGCACCATACAATTGTTTTTTGGGTCACTCAAATATATGTACATTCCTGGTTGGTGACAGAAGTCAGACAGATAGTCTGAGTAGATATTTTAACCCAAAGTCCAGAATGGTATTGTCTATGCAAAAATGCATTGAACAAGTAGCACCAGCGTAGTTGAACGAAATTCACTTTCTAGGCACTTTTTCTTTTGACCCAATACAGCCTATGACCTCGAGTGAAGTTTCTTTCGCAGAGTTTCAGATGCTGTGGACGTGGATGCATCGGCGATGCTGGCTGAAGGGTTTGACTGACCCGCGGCTGCATCACTTTCTTGTTTCTCAAACGCCTTTTGCAAATAAATCGCTGATAGCATGTCATGTGAAACCCAGCGTCATCAGGAACATTGTCAAAGTGGATATTAACACAATGTTTGTAAGTCTCTGCAAGGTCCTTTGTCTCACCCTGTAGAGAAAGCCACTTTGTAATACTAGTTCTGTAAGTTTCCCAATGTGTCCTTGTAAAGTCGAGAACGTCTTCACTCTGGACAGATGATAGATGCATATAGCATCGTTTCGTTCCTTTTTTATGCACTTTTGAAGGCCGTTTTCTTTTCTTCCTTTTCTTTTCTTCCTCTTCGCTTGTCTCGCTGCGAGATGCACTCGTCCCCATGTTTGTGTTGTTCTGATACTTTGGCAACGAGACTCGGCTCCTATTGTTCCATGTGACCAAAATCGCTTCACCCCTTTGCATATTCGATTGCGCGTGTGCAAGTATCACTACGCCGCAGAAAGGAAAAAGTTCGACACTGAAACACTGATTACTAAAAATCGACTGGATGGCATGAGTAAATTTTTTTTTTAGTACTTACTATCAATAGAGCAATTTTATGAATCACAGTTTATGTTGCACCAGCGTAGTGGAACGATCCAACACGATCTCACTCAGCCAATACAGCCTAAGACGTCTTTCTTACTCCACATCAAGAGCTCTCCTTTGGCTAAAATTGCTTTGTGAATAACTTTTATCTTTACAAAGATATAGTTTTTCAGTTTGGGGAAAAGTCTTAGAAATTGTAATAACTTCAAGAATTTTCATAGAATTTGTCACTATTAGCTTCCCTTTAGACTAGGAAAACTTGTGAATACAGTCACTGATCAAATAGTTGAGCTCAGAAAAAAGATACTTTCTGGTTTTAGGGTTGATGTGCAGTGTAACACGGTCTGTGATGTCCTCATCTGCTAGGTCACACAGGTGCTCTGAGGAGATAAGGTTCTCTACCGCAAAAACCAGCTACAAACGGAAGGTAGATACACAAGAATCAGAAAAACAGAAACATGCATGCATACACCCAAAATCTATGTGATGATCACAGCCCATTGATAGTTCTGGTGCCAGATAATAAATTTAATCAAAGCATGACCTTGTGCCAAAACAATCACTAGTTTTATATCAGTGGTCCATAATCCTGGAAATTAAATGTTTAAACACATCATAGATAACTATCATACACACAATACAAAAAATATTGACTTTGTTAACGAGAGATCATTTTTAAAAGACTGAGCAAAGTCAATGCTTAATTTTTTCTCACCTGTAATTTACAAATATACCCACATGCCTCAATCTAAATGGCAATGATTATGATTTTTTAATGCAAATTTCTTGTAGGAAGTAATATAAGTTGGCTGTGAAACTGTGTGACTGTTTCATTGTTTTTTGAGCCTTTGATAAATATTGATATCTACTACTTTGAAAGTATATCCATCATGTACACAGGTAGTGTGTTTGTAAGGATCTCACATATTGAAGTGTGGTTACAGCATCCTTTGCGTCATTCTCATCAATGATAAAAAATCCTAATACAGACAGTCCTCCAGGAAGCATTCGAGACACCTGAAAAAGATTAAACCAGGAGCAAATGTCACCCATAGCAGACTGAATGCTGCTACAAAGTATGTCTGAAAACCCATTAATCACTTACTGGAGAATTCACTGAGACTAGATAACAGCTCTAAACTAGCACCAAATTTCTGCATAATTTGCTATTTGAACAGTCGCATATTACACTGAAAATGCTGTTGTGTCAGAAAGATCTTTAAGTAAAGAGTGAATACTATGTAATGAAATGTACTGAATTTGCTGTTTGCTATGTTGTCAACTAACAGTATATGTTGTTTTGTTGTAGTTATTTTTAATTTATGTTTTTTGCTGGTTTATTTTCAAAGAAATGGCCAACTCCACCCCAACTTTAAGCATAATTGCTCTTTTAATTTTTTGTAAACAGGACAGGTACACACAGATGCTATTTGTTAAGAGCATTTATTCCTTGGTGTGTACTCTAAATTAAAGGGTATCTTTTTTTATCTCATTTGCACAAGTTTAGCTGCTGCAAAAGCTGTAAAATCCTTTTGTCATTGCTGTGTTAAGTTTTTATGTATGACTCATTTTTTACAGCCCTCTACTACAGTTTAGGACCACCTCAATCTGTATTAGATTTTGCTTACCTGTCGAGCATGCTCAGTCACCCACTCCTTGTCCAAAGAGTTTCTGTGTGCTGCAGTTGACTCCTCCTTTTCAGGTGTTCGAATTGCCATGACGACAAAATTCCTTTGGACTGAGCTCTAAAATCAGTTTCAAGGATAAATCATTGACCATCGCTTTCTTAATCAATATTTACCACATTTTCACATGATACTAAATTTCATGGTATATAAAGATAGACTAATACAAAAGGAGATAATTTAATCTATTTTACAATTCTGTAGCTTGATTGCTCCAAAATCAGAGTTTAAGTAAGGAGTTACCCATGAGGACATCAAATGAGTGAAAAATATCAGATGAATGATAAAATTAAATTAAATTCAAGTTAATTACAAAGAAAAGTCAGATAGTAAATTGTGTAAAAAGTCATAACCTCTTCAATAACAGTATGGCCGTTGGTAAGACGTTACGAAAATCTGACTTACCAGTTTGCTGTCATGTACTCAACGCAGGCAATTAGCTGATAAAATAGGATTAAAAGGTAAAGGTTTACCTGTCCGATGAGCAGACCTGAGACTGGACATGCATTTTGACCACATAGTTCGGACAAGTATCCCTCCACTGCGTCTTCTACAATGTATCCACGACCCATGCTGTTACCTCCTCGAACAGGGGCTGAAGAAAGAGAAAGTATAAAACTGATGGTGAATATTTCTTCTTTGTCAGTAAAAGCAAACCATTGCGGGGAAAAAAGAGGACCCAGAGCCCAACGTGGCACCATAGTCCCAGTTTATCCACACATCGGCTCAGCTAGCCTGTATGAATTTACCTTTAAACCGTGATTGGGTAAAACTTCTAACTATACACGCTTCAGCTCCGGGTCACTGTCCACTAGGAGGGAAAATATCTGCCATACATATACTGTTCCGCCAGCTGACAGACTGGTTTCTGCCAAATCTTGACACGCTGTAGTGGTTCGTCAGCGGAGCGACGGTTTTCTTCTTCTTCGCTTTTCTGTCGATCAACGGTCTGCAAGTCAGGTGTACGATGGCGCTACCTGCTGGACTGGAGAAGGACCAAAACCATAGTGTTTATATCATGGACTGTATATACTAAAGCAGAGCTGGAGTACAAAAATAAGATAACGAGGAATCTACAACACAGCAACATCACACTCCACATGAAGTGTGGAGAGGAATCAGTACCATCTCTGGACACAGCAATAAAAAGAAAACAGCCAGTGGTGGGTGATCTGGAAACGGCTGATGAACTCAACCTGTTCTTCAACAGATTTGACACCGCTGTCACACCCACTTCCACTGCTACTCCACCTTCCTGTTTGCAACAAATCTCCACTACAACTTCTCCTCTTCCTCTTCCATCTCGTTCAAATGTCTCAACCACTTAAACTGCCTCCTTCCTAGAACACCAGTCCTTGTCAGTCACCGAAACAGGGGTGAGGATGGAGCTTGGCAGACTTTGTCCTGGGAAGGCAGCTGGTCCAGATGTTGTGTGTCCAAGGCTGCTTAAAGTTCACAAACTGTGTTAATACAGTCAGGTGAGATAAGGGGGTGACATGGTTGTAGTCTCCTGATATTATTAGTGCCTCAGGGTGTTGAGTCTGTAGCCTGGCAACACTATTATGCAAAAAATTGCATGGAATTTCTTCAGTTGATTTGGGTGGGATGTAAACAACTAATGTTATGATGTGACTAATTTCTCTTGGAACATAATATGGCTAACAGTTATGAAAAGCAACTGCCAACAGTTCAATATCTGGACAACATAACTTCTCCTTGACAGGTGTGTGTGAAGGATTACACTATCTCTGGTTGACAAATAAAGCCAGACTTCCTCCTTTCCTCTTGCCACTAGCTTGAGCATCTCTGTCTGACTTTATGAGAGTGAAGCCAGGTAGATCCACACTGGAGTCAGAGTTGTTTTGATTCAACCAGGTTTCAGTAAAACACAGGAAACTGCACTCACGGTATGCTTTCTCAGTCTTCACCAATATCTCCAGCTCATTGCTTTTGTTGGGCAGAGAGTTGACGTTTCCCATGATGATTGATGGAAGAAAGGGTTTATATCGCCACCTCCTAGCATTCAGCTTTGCCTTCACCTTTGCACAAGCACAGCAACCACAATAACACCTCCTGATGTCCTCTGGAATTGTACGTTGTTGTCCAGATTTGTTTTTCCTCAATGAAATGAGCTCTTCTCTTGAGTAAACTCTTTACCCAGCAGAAGTATCCATCAGCAGCCAACAAAATTACAACAAAAATATGAAAAAAATATAGCAAAAATTGCAGATAAAACAGAGAGACCAGACTTGCAGACACCTCTCAAGCATCATTTGAATTTTTGGGTATCAGCACTTAAAGGTATCAGTCAGCTCTTGGACAGTCTGTGGTTACACGTGGTGGCGGTGAATACAACAATGCATGATGTTCCAGAGGTGTTGGATTGGATTCATATCTGGATTGCAGGTGATCCAACTAATAACATCAATACCTTCATCATCCAGGACCTACTGACACACTCCAGCCACATAAGGCTAGGTATTGTTATGTACCAGAAGGAACTCAGGGCGTCCTGCACCAGCATATGGTTTTACACTGGGTCTGAGGATCTAATCCTTGTACCTGGCAGGAGTCTAAAATCCATCCCAAGAAAGTAATCAAAATGTAACTTAAATCAAAAATCCAAAATATTGTGACAATATTATTAAGGCTTGATTACAGTCTAATAAAGATGAACCAAAACTATGAGATGAAAAGTTTAAGTTTGAAACTGTATACTGGAAACACTAAGGTTATTCATCTCCAGTAAAGGCTGTGAAGTTAAGCGGGCTACCACCCTCCGTTTTTCTGACAATTTTGTCAGAATAAGGTACAAGTATAGGGAAGCGATTGTGACTCATATCTCAAATTCAAAAGCAATAGCAGAAATGCTTTTTTATTTCAAAGTCATGGCTGCACTATGTGACTCAAAAATCAAAATCAAAAGCAATGTTCCAAAATGCAATTTCATTTTCTTTTTCAAGACTGTTCATTTTGTGACTGAATTAGAAAGCAAAAGCAAATTCCATTAAACATTAAATTTTCAAAACATTCACACGCAAAAAGGTAACAAAATTCAATTCAAAATGTCAAATTTGAAAATTCTGAAGCAATAGCAGAAATGCTTTTCCATTTCAAAGTCATGGCTGCACTGTTTGACTCAAAAATCAAAATCAAAAGCAATGTTCCAAAATGCAATTTCATTTTCTTCTTCAAGACTGCTCATTTTGTGACTGAATTAAAAAGCAAAAGCAAATTACATTTAACATTAAATTTTCAAAACATTCACAAGCAAAAAGGTAACATAATTCAATTTAAAATGTAAAATTTGAAAATTCTAAAGCAATAGCAGAAATGCTTTTCCATTTTAAAGTCATGGCTGCACTATTTGACTCAAAAATAAAAATCAAAAGCAATATTCCAAAATGCATTTTCATTTTCTTCTTCAAGACTGCTCATTTTGCGACTGAATTTAAAAGCAAAAGCAAATTACATTTAACATAAAATTTTCAAAACATTCACCAGCAAAAAGGTAACAAAATTCAATTTAAAATGTCAAATTCGAAAATTCTGAAGCAATAGCAGAAATGCTTTTCCATTTCAAAGTCATGGCTGCACTGTTTGACTCAAAAATCAAAATCAAAAGCAATGTTCCAAAATGCAATTTCATTTTTCTTCTTCAAGACTGCTCATTTTGTGACTGAATTAAAAAGCAAAACCAAACTCAGAAATGCTTTTTTGTTGTCGTGCTCGCCCCGCAAAAAGTGTCTCATAATTCAATCTGAGTTTGCAATCTCAAGTGGCACCGGAAAGTAATGTCACGGACTCCACTCGTTCTGGCCCCTTTGCTATTTCTTTTTCTTTTTCTTTTTGAGTCAAATAATGCAGCCATGACTTTGAAATGAAAACGCAAATTTGACGTTTCAAATTGAATTTTGTTACCTTTTTGCTGGTGAATGTTTTGAAAATTAAATGTTAAATGTGATTTGCTTTTGCTTTTTAATTCAGTCACAAAATGAGCAGTCTTGAAAGAGAAAATAAACATTGCATTTTGGAATATTGCTTTTTATTTTTACTTTTGAGTCACATATAGTGCAACAATGACTTTGAAATGAAAAAGCATTTCTGCTAATGCTTTTGAATTTGAGATATGAGTCACGATCGCTTCCATACAAGTAACCCGCTGGAGGTCCTTTTGTAGGGCTCTGGCAGTACGCCTCCCAATCCTCCTTGCAGGAGCTAATAACAGTCCTGCTGGTAGTCCTCCATTTGCACTGCCTAAGACTAATACCTCCACAAGTTTTATTTCCTTAAGTAATAATTCTGGGTCAAATTCTGTAATACAATTTAATATCTCCTCCTGCACTTTCAACTTCTATACTAGCTACACAGGCCCACTTTCTTGATGGGCATTGGAAGTGCATCTTACAAACTGAATGTTACAGTGAATTCTTCAAATGGACACAGAAAACACTCCAAATGAAAAACAATATGAGTTTATTGAAAGGCAACAGTTGTGGGCGTAACAGTTAAACATTAAGCTGAAGGAAGCTCAAGATTCAGTTCATTATTCTCCTCAAGTGTCTGATGAACACTTGATGTTGTCACACTGTTTTGCCATCATCTCTCTATCAGGAATTAAATGAAGAAAATATCAACATCATTTAAAAAGCTCTGATTATTTGAATCCCTTAACTTATGACAGTTTCATCCCCTTCTGAAGTTAAGGAGTCTACATTTGTATTTTTATCCTCTCAAAGTAATCTAGCAGCATTGTCGACTTAACACCTTTCGATTTTATTATCTGTAGTTGTTTGGCTGTGTTTTAAACATCTGTGTCATTTGCTGCCTTCAGATACTGCACTAACTGATGCAGAGGTGTGTATGTGTGTGCAGAAACATGCTATTTCTTCATATCCAGCTGTTGAATCTCGTCCACTCTGTTGCGGTGCAGCTGGAAGGCAGGAGTGACCCAGCAACCGCAAGAGCACTGATCACCACACCAGCTGAATGAGCCCAGTTTAGAGCTGCACTTTGGACACATAAGCTAGAGGAACACACACACAAACACAAAGACATTCAAATTCACACAGTTTACACACATAGTTTACAAAAAGCAGTTCATCTCATGTTGGGCAATGATTACTTGTTGAAATTCTTACTCTTCTTCTTACTCTTCTCCTGTTTGTTACTGATCGTGTGTGGACCATACCTGACCATTCATCACTCCAAGTAAGGCATCCTGCATCCACTGCACAGGTTCAATAAAGTACGACGTACACTGGATATCTCCTAGATGGCAAAACATATAATAAACATATAATAAATAAATAAATATATATAAATATATATATGTATATACATACTGGCCCTCATTTATCAAGCTTGCGTATGGCAGAAAACTTGCGTTCACCTTGCGTACGAAAATTTTGACGTGAAGATTGGCATTTAGCAATCTGCACGTGAGCGTACACTACGACCAAATCTCCTGACAGGTCTGACATCGTGTACGCAAGTTTGAGTCAGTGTGGATCTGCGGTGCAGCAAATGTCTATCTTAAAATAATTGATAAACAAACCTCAAACCTGTCATTAAGCACAATCAGCCAGATTTCATTAAAGATTAAGACGTAAATAAAATAAAATAAATTTGTTATGTCCTTGGTGAATAGGCCTATTTGATAACTCTGCCCAGAAACACTGCCACAGAGCAGAGGTGCCGGTTTGAAATTACGCACACACGCCACTGTGGAGCGCTGCGTTTGGCTCCTAAAAGGCAGGTGTCTCTGTCTTGACCCAGCAGCGGGGACGTTGTTGTACACTCCTGAAAGGGTGTGGGACTTCACTTGGGCCAGTACAGTTTTGCACAATGTTGCACTGGCGAATGGAGTGCCGTTGGCTGTGCCGGTGCAATTAGCGGGAGGACCCGATGCCTGGAGAACAATAACGAGGAGAGACTCTACAAAGGTGCTGTACAGAGGAGACAGGACCTTATAGATGGATTCTGATGTAAAATATAAGTTTAGAAAGTGCTCTTGCTATTTAAATTAAAAAATTATATAAAAATGTGCCTCAGGGGCAGAAACACACCGTTTGGTGACACTAATAATTTTTTTTGGTCAGCCTCTGTCAGACTCTCCAGTCTGCTCTACATTACAAAGATGCAACAAATTGAAACTAAATACTTTCAATAATAGGAGCAACTACCCTATGTCATGGCAATAAACAAATATGAGGCACGTATGAGATATTAATTTATCATCATGAGCAACTTATTGACTAATGATTTATTCAAGAAGTGTGGTGTGTGGTGTGACAAACTAACTGAATGAGTGACTGGTTAATTGAGTGACTGACTAATTGACTGATTCATTTAGTGACTGTTTACCAGTGAGGTTACTGGACTTCTTGTGACTAAAGGCCCTTGCTCCATCTCCAACAGGGTGACTGAGAATACTGGAACTGCGGAAAAGAGCCCGTCTGCAGAGAGAAGATTCAGAGCAATTTTTTTTAATTTTGTTTAAATTCATTCTTGAGGAAAAGATTGATAAAAATATAACAACAGTATCATAATTCTTATGAAAATCTTAAAAATAAAACACAGTCTCTCATATTGCAGGTAGAAAATGTGGAGAAACACATAATTTTATTAGCTGTACAAACAAACACACTTTTTGATTTAGAGTGAATCTCAGTCTCAAAAGTGTCTGTTCATCTTTTAGAGAGTTGCTACAGCTAACTCACTGGCAGTTTTTGCTTATTTGTCTCTTCTCTGTTTTGTGGTGTATTGAAACAAGTGCAAAGGAGTATAGGAACATGATATCAATATTATACTTTATATATATTTTCTTATTTATCTAAAAATAAAACCTCACTGTCAATACCATGACAGCCCTTTTAGGAAGTAATGAATGATTTTTGATAATGGACTGTTATTTTGGGTAATACCCAGTGTCCTCATAGTACCCAAGGAATAGACATTGCTTCTCATCACCTCGCACCAGATACATGCTTTCCACTCTGCGTGCATCATACATAGTCTGAGAACCGAGTTTACAACATCCTCTTTTATGCCACAAAGCACATCAGTTAAGAGTGCGCCTGTGTGCACTGCATCACAGTTGCACTGTTGTTAATAACTGCCTTATTCATTATGACCAGTGTCGGTGATGTATAATGCAATGCAAGTCAACTTCACTATAAATCTCCATACATACAGCACCCTTCTTTAAAAGGAAAAGCTGTGATTATTTCACTAGATGATGGTGTATATGAAAGATATATATTTAGAGTTGGCTCCTGTCGGGTCTAAAGTAAGCAATTGTTTTTTAATATCCTGCAAGACAGATTTTGTAGTATCTGCAAACACATGAAAACAATGTACAGTACTTCAGTACCTGCAGTTAGCTGGCACTAACTTGAAACAGAATAGAATAGAATATTCCTTTATTGATCCCCCATGGGGGAAATTTTTTTGTCACAGCAGCATCACAGACAAAGAGTGCAAAAATGCAGTTATAAAAATAAAGATCGTAATATTAAGAACTTAAATAAATGTAATAGTAAATTATCACATTTTTTACAAACTGACACGTTTGTAAAAAAAAATGTGAAAATCACTGTATTAAAAAAAATCTCCGATTTTTTACCTGTTGTAATGTAATGCAAAGGCATTTTGAATGGTTAGATGACTTGGGAAAGTGGTATATTTAAAAGCCTTTTTAAGGTTTACCTGCACTTCCTACATCTGTAAGACGCTTCACGAGAGCTTGAGTTGGATGGGTCAACAGCGAAAAGCTCAGTGGGAACTTGACGCAACTCTGTTCACGCCAGCACACACAAAAACAAACAAAAAGAACACGCACACACACAGGCAGGAGAATAATGATTAGTGGAAGAATAACTGGCGCCCTGGCAACCATTTTAAAAACAATCTATTGTCTTTTATGGGTAAATGTGTTTTTTTTCTCTTTCTTTTTGTTTTTATAGGGTTATTTCTTGCTTGTGTTTTGTTACTTCTGACTGCATAACAAAATGCCCTTCACAACAATAATAAAGTTCACATTGAACCTTGGATATGTATAAAAAGTCCAGTGTGTTTATGTGGGTGTGTTTTGTTACCAGGGTACTTCTCAGAGATCTTGGTCAGTCTGTACTGTTTGTATAGAGGACTGGAGGTGTCAACTTGACAAATCATGTCTTCATACAGACACAACTGCTGCTCAAAACCACTGTTGACCCTGAAACACAACCACCAACAGTGAGAAAGACAACACCATATGTAAAACTAAGGAAAAAAGGGAGAAATTAAAAAAAAAGAAAAAAAATTTGCCAACACTAACAAACATTAATAGCAGCCATCTGTGTGAAACACTGGTCACCTGCTGCAGCTTCTTTCTAGGTGTTATAGGGATTATATTTGTACGCAGTCGAAATAACAAAGCTATTTTCAGTAAATCATACAGCGTGTGCTAAATTAGCTTTTTTTCATTTTCTACCCCCAGCACTTTGCATGCTTCAGTGAAAATGTCCCATTTTGCATATAAGTTTAGGCAAACAGGCTAAATGGACATGTGCCATCTTGCACATTTGAAAGACACAATCTTCAGTGCACTCTGTTAGAAGATCAGCTTGTATTTTTATTTCATAATAATAAATTTATTGATAAAGCGCTTTCCATCAAAGTGCTGTACAACAAGTAAAAGATAGAGGGTGCTCTAAAGTTTGCATGTTTTTAAAAATGCAAACCACTAGTAACCAAAAAATGTATATAGTAGGGACAACTTGAGTATGCCTCCCTTCATTGTACAAATTTGGAGCCAAATGGCTGTCAGTATTTTCAGAATTTTCTCCATTTTCTGAAACCAGCATTTGCGCAGTAGGGTTCAAAGGGAAAGTCGCTGTGTTGACACTCTGCTCAAACAGCATACCCCCAGATGTCCTTCGTAACCTTTGTACACACATAGACTGTATCAAGTGACGATTATAGAAAACATGAACCCCTAATAACTTAAAAAAACTGAACTGCACAGAAAAAAGGACTTGCGGTGGCTTCACCCAGCGAGGCAGATGACGTCCATTCTTTATACAGTCTGTTAGTAAATCAGGCCTATAATGCTTAAACCTATTTTGATGACTATTTTTAAAGGTAAGTTCCGCATAGAAAAAAGGTGTGATTCTATTTACCCCTGGTGGCAAATTGCAGACAATGTACAAAAAATGAAGACAATAAACAAAAGTTCATTCATGGAAATTGCAAGAAGTAATGTAGGAACACATTCAAACATACTGAACATCCTGTTTTACATTCTTCAGTTTGAGGTAAGCGTCAGCGAAGCTCAGGTGGTGTCGCTTCATTAGGTATGCAACGACAACAGTGGCACTGCGACTTCTCCCAGCCTGGCTAAGACACACACACACACACACATACATACATACATAGATATATACACACACACACAAACACACCATTTTCACTTGACTATCTCATAAAATCTGTACACCATCATACACTTAAAACAGCTGGACAAGAATGACTGGGGAAGTTCAGAGTCAGAAAGAATTTCTTTTGTAAACTAAATATGGTGCTAATGATAAACATTAGTACTTAAACTGAATGTTAAATGAATTAAAATGTAACATGTCAATCAAAAAGATATAAACTAAATGCATCTCTTAACCTCTGACCCTTACCAGTGAACAAGTACGGCTCCACCTCCATCGACAGCCTCTTGAATGAACAGATAGCAGTCATCCATGTGGCTCAGGAGGTCAGATGTGGTTTCATCCAGAACAGTGACCCATTTCATGCATAAGTCCTTCTGAGCAGACAGCAGACAGCGAGGATCCACAGAATCCACAGACAGGATGTGAGTGATGGCTGCATTGATCAATGCCTGGCTGTCATTCAGGTCAGCTGCAGTGCCGATATACAGTCCTGGATCCACCAGAATCATAACTGCAGGTAGAAGAACAAAAATGAACTCTGTCTTTTAATAAAAAATATAAAAAATAAATAGATCTCGATATCAGGTCATTATTTTTGTATTCGATGGACAGACCACTGTGACCAGCTTTAATGTGCACTCAACTTTTATGGTGCTTTTTTTTTAAATGAAATACAATAGTAATACAATTTGAACAAAACAAAAATATGGTATTAAAGGTAAGGATTGACCAATAATCTCCACAGCCAACAATATCGGCAGATATTCAGCATTTTTACTATAATAATCAGCCGTTTTTTCCAGCAATAGCCAATAAAATAAGTTTATTTTAAAATGTGCTAATTTGGCTCTTACACAACCGCCTCTCTGTGCCTGAAGTCACCACTCTTGGCTGTGTAAAAATGTCCTGCCTACAGTCCTCAGTGATTGGCTACACAGTGAGGGAGAATGTCACATGTAAAGCTACACATACAGCCAATCAACCCTCAAAGTTCAAAGTTCTAGGAGAGCGCTGAACACAATTCACACAGTGTTCTTTGTTCAGTCTAATCCCAGGTGTGTTTTCAACCATTTAACCATTTAAACCATTACATTGCTCAAAATTAGACTAATAATTTATTGTACTGATCCACAACTAAGAACCAACACATCTATTTTTCACAACTTGACTGTATCTGACTTGCCCATATCTAGAACCAGGGGTAGATAGATTATTTCCCCCTGGCCAGTTGTCTTTGGCTGAATGTCTGTATCAGCTTTTTATTTTGCAAAGTCCAGATCTGGTAAGGGGCTCTGAACCTGATCGAAATGGAAAATTTCTCACAAAGCAATCTATCTGGATTCATGAAGGGAGACACTGTTAAGACACTGTTTCTCAAAAGACTGTGGACTCAATAATCTGGTCCAGCTCTACTATGTATTGGCAGAATGGTTTTGAACCTGGTTTCCTTAGCCTTCTTATCCGAAGCTGTGGATCAGGCGCCAACCTCAGTGTCGTGCATCAACACAGTTCACTCACCTTGTTAGTGTAGGTGAGCTTCTGCGCCACAGTACTGCTGTTTTCCGCTTTTTATGCTTTGAGTTCAGAGCTGGCCGTCCACCCCTAACAAATACAATAATAATAAAAGGAAAGAAACGGCAGGAGTTAATGGTGCTTCCAAAATACTAAGAAAAGGGAAAGGAACCGCAACAGTTCTTCTTCTTCTTCTTCTTCTTCTTCTTCTTCTTCTTCTTCTTCTTCTTCTTCTTCTTCTTTTTCTTCTTCTTCTTCTTCTTCCTGGTTTTCTGGCGGGTTGCAACTATAGCTTATTAGGTGCATACCGCCACCTACTGTACCGGAGTATGTAGCATGGGTTACTAGTTACTTTATGTCATTTAGGTAATAGAAGGAAAAAAAAAAAAAAAAAGAAAAAAAAACCCCTTACCCTAAATTCTATAATACAATCTTGTCTCCTTCAGATAATCCACTGTGGCAGTCTGTGTGTCCTGTACCCCTTCTCCTGCTGTTCCTAGGATACCCTCAAGGCTCCACACTCTACCTGCCTTAATTACTCTTTGTGTTTGTTCTGTTCTTTCTTCGCTATATTTCCGACAGTGCATCAACACATGTTCTACATCTTCTTTTGTTTTGCACTCCGAACATTCATCTGAATTAATTTTCCCTATCACAAACATTGTTTTATTTAGACCTGTATGATCAAACCTTAATCTTGTTAATACAGTTTCTTCCCTTCTGTTGCCTCTATATACTCCTTGTGCTGTAATGGACTTCTGTACCCTGTAATATTTCCTTCCGTTGTTATCCCTGTCCCATCTATCTTGCCATTTCTTCATTATTTCTTTTTTGAGTATTGCCTTAGTTTCTCCTTTACCAAATGGTATATCTATAATATTTGTCATTCTGGTTGCTTTTTTGGCCATTCTATCTGCTCCTTCATTGCCTTTTACACCCACATGGGCAGATACCCAACAAAATTTAACTTCTATCCCAATCCTATATAATCTATATAAATTTTGCTGAATTTCCAGCATTAAGTCTTCCCTGTCAGAAGTTGTAGTTTGTAAACTAAGAAAGACTGCCATTGAATCTACAGAAAATACTACCCTATCTGGTCTTACCTCCTCTACCCAACTGTAGCCCCATGATGACTGCCATCATTTCTGCTGTATATACTGAGATCTTATCAGGTATCCTATTTCCAATATTGATGTTCATTGAAGGTATATGTATCCCTATGCCCACTCTCTCATTTTCATCCTTAGACCCATCTGTGTATGTATCTAAACAATAATCATATTTGTGCCTTACATATTGACTTGCTAGAATTCCTGTCTCACTCTCTTGCCATTCTTTCTTTAACTCTAAAATACTTAGATCTATTCCAGGTCTCGGGAAGAACCAGGGAGCGACATTACTAATAGGCGTAGGAGTGCTGAACCGAATGTTTTCCAGTCTATATTCGTGTGACTTAGTCTTTGTCATCCAACCAAATCCATTACCTTGAAATTTATTGTATTCCCAACATTCTTGAATAACACTCTTGGAAGGGTTTTCATTACCACACCCACGTAGACGGCTCCAATATGTAAGCATAAGTTTATCTCTCCTCAGATCGAGTGGTGCTTTTCCTACTTCTGCCTTTAATGCTTTTATTGGTGTCGACCTCATCGCCCAAGTGCATAACCTCAGTGCTTTATTTACCATTCTATCAATCTTATCTAAGTGTGATTTGGCTGCTGCTCCATACACAAAGCATCCATAATCTATTATTGACCTCATTAGAGCCGTATAAATATACATCAATGCCTGTTTGTCTGCTCCCCATACTTGTCCCACTATCGCTCTCATTAAATTAACAACTTGTTTACATTTTGATTCCACCTTCTCCACATGTGCTTTCCATAGTCCCTTTTGGTCTAGCCAAATGCCCAGATATTTAAATGTATCTACTTTCTCCATATCTTGTCCGTATAGCTTCAGGCTCCGTTCATTTATCCCTTTCTTCCTTGTAAAGAGCATGTAACAAGATTTGCTTGTAGAGAGTTTGAATCTCCACTCATACGACCACTGTTCTGTTTTCCTTATTGCTTCCTTGATCTTACCCATTACACACGGCAGATCTCGTCCCCTTGCCCAGATGGCCCCATCGTCCGCATATAGAGCTGATCCGATCCTTCTATCCATATTCATAAATATATCATTAATCATTACATTAAATAAAACTGGACTAATTACACTGCCTTGTGGTATTCCATTATTAATTTCAAATCCATCAGACAACTCTGATCCCACCTTAACTCTAAATCTTCTGTTAGACAAAAAATCTAACACCCAGTTATAAAATCTTCCTCTGATTCCCATCCTGTTCAGTTTAATTAACAGTCTTTCTCTCCACATAGAATCATAAGCTTTTTCAATATCAAAAAATACAATAGTCATTAATTCTTTCATTTTAAATGTCTTCTCTATCTCATTACTTACTTTTACAACAGCATCCATTGTTGATCGTCCTTTCCGAAAACCACTTATGTATGGTGCAAGTAACCCTCTTTGTTCTAAAAAGTAATTGAGTCTTCTGACTAATATCTTTTCCATCCATTTACACAAATGAGAGGTTAGTGCTATAGGTCTATAGTTACCAACATTATTCGGATCATTACCGGGTTTGCTAAAAGGTAGTATTATCGCACTCTTCCAGCTCCTTGGTATTTTCCCTTCTTTCCATATTTTGTTATACAACTGCAAGATTGTTTTTAATACTTCTTCAGGTACTTTTCTGAACATTGCGTAACTCAGCTGATCCTCTCCGGTAGCAGTACTGCCAGTCCCATTTAATGCTGTTACTAATTCATTCATAGATATTTCTGAATCCATGGCACTATCCTCATTATCTTTCTTTCTACATAAATCCCTATTTTCATTTAGAATCTCCTCTTTTCTTTGTCGATGTCGGTCATCCAGATGGTTTCCACTGTGTACACTAGCAAAATTCTTTCCTAGTACATTTGCCTTTTCTTTATCTGTTATTGCCAGTACTCCATCTTCTTCTAATACTGGCATTTTAACAAATACCTTTTTCCCATTCATTTTCTTTAACACTGACCAAACATCTCCAATTTGAACTTCCCTCCCTATAGTAGAGCAATAAGTTCTCCATGCATTACACTTACTATTCTTAATTACTCTACGAGCTAAAGCCTTTTTTCTCTGATAGTTAATTATATTCTCCTGATTCAAATTATTCCACAACATTCTCAGTGCACTATTTCGTTCTTTTATAGCTTTAGTACATTCAGCATTCCACCACGGAACCATTTTCTTACTCCCCCCTAATGTCTTCATTGGTATACTTCTTAATGCAGCATTTCGTATTACATTTGAGATTGTAGATGTACATTCCTCAATACTACCTTCACATGGTAGTGTGGTCACTCGGCCTCCCCTGCATATTTAACTCTATATTTACAGAGCATATAATTGGAAAATGATCGCTTCCAATACTTGAACTGTCTTCAATACTCCACTCACAGGCACTTGCCATATTATTGGAGATTAAAGTAAGATCAATACTTGATAGTGTATTTGTACGTATGTCAATCCTTGTGCCATTTCCATTATTTAGGCAGACTAACTGCCTCACATCCATCAATTCTTCCACCACCTCCCCATTACTATCAGTGTGTTTACTACCCCAAAGGCTACTGTGTGCATTGAAGTCCCCACACCATATTTCTCTCCTATTTCCTTGTCTATTTACTATTGTCTCTAATGTTTCTAATCTTAGTGGTTTACAAGGATTGTATAAGTTAACTATTATAATGTTCCCATCTGTTTTACAAATTTCTGTAACAACACATTCCACTTCTGATGAAGTTTTTATCCTTCTAAAGCAATCCCATCCCTAATAAATGTTGCACAACCTCCACCCTGATTTTCACTTCTATCATACCTTACTGATTGATATCCAGGTAAAATGAAGTCAAGGTGGGGCCGTAACCAAGTTTCTTGTATACAAGCAATATCTGGCTTAATTTTGGATTCTGTAATAAACTTTTTGAATTCCTGACCATTTGCAATCAGGCTTCTAGCATTCAATTGTAGGAAATGGAGTACCATTACAAGATTAAGCAACATTCTGAGACCCTCCATCATTATTCATGCTCAACATTCCATGTATGTCTTCAGCTCTCAAGTCTTTGATTCGTAGAAACTCCTCCGCCGCTTCCACCACCGTTTTAATTCTGTCGCTTTTCCTTTCTTGTCTTGTAGCTACATTTACAACTTTACACATGAATGCTACAAAGCTCTTCTTCTCTACAATTAAGGTGTTCTCTTCAATGTTGCATTTATGGTTACATGTTCGCTGTGGGGGTGCTGGCCTTTCTGTTTGGTGTCTCCTTATGTTTGTTCTCTGGGGTAGGCCCTCAGTGTTCATTTGCATCTCATTATCAAATATGTTTTCGTTGTCCCTACTCTGCTTCCTTTCATTGATTGTGACACTCGTTACTGCCTCTGCATATGACACCTTATTCTCAATTTTATATTTCTGTACTTCTTTGGCTTGTTTCTGTACCACACACCCAGCATATGCAGCACTATGCTCACCTCCACAGTTACAGCATTTTATCTTAGCATCCTTGCTACATTTACCATAGTCACGCCCCCCTCCACATTTTGCACACCTTTGCCTCCATTTACATTGCTGTGCTGTGTGCCCCATTCTTTGGCATTTAAAGCATCTTATAGGTTATGGAATGTACTGTCTCACCCTATAGTTAATCCCTCCCATCCTCACTCAATTGGCAGTTCTTTCTCAAACATCAGTAATACTGACAAACTATCAGTTTTGACTCCACCTTTGTATGTTTGAAGTCTTTTGGCCTCTATCACCTTTCCACCTTGTATCTCTCTTTTCACTTCGTCCATGGACATTTCCAGTGGCACATTTGCAATCACTCCTCTCAAATTTGCTGCCCTTCCTGGTACATGTACCGTAATCTTTCCACCATCCAGACTGCTCATCTTCAGTATCTTTTCCTGTTGTGTTTCATTAATTGCTGAAATTAGGATTCTTCTATTAATCAGCAATTTAGCATACTTTATTTTTCCAATTGCTTTCTCAATTTCTTTTGTCACCTGAACTGGGTGACAATGTCCTTTATCATTACTGAGTGTAATGATAACTTTCCATTCCCCCTGTTAACCATCATCGTCGGTTGTACAGATCTTCTTGGTGCCACGTCTTTGACTATGCTCTCCTCCACTACTTGCTTCAGACCAAGACT